TATTTCGAATATACTTATTTGAAAATATTGTTTTAAACAATTTGCTTTCAAAGATATTAAAAGATCAAAGATATTAAAAATGTATTGTAATATTGAAATAACATAAAAGTTAAAATGTCCACACTTTAACCTATATTTAAAGATAAAAATGTTTGATTTTAGCAATAGTGTGCTACCACTTTGTTAAATAGCAGAAACTACATTTCTCTTGAGATATTGGGTCTTTAAAAAATGCATATGAAGGTACCCTCTGTGTCTTTTCTAATTACTAACTTATCGAGCAGCCGATAACCATTTCTTATATAAACTTTTACATAGAACGCGGAGCCAATGCCAAGTCAAAAAGCTATCGCCATCTAATGGAATAGACAACCCTTTGTATTATTTTTTATTTTGATTGAGAATCGTGTGGGATTTTGAAAAATGTTTATTTTTGTGAAATTGTTTTTGATATACAGTCTAAAAATTTTACGTTAAAATTAATAACCATTTATCATATTAACTTCTCTCCGTAGAACTACATGTAATCGATTCTCAAACGCCTTCTTGCCTAAATCTGAATGAATAGACATTTATTGAGGTGTTGGTTATAAAGATTAAGGGTTATCCACTATAGTTTAACCTCAATTGGCTTTGATGACATTTTTTTTATGAAGGTCTGACCATTTAATAAACTCACCACATACTAGACACCTACAGCTTTTGAGCAATTTGATTCTTAATTTAGGTATGTTATCTTAATTGCCTGCTACTGAGTTTATATACAGCTGCATTGTTTCTGTTAATATACCATGTATTGTCATATCGTTCATTTTTAAACACATTTGTTTAATGGCGCTTCATAATAATAACCAATGTGTCGCTATCAGCACAGTCTGCTTAATTAACTGCATTACATGTTTATACACCCACGCGAACAAACTTTCATTACACACGTACGACCTTAATAAACATCCCCATCAAGTGGTGGAAAAACGTTTAATTTGAATGAAACCTATTTTAATTAAGCGTTAACTCATAAACCATAAAATTAATTTTAGCGTTCTCGTTTTCTTTGTTATTTAGTGAAAATAAAATTGTTGGCCGGGTTTCATTTAGATAGTTACTTTGAAAATTATGTGTGGCCACATTTACATTTCATTCTATTTGCGACAATGTTTAAATATAACTGGGAGTAAGTCACCCATGAAATTTTTATACGTTATGATCAAATTTTCTTTCTTCCTTTCTCCGTTAATATATCTACAATCACACATTTGTAATTGTTTTCTTTGAATCAAAACCAATTATATACGTAAATTTTTTATGGCATTATTTCGAGAAAAAATTTACTTTTAAATTAGTAAAATTGTATAAATTTGGACACTAAAAACCTTTTTCATGATTTTTCAATATTTATGATTTTTTACCCAAAATGTATGTGCGACTGTTAGTCAAAGGCAGATTAGCTTTTTTATGGTTAATTTGTGTTCTACATTAAACATTCTAAAATAATCATATAATGGATATAGAGTCACGGGTTTTTCGATAAAATCTAATCGCTTTTTTTGTGTTTTAATAAGTGAAACTGTAACAAAATCGTGAGCTTATAAGGGTATACCTAGGAAAGTTTCGAAAGAAATAGGAAAAATAATAAGTTTTGGAGAAGGTCAAAACAAGGAAGAGAAGCGGAGCACATTGGCACACGTTGGCAGTGGAACACTTTTCATATACTACTTGTGCCCCTGGAATTGTGTAGAAATGGATTTTGATACAATCCATCTACGAAGTGTACCACAGCATATTTTTAGATAACGTGGTGCCAAGTGCATATGGGAATTGGTCTGGCGACCACGTTGTTGCTATTTAAAATGGCCTTGGCCTTAATGGCATTTCAAAATTTGCCACATTGCCTGGTTAAAATCAAACACTTAAAATATCAATAATTTTAATTTTATTGATGCGGGATTTTGAAGCTGCGGAAATATGCATTTAGTTCAATAAACATTACCAATATTTATTTCACTTTTACGACTTCGATAAAAGTAATATAGGTCGAATTATTTTTTTATTGTTTCTGGTCTCGATTGAGAATTATTAATGGCACTGGAAAAAATCAGTCGCAACGCCGAAATTAGATTTTTTTTTTTTTCTTGACGATGCCCGTGTAAATAGTTTTTCTATTTGAGTTACGAATTTAAATGTAGTTAATGCATGTGACGGACAAAACAAATACTGAATACGGTTATTTACTTGGGAGTGATAATTACTCTAAATTATCATTTCAAATATAAAACAAGGACTCCATGTTAGGTAGCGCAAAATGTTTGTTATTTAAGTCTAGAGCATTAATATCTGCAAAAAACTTATTCTAGAGAACGAAATTTTCATAAGGGTAAAAATTAGAAATATATCGCTTTTGGTTATTCTTGTATTTCATTTTTTGACGTAAAAGTCTATTATGTAGTCAGGTTTTAGATATGGAATAAACATGCGATTTTTTAAGTAATTTAAATACTAAAACAGTATTGCTGAACAGAAAAATATTGATATAGTCGGTACGATTTGTGATGGCATAGTCGGCAATAAAATGCCAGACAGAATAAAATAGATGGCTTCCACGTATACTTCAATAGGTCAGAACATTTAAAAAAATATACTATACCGTATAAAATATAATTTCCCATAAAATTATTTAGATCAGGACCAAGATTGGAACGACTCCTACCAGAAAATGATTCTTCGTCTACATTAATAATAAATGGTGGTAAAATCTGTTCATAGATATAAGAAAGTGACTAACTGATACGAATTAAGGAAAGACTCGGACAAGCTGTAAGAATGAAATATGGCCGAACAGGTCCGTACTTTGCTTAGAATTTAATTATTTGAGGTTTTGTGAGGAAAGAGACTAAACAATATTTATTTATTTATGTATGTATTTATGTTTAAATCCAAAATAAAGTTACAAATTGTTTTTATTACCTACTTAAATTACTTAAAATTATTCACATAATATATCAGTATCACTATCGATATCATCGCCTGTTCTAATTATTATTTGTTCTATATTATTTGCAATATGAATATACGATTGTTCTGCTTTTTCTATATGTGTAACAGAATTTGCCCAACTTTGTGGAGGGATGTTAAAAACTTCGGTTTCTATGAGTTTGAGGACATTGGTGTTAACACGGGGAAAAACATTGTTACGACGAATGATAGATTTCAGTTGGTGCCAAACGTGTTCAAATATGCATAATTATCACAGACGTATTGCTTTTGTCGGTTCAAACTTTGTAGAACCTCAATTTATTGCTTTTTGGTATAATCTTCGTGAAAATAAATGCCGTTATTATACATGTAATTTTGGATTGTTGCTTTTGTGTCACATGAGGAAGGGGTTTTAGTCAACTGTCTACTGTGATAACTTGCATTGTCCATTACAATGACGCTATTGGGAAGAATGTTTGGAATTAGTTTGTTTTTAAACCAACTTTCAAATAAATCAGCGGTGGTGTCTTCATGGTAATCCAGCGAAGAATCTTTAATATTTTACGCAGGCAGAGAAAGTGCATTTGGAATCCAACCATCTTTAGAGCCAGCCTTCAAAATAGTTATTCTTTTACCTCTTTTTGATGGCGCGTTTGTTTTACATTTATCAGTTGAGTCAACCCACGCTGTATTACACACGAAATAAGAATGATTACTAATAAACTTAAACTAAGTAGTATACCAAACCAAAGAATATTAAACACAGGTAGGTATAAAATTATTTTCTATTACGGACCACAAATTTACCTGAATTTAAATTCCGAAACTTTAGGTAATAATCTTTTGCATTGTATGTTAATGACCACCTTTGGATAATCCCATTCAAAAGCAATTGGTCACTTTCTTATATCTATGAACAGACTATACCGTTATGTCAAGTATGTTCTCTTTTTCCCAATATTCGTTATCCAGTTTTCTTTGATAACTGTCAGCTGCTTTCCAAACAGATACTTCTGCAGTATCATCGGGCCTTGCCTGACTTACAATATATAAGAGACAGGCAGTTATCGTCGCTATATCCGCGAAACGCACCGATTTAGAAGTCTCCATTTTTCTCAACTACGCCCGATCATTCGTAAATAAGGTTTGTCGTGAATTGGAAGCATCTCTTGGCGATGTACAAACTGTTGCCTAAACCCAAAACAAATGAGGATCGTTCGGACACTGCGCAAGAGGCAACATGTGCAAGGGATCTTTCTCGAAATACTTTCAAAGTCCACGAGGGCATCTCTCTGAGGGTCTAATCCGTCGAGTTGTCCACGAAGACCTCCGCTACAAGTCCTACGATATGCACAGGCATAAACTCGAGATCAGAGACAAGACACAATATTGGTTGGCCAACAATTTTTATGACCACATCACCCCAAAGTTATGGCCACCTAGCTCCTCAGATCTTAATCCCCTTGATTATTACGTATTTGGCGCAGTTGAGCGAGGGACCAATAAGCATCCCCATTATCCTATTTCATCGCTGAAGAAGCATGAAGAAATTTGCCGCTAAAGGGATTTTATTGAATAATTATATAGTCTAAGAGTCAACTCAGGTTAAGGTAAATATCCTAGGCACCCTGTATTCAAATACAAGTCTGACTGAGATAATCATTTTCAAGGAAATAGTCCCTAATCCCTTCACCCTGCGTCCTTACATGGTCTTTCACGTATTCCTTTTCCCAAAAGTTTTCGGTTAAAATTTTTTTAGGCAACGACTTCGTATTTGAGCGTTGAGTGTCCATATTTCATTTCCGTAACACAAGACAGACTTTACCATTTTATACTTGTACTAGAAATAGTACTGTCCTAATATGTTTCAGAAGGTGCCATTGTTACAATTAAAAACCGCTGGGAGACGAGATACCACGTTTGACTAAAATGTATATAAATCTTGTCATTGTCTAATTCTTTTTATACAAATCCAAAAAACAAATTGTTAACGTGGATTTTTTTTATTTGTAATTTATTTGTTGCAGGTCATGCGATATATGGTATTTATAATACCTTGCCTGCTTGTTCTACAGCCAATTTGTTGCGAGATGAGTTATATTATGGACGGGTTCAAAGAAAACACAACCACAGTCCCCTACCAGTGTGACACATTTACCCACGAGGAAGATTATGAGGTTCACTGTTACGGGAAGTATTTGACTGAAATCCCGAGAACTTTGAACACATCTCTCAATAAGCTAATTATTACGGATTCCGATTTAAAATTTCTCACGCGAAACTCCTTCCAAGCATATGCAAACAAATTGCAAGATGTGTAAGTGGTATTTGCTTAAATGTATTCCCAATTAATCACATATAACATCTCCAAGGGCGAACGCTTTTTAACTGTGAAAACAAGAAACTGCCGGTTACGGAAAAACCATCTTAATAATAATGCCCTTGTTGGTAATCTTGGTGCTGCTATGCAGTCCAAACTTGATAAAACTTAGAAAAAATTAATTGCTACAACCATATCAACCTGTTGTGTTCGTTTTGATGTTGTTCTAAACCTATTGTTATTAATTTTTTATTTGCAGGACTTTATCAGGTCTTCGCTATATTAGAGTGATCGAGGAAGGAGCGTTTGCTAACATTCCGAATTTACGCACAATGTAAGCAATTATTACACAATGTTTTCCAAGTTTTGTAATTTTGTTTTTTTTTTTAGTTACATATACAATGCTCCAGAGTTAAAATTTTTACACGGACTGTTGAAAGACGTTACTTCTACAAATTTTAAAACTTTGTAAGTAACTTAATTTAAGAAATCTGATAGACTAATTTTTGTGTCACATAAGATAACTTCGTTTTGTGTGAGAAATTTTTGAAAAGCAGCTGGTTAAGTGTTGTTTTTTCGACAAATTTGATACAATTCGCACTTGAACCTGTCGTGCTTATCGTATGACGAACTAATTACGAGCAGTTGTTTTTATTTTTGAAAGCCAATAAATGAACTGAATTTTCAAATCTAATTGTGCACCCCTATATATATTGCTGTCTATTGATACGCCACATGTCGTAATAATATTTGCTTTTTTTTTAAACGTCATTCTTCAAAAGTTTGACAACAGACAATACGATGGATGACACACGAAAATTAGGGAACTAATTATGTATTTATGTTCCAGGAGAATTGTAAACACTGGACTACATGATGTTCCGGACTTTATTCATTTGCCTCCAGAAAACACGATGTTTTTGCTGTAAGTACTTCTTGATTGATTGAATTATATTTACATCCATCCACATATATATTAAGGGAATTTAATTGGCATGGACAATGATTAAAAAAAATAACAACGAAAAACAACTTCAAAAGTAAATTACATCGTATAACATAAAAAAATTCTAATTTGGACTTAAAAAATGACATAATTTCTAGGTACTATAGATACTTGAATTTTGAAAATGAATATAACAATTAATTATATACCTAAAAAATACATACAATACACACAGAAAATGGGTTACAGTTTTTTATTCTTTCCTGATGTTTTTCGCGTTTTATTAAAATTGTAAAATTTTAAACAAAATGTTGTATTTTATGAAATTCAATTTTATTACTTTTTAAATAAAAAAACAGTACAACCTAATAGTAATAATAATAAATATTAATAAAAGTATAACAAGTTTGATAAACACCACTTTAGTGACGAGTACGGGGGACAAGTGAACAAGTTTATCAACGTGTTGCAGTATACTTTTTCTACGAGCTAGAGCAAAACAGCACAAATACATTCACTGAGCGAAATGTCACGTTACGATCAGAACTGATAAACGTTAAAATACCATCCGTGTCTAAAATATATCAAAAGTATTTCATAACTCCCAAGCGCTGACTAAAGTAGCGGAAATCTCTCAAGTGACTGGTGACCGTATGTAAAGAAGCTGACACCTTCTACATACTCGATCGGTTCATATTTTCGAATAGGAAGTAGAAAATAAATAGAATATACCGCTGGCCTTATTTTTCACTCCTTCGGTCTTGTTTCAGGGACTTGGATCACAATAAAATAGAAAAACTTGAATCAAACTCGATTAAAGTATCAGCTCTCCAGGTGTAAGTAAATTTAATACGGTTGCGATTAATTTTTTCTCTAATTCATTTTTCTTCAACTTCCGGCTTATAAAAAATGGTAACAAGAATTTGGTTTAGAATTATGAAATAAAATGAAGACCTTTTTAGTTGTTTAACCAATTTAACAATTTATTTTAAACAACTAACCGTAAATTTAATTAAACGTATGGGCTTAATAAATGTACATCGCATTTTGTAGGACAATCAATTTCAACAGTATTGTAAAAATTGAAGATTACGCTTTTAACGGATCTCAAATAGGAAGGCTGTAAGTTAAACGTAATGAAAAACGCAGATAATGCTATTTTGCTTTTCTTGCTTTAGACATATTCGTGCTAATCCTAAACTCACCGAATTAGGAGATAACGCTTTCAGTGGAATGCAAAATCTTCGGGAGCTGTAAGTAATGATAATATAGATCTTAAATATTTACAAATAAGCTGCACAAACTAACCAGAATTATTTGTTTTAAATGTGCATTTTTGTTTTATGTGCGTATTTTAGGGATTTGTCTCAAACCTCTATAAAGAATTTGCCGTACGTAGGCCTAGAAGCTATCGAGACGCTTAAAATATTGGACACTCCTTCTCTCCAAACGGTTCCAAGTCTCTATGATTTGTCAGTAAGTATACCCAATGTCCGTTAAATGTTTTCACTAAACAATATACTTGTATAATAAGCTGCATTCTTATTCCTGATCAGAAGTTGTTGTTGTAGGGTTTAAGAGTAGCTAAGTTGACTCATCACTTCCACTGCTGCGCGTTTAAGTATCCTCAACAACACAGTCCATCTAAGCATGCCGCATACCAAGAGACCATGCAACAATTTTGCATGCAAGCCAAAGTAAACGATTTTAAAAAAAGAAAAAGGTCGACGGACTACACAAATTAGTAAGTAGTTTTAAAAGAAGATTATATAAAGTAGAGATTTAGAAGGTGAAAGTAAAGTGTTAGAAGTGAGAGTAATTTTAAAAGAAGTATATACAGTCAGTAGTGTGTCACTAGTATAGTGGCAGTTTTTAAGCTCCAAGTTTTATTTTCGGTTGTTATGGAATGTAGTAATAGTTACTGAGGTGAAGGTTTCCAAAATCTAAAATAATACTCAGGTAATCAATTAATTTAGTATTAAATTAAACATAGGACCCGTTTCCAGTTTAACCAAGTACAATGTTTTATAAAGAGTGACCATAATAAATTTACTTAATTATTTATTATAAGAATGAATTACTGGGAAATATTCTAATGTATGTTGCAGCAAATTTACTCAAGGAGAAAATGACCGAAATTTGACAAATTTCACTTCGCCGTTAATATCCAGTACACTTCAAGCTATATACAATAGAGTTCACGAAAAACAAGTTAAAGAGTTAGCCATTACTCCACTGCGGGGACAATTTATTGGACACCAAAAACCCAGAGAAGAAGATAGCTTGGTTGATGAAGACGTAGGAGTTTTTCATTCACAACCAACCAAAATTAACAAAACCGCCATTGACATATTTTGTGGAAATATTACCTTCAGGTTAGCAGCATTCTTTCAGAAACAGTGTGACCAAGGGAAACGAAAAACGACACTGTATCTCATTCTTATAATAAATAACAATATATCGTTTAGAAAGTCAAGTTTATAAACAAAGTTTTTTTTATTTTATCTTATCTTTTTAGCATTTTTAGTTTGTTTCGCTTTAACGAAAGAGCTATATTACAATTTTAACAGGAAAAAGTGAAATCTTAAAAAATAAAGTTAAAAATTTAGTTTTTCTCTTTCTAAACAACATATTGTTAGTTACTTTTACCACAGTATGTTACGGTTCTGAATTTCCCTTGCAGAAAACCTTTGATAATTCCGAACGTAATTACAAACAAATAAAAATTCAAATACAATCAACGAAGGTTTATTTCTTGTACACAATGCAAAAAAATGTATTGAAAATTAAAAATAAAAACCGTTAAAAGTCAAAAATATCAATATCCTAATATTTTGGCACAATCTCATTCCTCACCCAACTTCAACCAGTAGTAGATGTGCAATTTCCTATTTTCTGAACTGAACAGTTTTAATTTTTTCATACCTGTTTTGGCTTCAACCAAGTATTTCTATTAACTTTCTCAATAATTGTTTCCGCCCATATCTTCTTTTTGCCACATTCGCTAAGCAAAAAAGAATTTTATATAAATTCTTATTTTCTTGACCACGCCACTAATAAAACAAACTGTCGAAGAATTGAATTTAGTCTGCGTAAAACTTAACTGAACTTAAAATTAATTTCTTAGAATATAAGAAAGTAGCTATTTACACACCACTAGTCACGATACACACTACCAATAATTTATATAACCCCTCTGTTTATATTTGTTGACTATTTTTATTTCCGCCCTTCTCACGGTTTACCTTTTCGACTGACTGGTTAGTGTGCTGCGCTCGTATTAAACACAGCATTTTCCAGCATATACCCGAGTCGTCACATTACATTACGTTACCATTTTAGTTTAGGTGTAGGGAGCTAATGGGAAACTTATTCTGATTTTTAACTTCGAAAGATTGTGTAAAAAAAATATATATTCAGTTGCCAGCTCTAGCGGTTTTCTATTTTCAATTTTCAGTACATGTTTTTAATAACAATAACAAATAAAAATAGTAGACTTTTTTCGGGTTGCTCAGTCTTCTAGGGTTGTGTGGTAGAGCACGCTGTTTAAAACGAACTGTGTGATTTAAAAGTAATTCATTTCTTGTATATTTTGGTTTCACCTTTTCAACGTTAACCAATTGCAAATACTGTTTCTCCCTGCTTTATTATTTTACATTGATTCTAGGTTGTTTTAGAAAACAAAACGTAAATTGCATTCCGGAACCGAACGACCTGAATCCATGCGAAGATATTATGGGTTTTACTTGGTTGAGAAACGCCGTATGGCTGGTTGTAATATTAGCTGTGGTTGGTAACGTTGCAGTGGTGGCAGTGATAATGCTAAGCAAAACCGAAATAAACGTTTCTAGGTTTCTCGTTTGCAATTTAGCATTTGCCGATTTTTGTATGGGACTTTATCTGTTGCTTATCGGAAGTATGGACTATCATTCGGTTGGAGAGTATTTTAACTTCGCTTATAACTGGCAGTATGGTAAGAATAAGTTTTTCGGAATACATGAAATAATAAGTTCATTTACTTAGTTTAAAACTGCGTGCTTTCTCTAGTGCTTATCAAAAAAATTAGGCAAGATTTTGTAACGATTTTATCTCTAATAACAATATATGATAACCATACTATAAATTATAAAACGTCTTGTTGCCGTAAACTAGCATTGTATCGATTTTCTACGTCAGTGTCAAGTGATATTTCTAACTATAATTCTTCTTTTTGTTATCATAATAGAACACTTTTAGAGAATGTACGGCTTTCAGGAAAAATTAATTTAGAATATTTTTGTATTGATTTGGCGATGATGTAAAAATAATATTTATTTTCTAATATTTATTAGTTGATTGATGAAATGTTTCATCAAACTTATTGACAAAAAAATTAATGAAACCAAAACAGTGCTTTCTATAGTGTTAAAGATCTGGTTGGTGGGGAAAATGTTCCCTCGTAAGCAACTAGCACATACTCGCTTACTAAGACAGTCGTAATTCTGAAAAAATTCTTTTTATGTTTAACTTGCCATAAAATGCATTAGTTAGAGGAATTTCAAAATACGTTTTAATTCCCGACTTATCTACGATAACGCACTTTTTATTTCGGAATCCTATCGAATCGGTAAAAAGCGAAATTTTTAAACCACCCTGTATAACAAGTCTCTTATCCAAAAATAATCAGAAAAGAGGACGGAGGAGTACCCCATTTAAAATATCAAATGTTTAACCTATCATCCACTGTAAATCAGTCTATATAAATGTTTCGCTTAATTTGAAAACTTGTAGGAGGCACGCATTCTCACATAGACTCTGCACGGATGCAAATAATACTGCTTTTTCAAAAATCCAACAATTTTCACAATAGTTTCTTCCAGCTAATTGTTCATCTTTTAGTTTTCTCTTCAACCCTTTCATTTAACTCTTTTTGAACCTGAACCTCATAAGAAAAACTATTTTTATTTGATATGTCATGCATTCCTATATTTTCAATCTGGTTTTACTATATAACAACTAGATATATAGAAGCCATGCCTAATGTTGATAATTGCTAATAATAAATATTAAGATAAGCTATTTAATATGTGCGTAATAAGACCTAGCGGCGTTCAACAACCAACATGGCCATTGACAGATGGTCAATTCCACAGTTTTCAGTTTAGATGTTGCATTTTTATGGTTAAATACTTTTTTGAATATATCTAGGTCTCGTTAAATATTCTGGACAAAAAAGTAATGTGGGGTAAAATTTGAAGGGCTTGTGCGAAAGCTCATTTTAATCTATACGTAAGAGGACCACTATGTTATCTAATAACTATATCGATAATCGATAATTTTTACAGGCATTCTGTAAAATATACTATGATATAGATATATTGGAAAGAAAGTGTCAAATTAATATACACCGATTGTGAAATTTTTGGTAAAAACTGGTAAAGATATCAAAAAATCACCTCAATTTGCTCTTTATTTGTACTACATAGATTTTATTGATGTTACAAACTATAGAAATAAATAGTTCTTCGAATTTCGAATGTCCTACCATTTATTACATAATTATTAGGATAATATTCGCCCTCTGCTAACTTGCAATTGTATTGTAGGTATCGGTTGTCAATTTGCCGGATTTTTGACAGTTTTTGCTGGTCATTTGTCAATATTTACCCTGACTATTGTCACCATGGAGAGATGGTTTGCAATCAAATACGCTATAGATTTGACGAAGAGGATAAGGCTAAAAACTGCTATTAAAATTATGTTTTGTGGATGGATCTACTCTATTTTAATGGCTAGCTTTCCGCTTTTGGGCATTAGCAACTATAGCAGCACCAGGTATGAAAGTCGATTCTTATAAACTGTGTCCATGTTCAAAAAGCTCAATTGGAGATTCAGAAAACAATAAAAGCTACAAATTATTTTTATCCTTAATAAAGTTGATAGGTTTTTGTCTCTTAATTTTAACGTTTTCATTTTCATTGCCTTTTTTCTCCGCTGTATTTTCTTGCAACTTGCAAAGATAAAATATATTCGTAGGTATTATAGTAATTGAAGTACTATCTGCAAAATAACCAACATTATTTTAAACTAAAATTATTTGAAATGATTGGATACAGCGAAGAATCTGGCAAATAGCCGAAATAATGTAATGTGCGTTCAATTTATAATTATTTATCTTGATAACATTTTAATTGGCTGTAACTTTTTTGTTATTAGAAATATCAGGGTAAACAAAAAAATAAAATGTAGGGTTACTAGAGCAGTTTTTTTCAAGTGACATATAAAACAAAACACTATCAATTTTCTTACACAATTACCTACATCTTATTTTTTTAAATGGTACATCCTGTATATTATGTATGTGTTTAATAGAATATCTTATTTCGATTACAATGATTTAATACATGTTTTCGACGAATCGGAAAAATAGGAAATTTTTATATAATTTCAAAGAGTGCCCTGACTGACAAACATTTGATATATTAGTAAACAACTTTGGTGGTTGAAATATTGTCTAAGTCATTATTGTTGAAATAGTTTTTCGCGAATTTTGCATCTGTGAAAGGAGTGATATGCTTCAAGTATACTTTTTGAATAATAAAACTGCAACCGTAGCTCCTCATCAGTATATTTGATTTTATCCAGAGCGCCGAAATCCTTCAAAACAGATATTTCCAAGGCTGGCAAAGAAATTTGCAGAAAACGGTAACGTAAGTGCTAAAAAGGTATGCCAGAATCATAATGTTCTAAATGAAGAAAATAAGGCAAACATATATAAGAGACAGTCCACTCAGTTTTGAAAGAATACAAATATTATGCGTATAAATTTCGTAAAACTCAAAAACTAAATGCACAACAATGTTAAAGGAAGATGTTGTTTTGTTGGATTTTTTTAAATAGCCATAATGAGAATAACAATGTTTTGAAAAACATTTTATGGACTAATGAAGGTTCATTCACGACAAGAAAGTGTTACGCGGAAATACGCGAAATTGGTATTTAAATAATCCTAGGCAAATACACGAAATAAAAACCCAGGGGTACCAATCAATTAATGTATGATTATTAATGATGATATTTATAGATCAAAAGTTAACTGGTGATCATTATTTGCAATTCTTTGAGCACCAAATAGAACAATATATAGAAGATTTACCCCTAAATATATCAGAGCTGATTATATGGCAGCAATGTCGTGGAACCTCGGCAAGGGATTTCAGAGGCAATCAATCTGTTAGGAGACAATCCGGAAATGCAAGACATAAAATTAGAATGTATGAGAGATGTGTTCAGGAAAATGGTGGTCACATAAAGCAGTATTCAGAAAAGTTAAAGAATTTTTTGCTTTAGTGTGTCTTTTCATTTTTGGTGTTCTTGTTCTACTTTAATTTGTAAATAATTATTTTCACTGCAGTCAGTCACGGCGCTCTTTGAAATTATATAAAAATTTCCTATTTTTGCCGATTTGTCAAAAACAAGTGTACTAAAATATAAAGTGCGTTACATCATTGTAATCGGAATAAAATATTCTATTAAACACATGTATAATATACAGGGTGTTCTATTTAAAACAATATGATGTAGGGTTTTTATTTATCTTAGTATCCCTAAAAACAAAAAACTTACAGCCTATTAAAATGTTATCAAGATAAATTGAACACACGGTTCATACTGACGCAAATTAATTTATTAGAATGTTCCTTTTTTTTCTCCACTACGTATTAGCAATTCTTATTTTTTCTCATCTTTCTTTATCTTATCTTTTTAAAATCTAAGTAAAATTAAAATATCTCTCGAAATTTAATAGATCTTATACTAAGTAAGGGTTATAATTTAAAACGGTTCACCAAAAAATGTTTTTCTGGACGCTGTTGAATTTTATGTATCTAGATTTCCAATATTTTATCTTTTTTAAGTTTAAGATTATAATCAATATCTATTACTTCGAATTACGATTTAATTTTAAGAATTATTTAAGCTTTTGGCATTTTTTATGTCTTCATGTATTATGTCATTTGAAGTTTTTAATGAGTTTTTTGATTTGTAGCATTTGTCTTCCTATGGAAGTGAAATCAGTATTAGACAAAGCTTATCTATACAGCATATTGCTGATCAACGGCATTTCTTTGGGAATAATCGTATTTTGCTATGCACAAATTTACTTCAGTTTGGGCTACGAAACACGCAGGGCGAGTCAAAAGGGCGAAATGACTATAGCCAAAAAAATGGCTCTCCTTATATTTATCGATTTTGCCACTTACGCACCGATAGCGTTTTTCGGAATGTGCGCGCTGGTTGGGTTCCCTCTGATTAATATTACCAAATCGAAGATATTACTGGTATTCTTTTACCCTCTTAACGCGTGTGCTAATCCGTATCTGTACGCGCTTACGACGTCGCAGTACAGGAAAGATTTATGCTTGATTGTGTCCAGGTGAGTCGTTTTAATGAATTTACACAGCGAAGGGACGAAATATTTTCTAACCAGGTGGGGCTTTTGCAAGAAAAAAGCGCAGAAATATAGTTTGACGGACCATAATTCCGGTGGTAAAGCGCCAGCGTTATTGGGTCATTCGGAAATTAGTCATTGCCACAACTGCAGAGATAATCACAACGGGGACCTCGCCAGTACTTTTTTATAAAAAAGCGTAACGTTTTCCCAAAAGTTCCTACCTCACGTCAGCTTTTTGTCTATTTGAATAGGTATAATCGCTTTGTATACGAACTAAACGATGTGATTATTATATTTTTCTAATCCCGTCTGTAAAATACCTAGTCACCCACCGATCTAGCATATATTCCCCACGCTTTGAATTTTGACGTTTGTAAATTCGTGTTGTTTTGCGAAAATGTACCCAAAAACTAACGGTCGTAGAAAAAGTATAGTATTCAACACGTTCGGTAAACTTTTTAACTCACTCGTTTATTAAAAAATCGCTCCGCTCGTGTCAAAAACTAACCAAAACTATTGAGTCAAATGCCGTTTACCGCACTTGTTGCATAATATACTATTTTCTAATCCCGTCTGTAAAATACCTGATTACACACCCATCTAGCGTGCGGGAAGGGTCACTTTACCACGTCAGTTTCGTTTCTCACGGTTCCGAGCCACTTCGGACATTTCCGAGATTTTACCGCACGGGTTTGGGAGCAATCGGACGTTCATGTCAGTGAATGTATTCGTGTCGTAGAAAAAGTATAGAATGCAACACGTTCGGTAAACTTTTTAAGTCACTAGCTCAGCTGCGCTACGCTCGTGCCAAATAAACTCTCGGATTAAATGCCGTTTACCGCACTTGTTGCATAATATACTATTATGATGATACTCTTTTTTTACTATTTCAAAAACTTGTAGAGCTAGTAAGTTAAGTGGTTGTCGCTTGATCGGTTATCATGTGTACTTACGAAGGAAATTTGTATACAGGATGGCTCAAAGGGGTTGTCTTTGGACAACGAAGTCAAAGACAAAGATGATTTTGTTTATATTTCCCTATAACCTCTTCTGGCATTTAAAATAATTTTAAAAATATATATAATTGCAATTAATCAGAATCCGATTAACCAAAAATGTGCCTTCGGCTGTGAAATAGATTTAAGTGCGGAAAATTAAATAGTAATAAATATTGTATAAATCGACAAACTTTTGAACTGCAGGAAACTTTATTTATTCATTCATTTCATAGGCATATAGGAATAAAATAGGGAAATAATTTGGGTTTGTCATTTATCAGCAACTTGGTTCCTCAAAATAGATTTGATTCAATTTGCTTGTAAGAACCCCCAGATTATAAACGAATTCATTGTAGATTTCGTTCTATGGTTTACGCCGTGTACCGTGTAGTTAGTACAATATTATATATTTCACTCAGTTTATCCTTACAAAGTGATAGGTAGCTTCTCATTTTTTTTGAGATTGCGGACCCTCCTAATTATTTAATTATAAAACGATTACGTATGGTATTTCTAGCAAAAGTCGCGAATTTTCTCGTTGATTTATTTGTTAAAACATTCCTTTAGCCGTATTATTTCTACAGTATTGCACATAATATTGTACCTATGCTAAATATTGTATATTAACAATGATGCATTACTTCATTGTACATGTTTGTATTCTATCCCCAATATACAATATCGCCAGTTGAAATTTTATTTTACAAATGCCAATTTTTTGTGAGACAAAGAAAAATACATACACGAAAATAAAATAGTTGATTAAGTTTTATAAAAATTGATTGTTTTATTCTACAAAAAAAAACAGCAACCGAGAACCGCACAGATACACATGGAATAATAAAATATTGGCACGCTTTTAGTTATAAAAATTGTTTCTTAAAAAAAAAAATTAAAAATACCTCTAATCACTAAATTACATTACATTTACATTTAAAATTCAATATTTTGACTTTTACTAGTTTTACTTATTTTACGCAAATCAAGGTTCCTTCTTGAAAAAACTTGAAAAACACTTATGTCTATTTAGTCGATTATTTCAAGAACCGTTAATTTTCGAGTCATGTTCAAATTGAAAAATTTTGTAATTTTTTCCTCTCTTTAATATTGCATCTTTGTTCCTTTTTTTTTCTACAGACCTGGATTTTTACAATAGCCATCATAGCTACGGGATTGTTTTTCTTCGGCGCATAAAAAAAAAACAATTTTTTTTTAAATGATTAGACATGTTCTTTATGTAAAGTTACATTTTAGAAAACAATAGTTATTGGTAGTTAATTGGACTATATACTATCACGACGGCTATTCTCCTGTCATCAGAAAGCATGTTTGAGTCATTTTAAGTCATTTATATACTTTTCAATTTTCAAAGAAATTTCGACGGGCTACTGTACTCTATCGTCAGTTGTTTATAAATCCAAGTTGTTGACGTTACGCCAATCATCCTGTTCAATTTCACCAGTTTCAGTTTAGCTCTGAAGAAGCCAACAGGATGATTGGCGAAACGATAGACAGTTTGATTTATAAACATGCGACTCAGGATGAATCCCGAATATTTTTAAATATCATTTATATACTTTTAAAAAATAAACTAAAAACCCGAAAAACCAAATTAACAGTTCCTTCAATATTTGACTATAGATAGTCACATATAGGTGTTTATCATCATGTATTACAGAAACAAAAATGGTTTATAAATACTGTAAGCGCATGTTAAGTGAGCACCTTTAAAACGAACACCCTGTATTGCAATAAGTTAAATAATAAATATTTCTGTTAGTCAACTCTTTCGAAATTGGAAATGAAATATATGATATATTTTTTTTTCAATCGGCACCTACTAGTCAATAAACTGATTTTTAAACTAATGACTTTTTTATAATTTGTTGTTTTTCGAAAATAATACAACCACATCAAAAACCAAACGCATACGAACACCGGGCACTTTAATTCTATTGATCTTGTATCCCAATTTGTCGCGTTTGTCAAACTAGTTTCCGTCAAACTTGTTTACATCGTAAACTTTTCGTCAATATAATTGTTTTCATTAGGTTCGATTTTTGGTACAAAATGAAGGAAATTATCGCATCGGGATACCCCCGGTCCATTTCCATTGGCGATTGAGGGTTCGAACGGTTTATTCGAATAATTTCCTATTGGTTCCCGATTAAGATTGGGTCCTGTATTTGAGTTATATTCGTTGTTGGTTTTGTCCATCAGCGGCATATTAAAATTAAACGTTCCCTCGGAATTGTCAGTTATGTTAGATTTTTTCGCTAATTTTCTGTCCTTTGCCCTTCTATTCTGAAACCATATTTTCACTTGACGCTCCGTGAGGCCCAAGATGGCCGCCAGTTCCGTTTTTCTCCCTATCGTGATGTACCTATTGTTCATACTAAATTCCTTTTCGAGTTCCATTCTTTGGAATTCTGTGTAGACCATTCGATACTTGTCTCTTGTTCTCGTAAATTTCTTCTTACCTGTATCTGAAACAAAGCGTTTTGTTTATTTAAGTGTTGTGTTAATAGACAGATTTTTTTGTTACTTTTTATTTCCCATAATTTTTTTCAGTCAAGCGCGAATTAAAAACATACGAATTGTGGAAAATTATTATTTTTTCTATTTGTATGACAAAGTACTGTAAGCATATCGCTTATTTATAACGATTTACAATTTTTTTTTTCTACTCCCGTCTGTAAAATACCTAATTACCCACCGATCTAGCGTGTGGGAAGCGTCACTTTACCACGTCAGATTCGTTTCCCATGTATCCGAGCCACTTCGGACATTTCCGGGATTTTACGGCACGGATTTGGGAGCAATCGGATGTTTTCGGAGATATTTCCCACTCTTTGAAGTTTGACGTTTGTCAATTCTGACGGTCATGTCAGTGAATGTATTCGTATTGTTTTGCGATAATGTAACCAAAAACTAACGATCGTAGAAAAAGTATAGTATGCAACACATTAGGTAAACTTTTTAACTCACTCGTTTATTAAAAACTTGCTACGCTGCGCCCCGCTCGCGTCAAATAAACTCGTGAGTCAAATGCCGTTTACCGCACTTGTTGCATATTATACTATTTTCTACTCCCGTCTGTAAAATGCCGAATTACACATCGATCTAGCTTTATCTCACTGGTTTATTAAGCACTCGCTCCGCTCGTGCCAGATAAACTCGTGAGTCAAATGCCGTTTACCGCACTTGTTTCCTAATATACTATTTTAATTATTTTGTTTTATTTTACTTTATTTGCTGCATGTTACTTGGGTTTCATCAATAACTGGTGACATATGTATTTATTACTTTGCACTTTTAATTATAACTTGCTAATTTAATGGGGAAATTTAAGCAATTTTGGGAGAAAATGTCTCCTATTTTGTTCTGATTTTTGAAAATGGATTGTAATGTTAATGTCATTCCTTTTATCCATTGATTTAACTGTATGCAGTTCCCTGTATCATAACCCTGCAAAGAAAAGGAAATATTGCTGTGCTGACCGTAGGTAATAACTATTGTAGCAAAAAATTAAATTGCAAATGTAAATTCAGGTTAGAATTTACGTTTGTTTAAATTATCTAATAATTAATCTATTCTGTTTCCAATAAAATATATTTTACATGCCAAATAAAATTAAGAGTAAAAACCATTATTTTTTTAAAAATAAAGGCAAATACAAAAGCTGTTTAGAATAAAAACTTGCCCATCAGTGGCAGTAAACAAATTTTTATATTGGAAATATAACAGACATATTGCATCATGAATTGTTTTGGGAACTGATGACAAACCAACAATTCGTTTTAGCGAAAAGAGTCACTAGCGAAAACGGTATCAAACTTAAAACATTAGTAGCTAGCGAGATACTGAAAGTGGTTCTTTATAAATTGTGAATTTGTAATGTTTCAGTTTAGCTCTGAAGAACTGAAACTTGTGGAACTAAATAGTTTCAGTTTAGATCGGCAGTTCGGAAGAACAGATCTGCAACTTGTGAAACTGAACATTTATTGAACTCATACCTTCGAAACAAAAAAAAATGGAACAGGAATGAGTTATTTTATGTCCAGTAAGTTTAAAGTGTAAATTTAGTAATGGTAGTCAGCAGTTCTTTGCATGCATATCTTAATATTTGTACTTGAAACGATTTAAAGTTTTGCCTCCTCAAAACAAGCCGATGTTTATAAAGTAAGGTTAATAAAGCACGATCACTATTAATACTATTACATTTTTATGAGGCGTCCGAAGCCTTAGCTCCCAAGAAAAATGAGCTCCCCAACAGGTGGCTATCTTTTTCAATCTAAAGCAGAAAAGATCGAGAGGATGTTGCCCAGAGATTAGAATTACCATTTTTTTAAAATTAAATGCATAGTATAACAAACATATTTTACCGGCAAAGTATTAAAATTAAGACATTCTACATACATATAGAATGACAGAAATATATAAATGATTTTTATATACTTTGTCTAGGAATTTCATACAGTACCTATTAATTTTATAGAATGCCTTTGTAAAATTGGGAAACGTGCAAAATAAGAGTTGTATTGGCGAAAATTGAGCCACTGCGTGTGTTCTATGAAAAAATAAAAAAGCGAAACTAACTTAACAATCGCCTTTGATGTGGGATATATTATTGAAGGGAAGTAGATTTTCGCCTAGGATAAAACCGTTTGACTCAGTGTGGATCAGTATTTGCTTCTTTCCTCTTTAATTATAAGTAGACTGATTTGACCTAGGACAAACAAGTTTCGTCTGAAATGGATACTACTTAAGATATAGAATATCTGTAGGTCCAGACAATTATCAAATCCGTGTTCCATAAAATATTTATAATATATTTCTTAAATAGAGTTTTGGCAACATATAGAGTCTCCTTCTTAATGTGGTTTCTATATGCCCAGAAGCATACTCTTGTAATTGCCAAAATAATTCTATATAATAAAAGGAAACAAGTTATATTCATCTGCAAAGCAATTTTATATATATGGGATTGAAACTCTGTGTATGACTTGGGAAATAGCAATGGTAAATTTCTACTTACTCGAAGGTTGATCGCCGTTTTCGTCAGTTTGATTAAACCCTTCAAATTGTTCGAACTGTTTCACACCTCCTTCGTCGTTCGGTTCTTCCTTCGCAATTCCCATATGCTGCTGCTGTTCCTGCTGCTGTCTCTGGTGTAAAGCAGGAATTCCGTGAACAAAATCGTGGTACAATTGATGGTTATACCATATATGACTTTGGGGTGCTTCGACATTTCCGTATGGATGGTTTTGAAGCTGGGCGCCTTGGTGCGGATAGTAACCACCGGCGTACCACATGTGGTTGCCGTGTGTTGTTTGCATTGGCATTTGACCATGATTTTGGTTGTAACACGGAACCATCTGAGGAACGGTGCTAGACAACTGAGGCACCGTTAAGTTCGGAAGACCGCCGATCACTAAATAAAAATATTTGGGAATAACATTCGGCTTTTGGGAGATCAAAGTAAGGACTTGGGCAATAAATTGCTCCTCGGAATTACCCCTAATATAATGCAAATTATCCTGAAGTAATTCGGGCGTTCTGCCTTTGTCAGGCTCCTTTGAAAAGGTTTTGTTGTGTGTATTGCAATGTTCTTATGAATGTAGTGATTACCAACATTCGAAATCGGATATTTTCAAAATCCATTATTTCTGAATTGCTTAAAATTCGAATCTCGCTATTGGAAGTTTTATGACTTTATTTCTTAATTAACTCTGAGCTTAACACACCCCGGACACAAAAATTGAAAGAAATAAATGTATATTATTAGTATTCTATGGACTTGAACAAAAAAAAAAGTGTTTAAACGCAAAACCATGATGCATTTAATTATATACAGAAAACGAAAAATTATATCCCAATCAAAGTTGCACTTGTCAACGTACTGTATATTACATGTAGAAATTATACTTAGTAAAATGTAGCTAAATACAATAATGAACAAAGATTAAAATATTTTATAATTTTGTTGTATTTTTTTAATTTGCACTTCCACTTCAACAATTTTCGAAAAGTAAAATTATAATGTATTATTAACACCATGTTTTTGCAATGGTAAATAGTAGAAATAATCCGGGTTGCTTATGGTTGTTAGATAGAAACAGAAACTCATTATTCTGTCATAAGCTTGGCGTGAGAACTATTTATATAAAGCTTAATGATTATTATCGATATAAGTACAGGCGACAGATATTTTAAAACGGCGAATTTTAGAAATATGGCAGCGTCAATTGATCGTAAAATAAATTTAATTTCCTGTCAATTAACTTTTCCCGTCAACAGTTTAATTATAACTATTATCTTAATGAGCTCGTTACACTCAAAAACAGAATTAAATTGATTGCTGTCCGCACCTTCAAGCATTATTACGAAGGGTAGGTCGTCGTAATAATCCTTAATAAAATGGAGAAAAATGTTTTCTCTTCGAAGTTTTATATAACTAAAAATAGAACTTTATTTATGCATGTCATAAAGATTGTTTAAAACAGAACTGAACTAATAATGTTGTGTTTTTTGGTTATAATTTTTTCATTAGAAGTAACTCTGCAGAAATGTTGCCATTTCTTCGGTTTCAATTCTAAAATTAATACAGACTGCTATTAATATGGTAAGTTCTTTAATTTACTAGAAAACCGAACTTCTGTAGGCGATTCGTGGAATAGCTACCTACAAGACCAGCTACAATAGTTTAGAATGGTTAGGTGAACGTTAAAAAATATAAAAGAATATATGAAGAGAATTTATAGAAACGTTATTTTTTAAAATATTGAATATTTTTCTGCTTGCCAAAGTTTATTTCAAATTTCTTATTATATATATATATATATATATATATATATATATATATATATATATATATATATATATATATATATATATATATATATATATATATATATATATATATATATATATATTGTCTGACAATGTATTTTTACTATTATGTAAATATTTAGAAGTAATACAAATATAAATTTTGTTGAGAATTTATAGAATCGTATTTCTTTAAAACACCTTGAATGTTTTTCAATTCAATTTCAATACCAAAGTTCATTTAAAATTTCTTATACTTTTTTTTAAAGATTTTAAAACAATTTATATTTTTATTATTTCTTAACGTTTACCTAATAGTCAGACAATAATCAATTTCAAACCAAATATACTTTTATACTTTAGGAAGGAGGGACAATGTTATTGGCAGTGTTTATGTACAAAGGTTTCTAAATAAATAAGAACTAAAAGTTCATATATTCACGAAATTATATATATTCACATGACAATTGTTTTCGACAACACCGTGTCTTTTTCAAATGTAATATGTAAAAATGTAATATAATATACATTTGATAAAGACACGGTGTTGTCGAAACAATTGTCATGTCATTGTCATATATAATTTTGTGAAAATCTGAACTTTTACTTCTTATTCATTTTGTTAGATGGATTTTCATCAAGTAAAAGCCACCTCAGTTCAATTTTTGAAAGAAGCTGAATTTGGTTTCTTGGCTATTTGATACTTCAAATTGCTTCTACGTTGGCAAAGCTATCTGATGAATTGGGAGTCTTCATGGCTCATGTTTGTAAAAAAAATTATTAATATTGATATTAATTAATAAACAGAAATAGCAAACTTAAAGAACTCATGGCTTTATATAATATCAATACAAAACCTTATTTAATAATAATAAAAATCGCTGGAAATAGTGGATCTCTGTGAAATTAATGAACCGGACTTGAGATTTTTTTTATTTTAAACACGGCAACACTGCCTTGATTTTAGAGCACTGGAGTACCTCAACTTGCATGAACCTGTATAGTATGAAATCAATTTGTTCATGTTGTCTCAATGTTCATTTAATTACCAACCTCTCCCCGAAGTGCCCCGTATAGCAGCGTTTCACAATTTAAATGTAAATTCTTGGAAATCGCTGGGCAGCATTTAAATATCAAGTCGTTAGTTCAATATTAACGGGGTCCGAAATAATGGGTACGCCCGAAAACACCGAGAGCTACCCAACGGGGCAATTAGAGTATCCTGGCAAATGACCTACAAAGTTCAGGCAACGTTGCAGGTATAAATAAGAACATATATTCGTAAAAAGCAATCCGTCTTTGTTGACTTGACGTGAAAAGACAAAAAATCATAATACACTTTTAAATGTCCATTAGCAGAACATAATTCATGTCATCACTTTATATTTATGCCAGGAGGAGCAAAAGCAAAAAAAATTACATATTTTGAGAAATCTGCCGATTATAAAATATTCAGAATACGTCAGATATACATATAAATGCATAAATGGGATAAAGGCGTGGCCCGATAGTAAAATCAAAATTAACTTACACATAATCCACAAAGACCACAAACACAATCAGTGCACGAAATCCCCGGATTTACGTTTAAATCATTCAAATGAAAAATTCGTTTGTTGATTAGTTGCTTCCATGCAATTATATTTCGAACAGAAACGACGAACATAAAATGCGTATTTTAGAGTAGCGAGTAGAAAAAAAGTTTTTCATAAAATGGAACAAAAACTCACTGAATTATCATATCGGTGAACATGTGCACGGCGATCAGGGCAGTATATATGTATTAAAAACAAACGGTTAAGCACCTAGGGAAAGGAAATTATAAATAAAGCAAAATTTTTGGTCGTTTAAATCTTTTTGCTTGGATAAAATACGATAAGCTAGGTGCATATACATAAGTACATAAAATTTTAATATAAAAGAGAAGCTGAAGAAGGTATTATACCCTTGAATTTTTCGCACACAACAATACCAAATAGTTGAAAATTGATCCATTTGTTGGACACAACAGTAAATCTCCTAATCTGACACCTCTTGCATCAAAGGTCGTGTTGCCTAAGCTCATTTGCATACTAATATGTCGGCAAGATATTGGTAAAAAACTAAAAAAAAATTTTTAATGGTCTTTTGCGAATGTTTTGATTGAAATTGAAATTCTTTATAAACCAAAAGCAATTGCATTATGCCAAAAATAACACTTTTTGAAAACCACATATTTTGGCCATAATATTCCGTGACGTGTAGCGGGAATTAACCCCCCGTATTAAAAACCCAACAAATTATAATATTCAGTGTTCTATTTAAAGTACTCTACCAAATACTTCCGTTATACCCAGAAGTGTCGCTGTCTTAAAGATAATTGAAATAATAAAATTTTCCGTTATAGATCCAAAATGTTTAGTTTTCAAGAAATACTTTCTTAAAATTTCAAAAGAGTGAGTGGAAGGCACCAACCTCGCCGTCTTCCACATTAATTTAGTGTGGAAGCGCACAATTTTGTTTCTTTTACCGTAAGTACTTTACTACCTACAATTTTATTAGAATACACAGAAAGAATAAATTCGTTAAGTGAAACAAATTTTGCGTCCACCTTAATAAATGTATGTTTAGATGGGCGAGTTAAAAATCTAAAAAAATATTTGTACATTCTATCAACATAGACACGGACACATATCAAATAAAAAAACTAACTTAACTAATGTTGATAGTTATTTGAATTAAAACGGGATTTTTTTGAATGCCATGGCTATTTGGATTAATAATTGATAAAAATTGAGAGAACTGGATACTTGTATACTTTTTCAATTTGCTACGTGTTTGCTTCAAGTACATTGTGATTTAATTTTCCAACTGTAATTTATATCTGACATTAGGAGATATTTAATTTAAATATATTACGTGTAATTAAACTAACTTTCAAAATTATTCCAGTCATAATTTAATCAACATATTTTAAGCTCAAATACTAGATCACATTGATGCATAAATTGTAATATTTAAAAGGAAAATGCCATTAACTGACACTAATAAGACAATTTGTTGAAGGAAGTTTTATTACTTCAGTAACGGATAATATTTATGGTAAAATTAATATATTTTTTAATATTATTTCACTAAAATTGTCGTTTCAAAAAAAAAAGGTAATTCAAACGCTTTTTAAGAGAGTCCTTTTCTTCAATTATTATTGAGAATAATACGAAAAAAAATATTTTTCTGCTCCCGTCTGTAAAATACCTAATTACACACTGATCTAGCGTGCCTAAAGCGTCACTTTAGCACCTCAGTTTCGTTTCCCACGAATCCGAGCCACTTCGGACATTTCCGGGATTTTACCACGCTTTGAATTTTGACATTTGTCAATTCTGACGGTCATGTCAGTGAATGTATTTGCGTTGTTTTGCGAAAATGTACCCAAAAACTAAACGGTCGTAGAAAAAGTATAGTAAGCAACACGTTCGGTAAACTTTTTAACTCACTCGTTTATTAAAAAGTCGCTCCGCTCGTGTCAAATAAACTCGTGAGTCAAATGCTGTTTACCGCGTAATATACTATTACGATTCGAATCACCTCCGTAAAAATTAATATTTTTTGCTGGTGGGTTAAAAAATCGTTTAGACAGTAGGGAAACGCGTATTGGTACTCTGTTTTCATTATTTCCTGAGTTATAAGGTATGTTTTCGTCAGTTTTCCCATTTTTACTAATTTGCAACTAATATATAAACCAGTTACATTATTGCTTTTGGCTCTCGAGAGATGATTTTATTTGGTTTAATTAAGTCTTGTATAAATTCATCATCATAAACTGGGTTGAAAAATAATAATTTCTGCAGTATAGTAGTAAATATTTTATTATTAGTCTTTGACCAGTTGGTTCCGCTGAATAGTTACACATAACATGACAACACCGTCACAAATAACAAATGGAAATAATCCAGATCACTTTCGAAAAGGAACTAATTTCCCATGAATTGTTACTTTAGCATGTCAGCAAATTTATTAAGATTAAAAAAAATATATATCTCTGCTACCCTGACGGGGGACATGGCCTATGGTGTGGCGAGTATAGTATATCCGAAAAGTTTAAAAAAAACCTGCCGACGAGGATACAAAAAATTCTAGCCAAAACGCTTTTGGCGAATAATACAAAAATCACGTACACTGCTTCCGTAAAAATATATTGCATTGCTTTGGGGTACAATCACTTCGCGGCAACCCTCTCTCCCTACTTAAATCGGAAAAATGGTGTTATTTACTTCCAAACCCCGATTCCTGATCATCACGAAACTTGTACTCCTTCTTCAACGAACCATACCTTCGAATGCTGGCTCTCGAAGACGGGGGAGAGTATACATATTTTTTTAAAGATTTTCGTTTAGATCTGTCCTTTCTCGACAAAACCAACCCGTACGCACCCTCGATTAAGTGCTTCGGCAGTTTGTCCTCCCTCGGATCGTTTGGTCTGATGTCCAAAGTAAAATCTCGTTGAGATTTTAATAAGAGAGCGTTCTTGTGTAAAATGAGCATAACTTTCGGCGGCACCCATCTTAGCAGTTTCGAAAACAGCATACTTTCCAAATGCGCAATTAAAGTTGCTTGACGCACCAACCTTTCCAGATCGGCGGTTTTCTGAAGACCCTGAATATCACTAACTGCCAGACCGACTAACAGATTTGTTAAAATTACCGTCACCAGCAAAACGAAAATGAGGTATGCCAAATGAGCGGTATACGGATATTTTACCTCGACATTACCGAACAATACGTCTTCGTATTCCAGCTCGCCGGACATCATGATGATGACCTTAATCAACACCCACTTTAGATCCTTGAATGCGGGGTAATTGGGAAATATGACGCCAAAACTGAGCGAAAAAGCGATAAACAGGCAAAAATAGGCCAACATAAATTTGGAGAAATTAATCGAGACCCTAGTGAACATCTGTATGTACAGTCCAAACGTCGGGAATCGGCCCACGTTCATCATCAATTCGACCCACGCTAAAAAAATACCAATTGCAGCGACATGATGTTGCCAAGTGTAAACGTATTCCCTGATGTTCATCTGATAAAGTGGTTGCACACAACAATAAACGCTTACTATGATGGCCCATTGAAGCCAATTTTCCCATTCCCTCACGTAAACTCTCCAGCTGTGTAAAATTTGAAAACATTCCTTGAAAAGTAGGAGGGTGTTTAGGAAAAGTACAAGGTAACCTACAAGGATCACTTCGTCCCCCGCGTCGCAAGCGGATACCACGTTCGCCTTTCTAAATGACGGGCAAAATTTTAAATATACGCCGATGATGTACGCTGAAAAGAGGACGACGAAAAGGGCGTGGTAAACCAGACTGAAAGTGAAAAATTTTCGAATTTGGCGCCACTTGAGATGAAGGAAAGTTTCGCACAACGGGTGTTGCAATATTTCCTTATGTCCCACTTCGATGAAGTTGACCAGCAAAGAGGTTTCTTGATTTCCCATTCTCGGTACCAGAATTCGCAGGTCGAGTTTCAACTGACAATCCACGTCACCCAGATCGTGTTCGTTGAGCCGTATCGAATTGTCGAACCTGAAACAAAAATAAGAACCGTTATTTATAAATTTTAAGTTTTTAAATACAAAATTACCTTCATCTTATCCGATAAAAATTGGTGGTAGACACCGATACATTGTTCAGAACAAAATGTGCCGCATATTTGCTTTTAAAGGCTGCTTTTAACTTTTGACGCGTAATAATAGTAGTTTTTTTAAATATAAACTTTACTAAACAGTGTCGCAAGCCAATTCGAGCGACTCCGGTACTTTAATTAGTTGTTAATTACAGTGGAGTCGCGATTGAACACACAAATGGTATCATTGTGCTTCGCGAGACAGTGGAGCGGTCAACTCCGATGCAATGAACCGCGACGCACGTCGTTGTCGATCATTATTTGCGTATATTTCACATGCTATCAGGTTCAGTTCGGAGTAGTGCGTTTAACTGTGAAGTCTTAAACAGCAAATATGTTTCAAAAAAGGAAGTGTTTGAATTTCAAAGAAAAAGGTGAACTGCTAGAATCCCTGAGTAAAGGTGATTGTGTGACTCTGCTTGCTAAAAAATATGGAATAGCCAAGTCAAATGGCTAAGAAAATATCGGAGTTATTCTTGACCTAGATACCAAATAACAACAACAATCATCGACGTTGCGTTTCCATAATTTTGGTTTTAGATGGCAGTTGTTGAGAGCTTTTTTTTTCGAAATATATTCGCAATGACTAGTGATAATGGAGAACCCCGTATATTTATTTTTATTTTCATTTGTTTATATACAGTATATGCAATAAACAGGTCCATACTTTGCTTAGAATTTAATTATTTGAGGTTTTGTCAGGAAATATACTAAACGATAATTATTTATTTATGTTTACTCATATTACTTAAAATTATTCACATAATATATCAGTATCACAAAACAATAATTATTTATTTATGTACGTATTTATGTTTACTCATATTACTTAAAATTATTCACATAATATATCAGAATCACTATCGCTATCATCGCCTGTTGTAATTATTATTTGTTCTATATTATTTGCAATATGAATATACGATTGTTCTGCTTTTTCTATATGTTTAACAGAATTTGTCCAACTTTGTGGAGGGATGTTAAAAACTTCGGTTTCTATAAGTTTGAGGACATTGAAGCTAACACGGGGAAAAACATTGTTACGACGAATGGCAGATTTCAGTTAGGGCCAAATATGTTCAATGGGATTAAATATACAGTGGTAAGGTGGAAGGCTTAAAACTGTAAGCCCTAGAATTTTTGCATAATTATCACAGACGTATTCCTTTTGTAGGTTCAAACTTTGTAGATCCTCAATTAATTGCTTTTTGGTTAGTAATCTTGAAAATAAATGTCGTTATTATACATGTAGTTTTGGATTGTTGCTTTTGTGTCACATGAGGAAGGGGTTTTAGTCAACTGTCTACTGTGATAACTTGCATTGTTCATTACAATGACGCTATTAGGAGGAATGTTTAGAACTAGTTTGTTTTTAAACCAACTTTCAAATAAATCAGCGCTGGTGTCTTCATGGTAATCCAGAGAATAATCTTTAATATTTTCCGCAGACAGAGAAAGTCCATTTGGAATCCAACCATCTTTAGAGCCAGCATGCAAAATAGTTATCAGTTGAGTCAACCCAACCCTTTTCCGGGGTATCATAAGTTTCGATACAGGTTTCATTGAAGTAAATAATTGGCCTTTGTTGTTTTCTGTAAATCCTAATTTTTTCTAGATATTCCAGACGCCATTTCCGAATTCTAAAAGATTTCATTAAAACTTGCCTTTTGTCAATTTTTTAAAATCTAAAACCCATGTGTTGAATACACTTCCATTAGGTAGTTCTGCCACATTTAATACCAGTTTCATCTTTTTCAAGCCTCCTAATTAAGATATCTAATGTAGGCACGCTTTGTTCCTCGTATAACTGGTAAATTTTACGCCATATTATATCTTGATCACTTTCATCTACACTCGAGAAAATGTCAGCATCGCTTCTTTTTTTCCTCGCTGAAATGGGATTATTCACAATTTTCCATACAGTTGATGTTGGAATTTTCGTCAATGTGGCCGTTTCTTCTAAAGATGCCTTGCTTCCTGGCACCACGTTCAATGAGAGTCAAATAAACATTGTTTATAACTTCCTTAGTCTCAATAGAATAGTGTTTTCTACATTTGGGCGGGAGCATGTCCTGAGATACACTAGACTCGCACATATTTTGCATAATTCGCACATGGTGCAACACAAGCTGTATTACACACGAAATAAGAATGATTACTAATAAACTTAAACTAAGTAGTATACCAAACCAAATAATATTAAACATAGGTAGGTATAAAATTATTTTCTATTACAGACCACAATTTTACCTGAATTTAAATTCCGAAACTTTAGCTAATAATCTTGTTGCATTGTATGTTAATAACCACCCTTGGATAACCCCATTCAAAAGCAATTGGTCACTTTCTTATATCTACGAACAGCCCATACCTCTTTCTGAATTAGCACCTAGCGAAAATCGAAATGATTACCTGGCAATGTACTTCGGGATCACTTCCGGTGTCTTCTTAATGATAAAATTTAGTACAGTAACCCCGCCTTTCGTCTTGGCCGTGACATCCCCGCCATATTGCAGAAATAAAATAATACAGTTGGAGAATTCGTTTAGGGCCGCCAAATGCATCGGGGTGTAGCCAAAGATGTCGGAGCGGTTGGGATCTGCTCCAGCAGATAGGAGAAGGCGTACGCATTCGCAGGATCTTTGAACGTTAACTGTAGAACAGTGTAAAGGTGTGCGACCATCGATATCGGGAGCATTTGGATTTGCGCCTACGAAATACAGAAAAACATGTCATTTTGATAACATGAATGTTGTTTCATATTTACTTAATGGATGAATTTTGGACTAATTTCCTTTTCTTCTCTCGAAAGAAGGGGTAATTGGTACGAACCGACCCGTTCGTTTTTCAAATGCAAGCGAATTATAATTAGAACCGCTCTACACAGGTGTACCGGTTTTTTGGTTATAAACTGGTAAGAGAAAAACCATTTTTTCGTATTTCTCAAACCGCGCTCGACCTGCGTAAAATTAGCTGCAAACTCTCTTCAATAATGAGAACAAAACGGTTCGAGAGTGATCCCTGTTTGAAAAAACCTGAACATTCTCGAGGTAGTTCCAGTTTAAGTTGTTTTCGTTTAATTTGTAAAGGTTTTAAAGGAAAAATCTTTGAATGACTACGATGACTGTGAATGAACAAAACTAAGCAAAAAGTTATTTACTTCGAGGAATAAACGGTATAACAAAACGGGCACCGATCATAATAATAACCTATTTGTAATATCAAATGAAGAAAAAATAAACAAAATTCTGTGTTTGGATTAAAATAATATTTATTGTTAAACAAAAACAAAAAAGTTTAGTAAAACATTTTCGTGTACCCACGACAATTATTTTGCAAACAAAAAAAATGCAAAAAGTTATTCAATGTTTCAGTAATTCTAAATTTCCTTTAGAATTAGTCGTGAATGTCTGCATATTTATAGCAGGTGCATAGAGAACTAGAATTGCACTTGACAGATTAGGTGTTTATTCTTTTTTCCAGAAAAAACTGAACTTAACCTTTCGTGCGTTTAACTTGGCAAGTTATCATCGCAAAGGCTTGTAAGTTACTTGAACTGAGGTGGCTTTTACTTGATGAAAATCGATTTATCAAAATAAATAAGAACTAAAAGTTCAGATTTTCACGAAATTATATATTATGACATGACAATTGTTTCGACAACACCGACATTTGATAAAGACACGGTGTTGTCGAAACAATTGTCATGTCATAATATATAATTTCGTGAAAATCTGAACTTTTAGTTCTTATTTATCTTGTAAGTTACGCTGAGAATGCTAAAACAATGTTAATTGAACATCTTGGCCAGTAATAAACCTTGAATTTCAAAGCGTAAAGCTTTACATCCAAACAAGAGGCTTTTGGTTGCACAAACTCGAACAAAGCTATAAATATATCTCATTAATTGCTTTCTTTCCGAAATACAGAGTGTCAAATTTATTTAATGTTATTTATGTATTTAATGTTAAATTTATTGTGAAATTATATATTTAAAAAAAAAATATTTTGGATATCAGGTATTACTAAAATCTAGAATTAGAAATTAGTCAAAGATTCACGCTATAAAGTTTGTTCAACTATCGACTGTGTCAAGGTTTTGTAAGTATAATTGGGGAGTTATTTATGCAATACGTTTCAATGAAAGTTTTCTAGAGGTAATTAGAAATCTTAAAATATCTTCAGTGTGGTTTGATTTCTATGATTAATTTTATTCCGAATCACAACATTTTTTAGTTGATCTAAATGAAGCAATACTAATGTAGTTTTCAATGTCGGCTAAATGTCCGAACGCTGTAGTCGAACATTGCTAACCTATCTTGAAAGTTGTGGTACACTTGACGAATAGCAATTTTCAGTTGCTGTTAGTGTGTAGTTGCTTAAATCTAATTAAAACAACATTATTTCGAAGATAAATAATGTTTGTGGTCCGTAGTTTAGGAATTGTTCACCATTTACATTTCACATTGTCAATTTTAACTCGTTGGTCCCGAAATTTTTTCTTATAGTATTTTCTTGAAAATATGATAGTTGTACATCAAAACAAAGTATATTTTGTGTATATTGAAATTTGGTTTCAGTACGTAACCATTAGGAATGTATCCATATTGTAAGAAGTTCCAGAAAAAAGATCAAAACTTTATTTCTAATATAAAAAGTTTTTGATGATATTCTCGGAAATATTTTTTTTGATCTTTATATGGGGATCTTGGGTGCTGTGACAATAATATTGTCCAGATCATCATCATTATAAACAGAATTATTATCTGAAGAAATATCTTCTGGCAGAGTGAAAAGATCATCAGCTGCCATACTGTCGAAATCACTGAAGAAATATTTCTCTTTTCCTAAAAAAAAAAGTATCTACCATTTTTTCAGAAATGATTTCGTTCTGAAGAGTAGTTGTCACTGAGCTATTCAGTATTACCTCAAAACTGTACTAGTACTATTTATTTAATGTACCTAGGCACAAAAATCTTTTCTTTGATTTTTTGTTATCTATTAGCAAAACTTGTGAGTGGTAATCTCATACTAATAATCATATTTCACAATAATATAATAACGAAAACCCTCTTACTCTAACAAAAAAGCAGAAAAATCTCATCAAAAATATCATCTCACTTTATGTTTGTGGTCGGCAAGATCTTCGAAATATGGTCAAAAATAGAGTCGATTCTAGTATTAGGTGTTTGGATGACGCGTCTTACGAGAATACCAGTAGAAAATAAGTAATAAATATTTTAGCATTTTATTTTAATGTAGAAATGTGTTAGCTAAACAAACTTCTCAAACAGTTACAAAATTTGAACCTAAGAACTTAGTAAATGTCATTCAATGTAATATAAAGTTTCTTCATAGACACAAGAAAGTGACTAACTGGTACGAATTAAGGAAAGACCCGGGCAAGCTGTAAGAATGAAATATGGCCGAACAGGTCCGTACTTTGCTTAGATTTAATTATTTGGGGTTTTGTTAGGAAAGATACTAAACAATATTTATTTATTTATGTATGTATTTATGTTTAAATCTAAAATAAAATTACAAATTATTTTTATTACCTATATAAATTACATAAAATTATTCACATAACATATCAGTATCACTATCGCTATCATCGCCTATTCTAATTATTATTTGCAATATGGATATACGATTGTTCTGCTTTTTCTATATGTTTAACAGAATTTGCCCAACTTTGTGAAGGGATGTTAAAAACTTCGGTTTCTATAAGTTTGAGGACACTGGAGTTCACGGGAAAAAAATTGTTACGACGAATGGTAGATTTCAGTTGGTGCCAAACATGTTCAATGGGATTAAATATACAGTGGTAAGGTGGAAGGCCTTAAAACTGTATGCCCTAGATTTTTTGCATAATTATGTTTGGAACTAGTTTTTTTTAAACCAACTTTCAAATAAATCAGCGGTGGTGTCTTCATGGTAATCCAGAGAAGAATCTTTAATATTTTTCGCAGACAGAGAATGTTCATTTGGAATCCAACCATCTTTAGAGCCAGCATGCAAAATAGTTATTCTTTGACCTCTTTTTGATGGCGCGTTTATTTTACACTTATCAGTTGAGTCAACCCAACCCTTTTCCGGGGTATCATAAGTGTCGAACCAGGTTTCATTCAAGTAAATAATTGGCCTTTGTTGTTTTCTGTAAATCTTAATTTTTTCTAGATATTCCAGTCGCCATTTCCGAATTCTAAAAGATTCGATTAAAACTTGCCTTTTGTCAAATTTTTTTAAATCTAAAACCCATTTAATAAACACATTTAACACCAGTTTCATCTTTTTCAAGCCTCCTAATTAGGATATCTAATGTTGGCACGCTTTGTTCCTCGTATAACTGGTAAATTTTACGCCATATTATATCTTGATCACTTTCATCTACACTGGAGAAAATGTCAGCATCGCTTCTTTTTTTCCTCGCTGAAATGGGATTATTCACAATTTTCCATACAGTTGATGTTGGAATTTTCGTCAATGTGGCCGTTTCTTCTTAAGATACTTGCTTGCGGGCACCACGTTCAACGAAAGTCAAATAAACATTGTTTATAACTTCCTTAGTCTCAATAGAATAGTGTTTTCTACATTTGGGCGGGAGCATCTCCTGATATACACTAGACTCGCACATATTTTGCATAATTCGCACACGATTCAACACACGCTGTATTACATACGAAATAAGAATGATTACCAATAAACTTAAACTAAGTAGTATACCCAACCAAAGAATATTAAACACATGTAGGTACAAAATTTATTTTCTATTTCGGACCACAATTTTACCTGAATTTAAATTCAGGTAAAAAAAAAATAATCTTTTTGCATTGTTTGTTAATGACCACCCTTGGAAAATCTTATTCAAAAGCAATTGGTCAGTTTCTTATATCTATGAACAGACCATACCTTTCGTTAGCAACAAATTCAATGTTTCCGAACATTGCGACAATGCCGCCAAATGCAATGGTGTTTGATGCTTTGCATTTATTGAATTCAAAGCAGCCCCCGCTTCGATGAGCAAACGGGTAGATTCGACGTCACCTTGTTCTGAGGCCAAATGAAGAGGAGTCAGCTTTTCGCGGCCACTTTGCACGTTTACCGCCGCTCCGTACTGAAGCAGTAGTTTAATAGCCGACGAGTTACCCAAAGTCGAAGCGACGTGAAGGGGCGTTTCGCTGTATACCTACAATATTGTTCGTGATAGAGAGTTCTACAAAGATGAAGTATCTTTAAATCCGTCATTAGATGTTAACAGAGCGGCTTCGAGCTAGTATATTTTTGACAGCGAACCAATAATTTAACTAATGTCCAAAAATAATTAATTGTTGATAAACACAAAATAAATGAGGTCCAGTGGAACGATGGAGTGTAAGCAGTGATGATAATAAGGTTGAGAATATTAGCCCAAGTGTCGAGCGGTAAATCAATTACCCGATACATCCTGCTGGATAACTGACGAGGCTCTGGCAACCACAGCGGAATAACTGTTTTAACAATAATTAAGGATATGTCTTTCTCAGATGGTGTTGAAGGTAACGGCATTCCACAACACTTCACCTTTTCCCCAGGATAAGTATCTTATTATGTCAGAAAGAAATAGAGAAATGGCCCTCAGTCCCGGGCAGACCTTAGATAGTCAAAGGGTGCGAAGAATTCTCGTTTAAGATCGTTTTAGATCCGTTATAAAATGGAGCTGTGTTATGTATGGACGATATTACTTTATGGCATGGAAACTTGGACCCTAAAAACACCTTCCATCAATAGGCTAGAGGCATTCAAAGTGTGGTCACTAAGCAGAATGCTCCGAATTTCATGGGTGGATCATGTTTACAATGAGTAGGTTCTCAGAAAAGCTGTCGTAGAAAGAGAGCTTTTTAAAGTAATTAAAAAAAGTAAAATTAGCTGCCTCGGCCACATACTCAGAGGGACAAAGTACGAAATAACGATTTAGGGCAGGAGAGGTGTCGAACGTAAGCAGATTTCCTGGTTGCGTAATATAAAACATTGGACAGGTATAAATGACACTGGTACGCTTTCTCACGCTGCTATCAGTAGAACCTTGTCTTTGAGATAGTTGCCAATGCACTACGTGCAAGGCTCCAATAGCATGATAATTTTCAAGCCGTCCACTTCAAATTTGGTTACAGGTCTACAATGATTTTGATGTTTGAAAGATGCTTGCTTATTTGTATATTTTTGAGTACCCTTTTTCCAAAAAACGTCATATTTTGGCTCTATCAAGTCATTTATTTTTGTTATAGCTCTCTATATCTATACTCTATACTTCTTGCATGAATATGTTTGTTCCATGATAGCCATGATAGTTATGAAATGAAATGTAATTTGGATAATATTAGATTTCTGTGCAAAGCACCACAGTTGACGCAGAATCGGCAATACAGCGTTGTAACCTGCTTATGCGCAGTTTGGTTGTATTGGTAGTCGTGCTACCGTGTTCACGGCTGTTGTCTTGATTGTTGGATATTTCTTGTGTTATAGAACGTTTAAATATGGAAAGAAGACATTGTGTGAGCAGTCCAAATAACTGCTGTCATATCTGTGGTAGTTATGTCGTAGTAGAGCAAAGGCAAACTATAACTTATTTTGTGAAAAATGTATACCACGGTTATTCTGGTGCCAAAATTGTGGACCAAGACGAGTCCTGGCTTCTCATACAATTTGTTCCGTTTCCGTTGAAGTATCAAGAAACTAGCAAAAAGGTAGGAATAAATGTTAAAGATTTGGTGTTCCTATGGTATGGCGACAGCCAAGGAATCACAATGATGATTGTTATTTTTGTTCGTGTAATGTTCAAGAATTGAACAGAAAAAATAAGAAACAAATTGTGTATCCCAATATTACTCTGCTATTCGACTAGTTCCTCATGTGCCAGATGTACCGATATCTACCGCCCCAAAAGAACTAGAGAACGTCATATCCCAGATGTCTCAGATTTCACACCAGATTTTAGAGAACCTGAATTGTTTAACCATAAAAATTTAATCTATAGGTATATATATTTTTAAAAATTTTGATTTTAACATTTTTTTTATAATAAAAATTTTAAGCACTTTTAATTAAAAAATGGATTAAAATATCTATGCTTTAAGAATATATTAACGAGTTAAAATTATTTGTTTATGGTCGCATTGTTAACTAACTTTTAAGTTAACCAATGAAAATTTAACGGATTTCTTGGTAAAAAAAAATATATTTTTTTATCGGTCACATGCTTTATTAGTTTAAACAAAATGAATTTATTTATGACAGCACGCCGGGCGTCGAACGCTGTGGAAGCGCCGTGCTGCGTCTCGAACTGCATTGAAGGTTTTGTCAGTGATAATTTAAAATAATAATACATAATATGATTATAAAACAAATTTTATTATTATTCATGTTATTTTATTATAATTATTATTAATAAAATTTTGTTATTAAATTAATTTTTATCATCATCTGTAATTTTATCTACTTCTGTCTCAGTCGTATCAACAATAGGATCATTATTTCCAGGTTTATTGCATGTATTTTTACGTATCTCAGGTTCGCGTCCCAGATAAATTGCCCTCTCACAAGAATTGCACATATAATTTCCTATAAAGGCTCTGAATTGGCAAGCACGATGAACTGTACTTAAAAATAATTTTTTAATCACATAATTGTGATTTTTTTTATTTAACGGATTGCAACATTTATTCACTCGGCCCATTTTAAATCATAGAAAATATTATTATTACAATTAAAAATTATGATACACAAATATTAACCAAAAAACACAACTCAACAACATTTCAGCTTTTATTTTTAATAATTATTTCATGCCTTGCGTATAAACTTATGTCACAAATAGAGAGGAATTACTTCTAAAATGATTTTGTTATTTACTTGGATACGCGAAAAACAAATGACAATCGTAACGGGGCGGTTTTTCTTTTGTTAACTAAAGATGGAGTGTTGAGTAGTAAATTTAAAAATAATAATTTACTAAATTACCTAGAAAAAATAAATATAGACCACATAAGTTTTAAAAATTTAAAGTTAATTATTTATTGCTAAATTTACGCTGTTTAGCAAAAATAATAAAAAAAAGTTGATAGTATTCCTTATGACATTGTTATAATTATTATGTTATGTTATTTTATTATAATTATTATTATAATAAAATAACATAAAATAAAATTTGTTTTATAATATTTTGTATTATTATTTTAAATTATCACTGAAAAAACCTTCAGACGCTAGGCTGTCATAAATAAATTCATTTTGTTTAAACTAATGGCGAGCAGCGAAATTTTCTACCGGAATCTTAAACTTAAATGGATAAAGCATGTGACCGATAAAAAAAAAGATTTTTTTTACCAAGAAATCAGTTAAATTTTCATTATTTAACTTAAAAGTGAGTTAACAATACGACCATAAACAAATAATTTTTAGTCGTTAATATATTCTTAAAGTATAGACATTTGACCATGGATGCTGAAAATTTCATAAATTTATCTCTTACGGTTGATTTTTAATCCGTTTTTTAATTAAAAGTGGTTAAAATTTTCATTTAAAAAAAAAAGTTAAAATCAAAATTTTAAAAAATCGTTTGGGTTATCAATTTTTCATCATAAGTACATATATATATATATATATATATATATATATATATATATATATATATATATATATATATATATATATATATATATATATATATATATATATATATATATATATATATATATATATATATATATATATATATTTCTAGTTTGTGAGTTCTTGGATCCTTGTGATTTTATATATTCTTAAGAAATGGTTCTTGGGTTTTTTTTGGTCCTTTTTTAGTGAAATTAAAATAAGTTTCCGTTACTTGTGAAACATTTTATTTTTTGTGACGTTTCGGCCTTCAAGACCTTCTTCAGACATTTAATTTTAACTTACAAAAATGTATTTTTAAATAAAATTATTTATAGCCCGGATGTACGTTTCTTCACGGTAGGACAACGGAGTTTTTTTTTTCTAAAGCTTTTTTTTTTGTTTGTGTGAGATTCACGGGTTAATGTGTCTCTTTATTTAATTAAGTCGTGATAAATTTTGCTGAGATTTTTTGTGTCAGTCTTAGAGTTTATGGCGTTTGGATTTTTTTGGATCTCAATCATTTCATAAAATTCCCGTCTTTTTGTGTGCCTTTCTCAGCATAAAATTTTCACACTTTGAAAGTCAAACGAGTGCTGATTCTCCCTGGAATGGCTCGAAAGAGCAGTGTTATTTTTTTTGTCATATTTATGGCTGTTTAAGCGACTTTTTAAGTATTGACTAGTTTGTCCGATGTAGACACCGTTACAATTTTGGCACGGTATTTGGTACACCACGTGGCTTTTTTTCTCGTCAGGGATTTTTGATTTTAATTTACTAAAGTTTTGTTCTAATAGGTTATAACCTTTGTGTGCCACAGTAATGTCGTGTTGTTTGAACACATTGCACAAATTTTCCGATAGCCCTGGAACGTACGTAATTTAATTTAATTAAATTTTCATGATCAATGGTAAATGGGGGTCCACTTGACGTGATCTTGCTTACGTGGCGGCACATTAAGCTTTTACCGAGATCGCAAAAAAGAGTTATGTCAATATTTTACCCAGTAAGGACCGCTAGTGTATTGCAACAATATTCCTGGCTTAGTTTCAAAAATAGGAAATGTGCCGTATATAAAACAAGAATGGCGCCTATTTATTGACTCAAGTAAACATAGTTTAAAATGCGTTTTATTGCACACTTTTATTGACATCTTTTGAAGAAAATATACTACCAAGAACATCAGTGGATGCTTTGTGGTGACCTTGAAGTGTTGTGCATGCTCTTAGGACAACAGGGGGGTTATACAAAATTTCCAGGCTTTATTTGTGAGTGGAATAGTCGGACAAGAGATAGACATTGGACTCAAATAGAATGACCCTCTAGAACAAGCCTTACACCTGGTAGTAAAAATGTTGCCCTCAAAAAAGTTTTACTGCCTCCTCTTCATATCAAACTTGGTTTGATGAAGCGGTTTATTAAAGCTCTAGATAAAAATGGACACTGTTTCAAACATTTGTGTGAGAAATTTTTGTTGGGCCGCAGATTGGAACATTATGCAAAGATGGTGAACTACTGTTGGATGTTAAAACGGGATATGCCCTTAAAAACACATAGCCGAACGTCCGGACAACGCAGCTTTTTGGCAACGAACAAAGATTTCACTCAAAAAAGTCTGAATAAAAAAATAAATTATTTTACAAATCGTTTTTCTTTCTTTAATATTTGCAAACAAAACTTTAAGTGCTACAAATAAATGCACAGAATTTAAATAAAATCAAAATAAAAACATTTCTAAAAATGTTTAATTTTGTAGACCTGTGGTCGTTGTTGCTATACTGTCCAAATTATTAACCTAAATACATATTTTGAATGATGTTACTAAATAATGAAAATGTTTTTAACTTTATTTTCTGTCTGTCTATTGATTAAGTACCTGTGGTGTGTTAGGTATGGCCCCATTCTCCAATAACTCTTTAATGCAATCTGATGCCAAATTTTGAACAGCATAATGCAACGGGCTCCTTTTCTCTAGTCCTTCATTTACTCTGGACCCATGTTGGATAAGGATTCTCAAACAGTTTAAATGGCCCATACTTGCTGCGCAATGCAGTGGTGTAACACCCTTCTTTTGTTCCCACGAATTCACGTCTGCTCCGTACAGGATAAGGAGTTCTACGCATTCGGCATGACCGGCATAAGATGCGAAATGTAAAGCTGATCTAAAAAGTAAAGTCGGTGACTATAAATACTGAACGTATTTAAGATATTCAGCGTAACAACAAACAATAATATAAATCAAAAAATCAGCAAAAGTTAGTTGAGAACAATATATCAAAGGTAGAAAGAGTTGAGGAAAGTTTCCCTTGCTCAATACAATGGATCTAGAATCTATGTACCGCTATATCTTTACAAGCAAAACGTAGGTGTAGTGTTTTACAATTTAATAGGCAGAATTCCTCACGAACTGAATTGATTCGGAGTTTAGCGTGAAAAAGACGTAGATATTCAATCTAATAATATAACGAACATTTAAAAAACCTCCGACAAAATACGATTTTCAAAACACTTTCGGGATTTTATTGATTATACTTCTTTCATGTTATTAAAAAGTATACCGTGTACAACGATGGATATTTACAATTCATTTGCCAAGACCCTTACTATTAATATCACACGCCGGTTAAGTCGCCTAAACAAAACGCAATGTCCGTACCTAATGTAAACCGTTGCATAAATAATAATTTCCAAGGCAATAAAAAACACCGAGGTTGAATATTCTTTCACAATAATTACATTACAATTCATTTTATTTTCAGTACCGAATACCGATTTCAAAGTTATGAACTGAAATAAAATTTATAGAGAAGGTTTATTTGATCTTCAAAATTTTCAAAACGTCAAAATCTTGATATTATACTAATCTGGCTAAAATATTGTTAAGATAGCCACACATACGTTAATATTAAGGAATTGATGGATTTTTTGTTGGTTGGTTTATAAAAAATCAATTACTTATGTGTGTGATGTTTCGGCAATTTTATTGTCTTGTTCGGGAGTAATAAGCATGATTTTTCCATCTAGTAGAGTCGTGGACCGTTATTTAGATCATTCATCACGTAGAAGACAACGAACATTTTTAATTTACTATTCTACTGCATATCTTATTCCACAAAATTATCTCTTTTCGTTCTGAAGAAGACAATAAAAGTACCGAAGTTGGTTTTCTATAAACCCAGTCCAAAACCCGTGGATTTGCTAATGCCAGAAATGAGTGTCAAAGTATTATAACAATATTATTAATCCTTTAATTTTTAAAATATATAAAAGTTATTTCAAAACTGATATTTGCAAACCGTAGAATATATTTCCTATAGGAAAGCATTTCAGTAGTGACTCTCTTAAATCGTATGGACGAAGATTTTGTTGAATTTGATAAGTTAGAAGTTGAGTTACAGTCTTTTGACCTATTTACAAAGATATTCGAATTAGTCAGAAAATTTTCGATTTTGTTTTAAGGGTTTTAACGAAAAAAATTTTTAAGTATATTTCCAAGAAAATATTATCAATTTTATTTCCGCTTATGCTAGACAAAAAAGAAAGCACCCTATATTACATGGAAAATGCGATCAAGTTAGGCAGTTTAGAAAGGTGTTTCAGGCTATTTTATTAAATGACTTTATAACATAAATCTGCCATAAATATTAAAGAGGTGCGGATAATATTTCCATGATGTTTTGCTTGGTTTTGAATTAAATCAATTTAAACGAAAAAAAAATGCAATTGTTGCGTACCAACCTTTTTTGACGATCTACCACATTTGCCGAAACTCCGTCCTGCAGAAGCATTTTCATTAAATTTACTTTTCCAAACCAAGAGCAAAGAAGTAACGCAGTTGTCTTATTTTTCTCTGCCATGCCCTTTTCATCATCGTTCAAAATAGAAGTGCTTAGTTCGTCAGCGTCTGGAAGTGTCTAAAACAAATATTTTACTCAAGAAATTTTTACCTAAACTGTTAGTAAAAATATTAACTGTTTGAAAATTAAGGGAACCTTTAAATTATAAATCTAAATAGCTATTGTCGCTTCCCGCAGATTGAAATTTGCGTTATGGAAACAATTAAAGAAACTTTGCTCTTGCTCCAAACAACAATATTTTCTGGACGAAATATCATTCGATAATATTTTTTTGTTTTTATATAATTTGTTATGAGTTGTTTTTATATGACTTTTGTCAAACAACACCAACAGCACATTATTCATTTGAAGTCATATTTAAATACTTACGAAGTTTGTAAACCATCTTAAATCTATTGAAGTTCCTTCGCATTTCATCTGGCAAGGGAACAACGAATAAAAATTTGGTACCATAACTTATGCATCGTAGAGCAACAGATGATACTATAAATCAAAATAAGAAAACTTATTCATTAAATGTGGAAGCAAATTAGGGGGAAAATTCATTGGCACAAGAGAATTGTATGAATTAGATAACAAGCGCCCTCTAGGTTGTTTCAAAATTGAATCTATATATTATATTCGGAATCTTCACGTTTGAAAACGTGAATGCCTACACTGAATTTAAATAAATATCCGTATTCAATGCGAAATATTTATATTTTTCACAAAATTAAAATTTACATTTTCAACAACCTGTATCTTTTTAACAACTAACATTTTCCACCACATTTTTTGAACAAATCGTCTAGTTTTCATTTACAGCATCACTTGATGCTCTATGGCGAGTACTTTTAATATTAATTTCACAAAAGATCACTCAAATCCACCTCCTTAGATGAAAAACTAAAAAAATATCTTATTCCAAGAAGCATTTATTATTTTTATAATAATTATTATTCTTGTTAATAATAAGTAATATTGATTCGGTACACTTACAACAATTTTATTAATGTATTTTAGATTTAAAAATGTTTTAACACTTGTAGCGAAAATATTGTTCCTGATCAATTATATAATACTATATATAATATATGCAATATATACATACTATATATTATATATGCAGAGGGGCCCATAACTTGCAATTTAATTGACGGAATTTGTTTTGTTTTGTTAGATGACAGTCGTCAGATGGTTAGAGTTTTATTGTTAGTTGTACCCATATATCTACTAGACATATAGAGGCCGTGTCTGTGCTAACAATACAGGAACTCATGAAGCAACTATTTAATTTTTTTTTAAGATCTGTTCCACGTGCGCATGAGCGAGATGTAAAATTTCGTTTTTATCCAATGGCAGCTCTAATGAAAAATTCTGACATAGGACTCACAACACTTTTTACAAAACTTCGGGATTCCTCTTGCGTCTGTTTTGGCTGAGTCGAACTTTTGTTCTTAAGATTTTTTTATATTTTTTCAGATTCTTAGCGGGCTGTCCCGTACATTACTACCAAAATTATAAAATGCGCATCTCTAGTATGGTAAATTTTCTTCAAAATAACCACAATAAAGTGGAGTAGGATACAAAACTCAACATCTTCCATATCAATAGTACGTTGTGGGTAGGTATTTTGTAACCAAGCAAGATCATTCGGACCTAGCCAAGAGTGAATCCTTCGTGGGTGCGAAATTTCCAAGACTTGATTACTAGCATGTCAGTAACTCGAATATAAATAAAACTGCTAATTAGTAGATTTAAATACGTGAGAGAATTCACAAAACAAAGTTCAGTTCCAACCAACTGCCGTCTCGTTTCATTTGCTTTGGCGACAGATGCATTTTGCTTTACAACACGCCTACACTAGAATCTCGACACTAATGGACGAAATGAAATGATGCGGCGCCTAAATTAACCCGCGAACAAGGAAAATTCAAAAGTAAATTATGTACAAATTACATTAAACGCAAACAAATAGTCGGACGATGCATCCAGGAAATTCGATATTATTCTCACAAGTTAAAGATATGTATTGTCATCTAAACTGATAATTTTATTTAGAGAATTCCTGCTGTTATACACATTATTACTAATGGCCAATGATAAGGGAGGTTTTTATATAATTTCTCTGTTTTTTACCTGTGTGGATTATTTGAGAGTAAACGGTTTGCTGAACGGTAAATTGTGAACTCATTTTAATCGAGTGTTTCGATATATTTTGACTACTTTTGACAGCGACAATCAATGATAAATTCCTTTACGGTTGCAGTAACGTATTAAGCAATGACCAAAAGATTTTTTTTTGCTAAGTAAAATATTTACATAAAATAATAATAACTCACCTATTTATTATGTGAATAAAGTTAGGCCGAAGTGGAATTATGGTATAGAATATGAAAGAATTCCAATTAAATTCCGCGGACATAATACTTTTCGAAAAAATGATGCTGCTATTTTCAGAACAATCGTTTTTTTTTCTACTCCCGTCTGTAAAATGCCAAATTACACACCGATCTAGCGTGCGGGAAGCGTCAGTTTCGTTTCCCACGGATCCGAGCCACTTCGGACATTTCCGGGATTTTACCGCACGGGTTTGGAAACAATCGGATGTATTCGGAGATATTTCCCACGAATTTTGAGGTTTGTCAATTCTGCCGGTCATGTCAGTGAATGTATTCATCTTGTTTTGCGAAAATGGACCCAAAAACTAAGGGTCATATAAAAAGTAATGTGCGCAACACGTTCGGTAAACTTTTTAACTCACTCGTTTATTAAGCACTCGCTCCGCTCGTTCCAAATAAACTCGTGAGTCAGATGTCGTTTACCGCACTTGTTCCATAATATACTATTCTAAATATTAGAAAATACTTAAGAATTTAAAATTTCTAAGTATTTGTTTGAGCCTTTTCGGATGTTTTTTAAGAAGAAAAAGATTGCTTCACATATATTTTTTAGGATTATAAAATAAAATTGAGTAATTAAAGAACTGGAACACCCGTCATTTAGATAAATGAGCATAAATAAGAAAATGATCCCATTGTTAGCCGTCTTTTTCTATTGTAAAATTTGCCTCGCTTTTCCATTACGTCGTTCCTATTCCAGTTTAGATCAAGTTCCTTGCTCAATTAATTTTAATTCGTAAAAAAATATAATATAATATAAAATAATTGCACCCATATATTTAGTTTTTTTCATGCTATATCTAATTTGTATTTCTGTTGACAAAATAAATTGTACCGAAGATATAGTTCTTTATTTACCCTCTTCACCGTTTGCTAGCTACGTGCTGGTTAATTTGTTACCATTAATTCATTCCATATGTCTTCTGGATTCCATATTTCCTGGACGGGTATTGGCCTGGACCTTTGCTCGCTGTCGCAATCGGAGGCAGAATCCTCTTCGCTAGAAATACTAAAGGAATTTTCTTCTATGTCGATATCAACGTCTGCCCATTTTAAAACACCCTCCCTGTTGTACATACAGGGTTTGCCGTTTATCTCAAGCTTCACCATTGGTTTTTTATTACTCATTGTGGTGATTCTAGGAAAACAGAATGAGAATTTTCTAAATCATTAACTAATACGATATTTTTGCTAATTAGAAAATAGTGACGATATTTAGAATTTAGTCAATGTCCATGTATTTTCAGTATTAAGAAGATGACAGCTACAGCCTCATCCTCGCAAATATAGCATTCCGGATACATAATTTGGCATTTCAATATTACATAAAATAATTTGTCCATCTAATATTTTTAAAGCTAATAATTTTCTTACTGTTTACAAAACTTCTGGATTCCTGCTGCGTCGGTTTTTGCTGAGTCGAACTTGCTGACGTTTCGCCAATCATCCTGTTGGCTTCTTCAGAGCTTGACTAACAGTTTCAGTCAAGCTCTGACGAAGCCAACAGGATGATTGGCGGAACGTCAGCAACTTCGACTCAGCAAAAACCGACGCAGGAGGAATCCAGAAGTTTTGTAAAAAGTATTACAGTAGCCTGCGGAAGTTTCTTTGAAAAAAAAAATAGTAATTTTCTTTATCTTATTTTGTGTTTGTGTAAGGGGACTCTTCTATTTCAAGGAGAAAAAATCAAAAAATTAAAGAATAATGTGTGGCAAAATATAAACGAAAATACTCCGTGGTTTCGTATGGGATTAAAGACTTATACTTAAACATTCCAATAAGCAATTATTTTAGTTAGAATTTTATCATGCGTTTGTGTTATCTAATGTTAAAACATTTTTCTGCCTGTTTTTGCTTTTTATTTTCTATCTCAAAAACGAAGCGAGACACTAAAAAAAAAAGGTTTAAAAAAACACCCTGTATCTTGATAGCAGTCAAAGTTGATATTTTAGTTTTAATTAATTTTGATAAACAATGGATAAACAGCCTTTTTGTACTGTTTTTCGCTGACGTCACCCAACTGAACACAGGAAATTATTGTGAATGCCACCGAATTAAGGATATAAAGGCGACCTGTAATTTTTTTGGAACTAGGTGTAGAATTAAAAATATTTTTCTGAAATGCGTTAATTACAACAACGAATATATCTTTATTTAAAAAAATCGATGAATTTTTATCCAGCCACGCCTTAAATTAAGTAAATAAGCACGCAGTTGTCAGTTGAGTGTGAGTGGATAGCCAAAATAAAAATTCGTGTTTTCATTTCAAATAAAGCTGATTTAATTTGGAACTAAAAAATATTTTGTATCAAAAATAGAATTCTTAATTTACATAAAATTTCGCAAGCTAAACAGATGATCTGCTGAACTATGTGCAAATATACAGTAACTCCTAGGTTGTTTACGTTACCACCTTATTAATCAGAAAACAAGCAACGATAGAGACCAGAACAAACATAATGTTCTTTGAAATGAATAAAGTTTACCTAGGAAGCTTAACGTATTAAACAAACAGGTGCGGCATCGAAAAAACAGCGTTTGTTAATACCGAATTTCAAACAGTGGATATTTTTCATATTAACAAAAAAAACTATTCCTATTCAAACCACGTTTTACATTTATTTTATTGATTAACATTAACATTACTTACTTCGTTAATTTGTAAATAATAAACATAAAATAAGTGCTTTAAAGTATTTTAAAAACGAGTGGCAGATAAAGAACAGAATCGGGCACTCGAATTTGCACATGTTGTGGCCTTTTTCGCCAATATTCAGTTTGCGATAATATTTCTTTGCAAAGTAAAATGGTTCAGATGGTAATGAAATTTAAAATAAATGTAATGTAATATAAATGTGAAATAGCTCAAAAACGGTGGTGATGGTATTATGCATGATTAAACCCGAATTTCCACCTTCTCATAAATATTTTAACTGTAGTTAGTTATAGTTATAGTACTATAGTTATATGGTATGTTATAATTGTTAATAAGTACAGCAAATTCCTAATTCGATTTTTTTAAGTAACCAATTAGATGATCACAGAACTACAAATGTCTCGATATGAATATGCAGTGTATAATATACTATATAAATTTATGCGACTTGTACGAATTTGAAAATTGTACTTCAATACTCGCTTCAAAACGATAAAAAATAACTTCGGAAATTTGTATATAATATATCAAAATCATTATTTTTAAATAAATTATATTCGCAGCATTTAGGTCTTTAGGTGTCTAAAAGAAATTTCAGTTTTTGCAGAGTAAGATTCTGCGAATGCTATAACATAATATTTGCTATCAACTGTCAAAATCAAGACAAAAAAGTATGTACGCAAATAGCAATAGAAAACCAACGTTCAAAAAAGAAGACAAGAGAAGTTTTTAAGTTTTCAAGTTATCTGCTAATAGATGTCATGTGTATGATTGATTAAATTTGGAAAATACATTCCCTAAAACCGAAAGTCATTTAAATATCGGAATATTCTTAAAATAAGAATATTTCCAAAACAAAAATTAAATCTTACATCGTTCTTATCATACCCAATACGATTTCAGGACAAATATAGATCAATTTATAAAAAATAGTTCCTCTGATATACAATGTTTGCAATAAATTAATAAAACTGTGATGATTATTATTAGTTTAATCTGTTTAATCTTGATTTGGTTTTCTAAAATGCAATATTGTTAAAAAGACGACTTACAATTTCTGTAATCTGTATATAAAAATTTAGATATACTTTATGACATTTAATTACTTTGCTTGCTTATTGTTTAAACTAGTTAAGGCCAATAAATTATGAAAACGTTGCCTATTATTTAGAAAAAATTATTGAAACTGAGAAAACTCTAAACCTAGCACAAAATATTTAGTAAGTACAAGAACGGACCCTTTTTTATTTGAATCTAAATTTCTGTTAAAGATGTGTTACCTGTATTATGTTTCACCTCAAGCTAAAAAAATAGCAATTAACCACAGCTTCATGAAACAAGGGCACAAACATCTACGCCACCGGTCGAACATATACGGTTTAATTCGATTGACCGTAAGTAAAGCTCCCAAGTGAAGCTTTTGTCCGCATTCGCAAAACTTGATCTATTTTTAAGATTCTCGAAAAAGTGTAAACGTTAAAAGTTCCATAAACTAAACATGCAAGTGATTAAGAATAATGCAAATTGGAACGGTATATAATATCTCCAGTTTCGTTTTTCATACTGGAAATTTGCTGAAGAAAAAAGAAAATAAATAAAATGTATTTGTTTAGTTTGAGATGCGAGTGCCACCGGATACATTATAGATATTTATACTTTCGGCAAATAGCCATACTCTATTTTAACTTCTCGTAATATAATGCGCTAAAACGCACATATTTCTCTGCATTATAAATTACATAGTCACCATTTTTTAAATATACAATTAATAAATTGAAAAAATACTAGGCAGTTTCAAAACTGAACCATAGTGTTTGAAGGTTTCATTATTTTCTGTAATTATGGTCTAAAGAATAATAAAGATTGTTAACGCAGTTGAACTGTGTTAAAAGTTCTCATGATGTTTTGATTCTCTTCAAGGAGTTTCCTAGCGAACAACGACGCGCGCGCGACGAAAGTACCGGGAACTGAAGTGACAGTAACAAAGTTTCCTTTTCTCCACGAAATTAAGAAAACTTGCATCCCCTTCGGAAAGCGGACTAGCTTTAGGAGATAACAACTCCCAACCTCTAAAAGGTTAATAACAAATATCTAGTTATGACTCTCAAGGCTTATACCAGGAGAGTAGAAAAATGTAGAAAATTAATTAACATCCGTTCACCGATTGTTAGGAAAAAATGTTATTAATTTTTGCAATACAATTACTGCAATTAATTTTTATTTATCTAATTTAGATATTTTAAAAAGACAGATTAATTAGGGGAAGATGCAAATATTTGACAACCAAATATTTGCGATATGGATTTTTAGCAACTCTAGTTTTATATAATGTAAATAACAATTATGTATACAACAGTTTTGTAAGTTTTGTAAACGAGATGGCGTTGGGTTTTCTTAGGCCAGATTTTACGAAGATCATTTTCGTGAAGTTTTATGATGCTAATATGTCGGCGTCCTTTCAAAGAGGTAACTTGCTAGCGTCCAATATACACGGGAAAACTTTTACATTCGAGCATCCTAGCGTCCTTATGTATATTTTTCATTTATTGCGCACATTTCTGAGCATCCGAGCACCGTTGGTTGTGTATTAAAGTAAATATAAATAGGTATCGTCTCCAGAACACGCTTCTCCTTTTTAACATGACGGTGCACAGTCGAGCGGGTATAAGGCGATTCATATTTTCGCTATATTTTGAAAAATACTGTGTTGCGAACTGTTTTATTTTTTTATTTTATTATATTTGTTTTTCGTCTCGGATGACTGATTCCCATATTGATGACAGGTAGAGACCTGAGTCGCGGTTAAGATTGTTAGGTTGTTTACAGATTTCTATAGACTCTCGGATTTTTCGTTGATAGAAGAACTGATTACATGCAAGAATTCTAGTTGTTCGGTAACAGCTGATGAGTTTATTTGTCTTAGTCGTAAGGCTCTTTCGTGTTCTTTGAGCCTAGTTGATATTTTTCGTCCGGTTTCTCCAATGTACTCTTTGCCGCATATGCATGGAATGCTGTTAACTCCTGGCATCTCAAATGGAATTTAATCTTTTAGGGATCGAAGAGGTCGAGAGATTTTCGACAATTGGTAAATCTGGTTTTGACGTTATATTTCTTTAGAACTTTTGATATGTGGTCAGTGATATTTTGAATGTAAGTGGCAAGTGTAGGATTGCTTTCGGCCTCATTGCTATTGGAAGGTTGTGGTGAAGTGTATTTTTTGATGGAACGCTTAATATTTTTAATGTGGAAATTATTAGAGAGAAGAGCAGAGGTAAGGTGTTTTAACTCTGGGTTCAGATAGAAAGCTGAGACCTCTAAGAAAACACTATGGCAATATCTAACATATTAAATTTCAAAAGTTTTTACGCCGCAATTTTTGAAACACGATTGCTACGGCACTTTTGACCTCCTTACGAAAGTTCTTATCTTAAAAGTAACAAAATATTAATAAAAGATGTTATAAAACAGATTATATAGATATGCCTATTTATAACTTTGATTGTCCGGTGTTTTCTTGGTAAACCCCCTAGGCGCCAAGCGAGCTCCTCCCTATAGCGTTAGTTTGTTGGCCGGGGGTTCCTAAATCTAACGGGTTCCCGAACACCCATTTGCAACCCAAAGGTGATGTATCTATGGTCCGACATAGACTCCTACCCACCGACACACCACCCAGTTAGTTCCGGGAGCAGAGCCCTGGTACAAAGTGTCAAGTCTATAACCGAGCTCCGACCCGTCGTGAAAAACGTGGGTTCTACCCTTCTGTTGGCTACCTGCAGCCCTGTCGAGACCATGAACTGCACGAGGTCTCCCCCCTTCTATTAGTCGCCGCGCTGCCCCACAAAACGTGGTGGGCATTACTGTCGCAGCCAATCAAAAGAGGAAAATTCGCCTCCTCACAGTAGGAGACCAAGTCACTGATCTCCTGCGGAGGGCAGCTGCGATCGCCTGGAAAGTACGCAGAGGCGATTATTACCTCCCTCACGCCGTCCCGAGTGGGGGATCTGGCCAGATTTGGAACCAGGTCCCTGGACGTCTTGTCCCTTAGGAAAAAGGCCTTCAGCCCCCTGGTTAGTATTCAGGCCCTGGGACCGCCCTCTGAGGAGTCGACACTATGCAGCCCTCCCAGAAATAAGCCCCTAACTCTTGATTTTACAATCCAGGGCAATTGGATCAGTATGAAGGATGTACCGCCCTCCAAAATTGTCCTGCATAAGTGGACCATTGCAGCCCTGCTGTGTTGCAGATTAATTTGTAATATCCCCGTCAAGATGTTGTTACAGGAATACCACGTGAGCGTCACGATGCTAGCCTCAGCCCGAATCCGAGCCAGAGGTAGCACATCCCTCAGCTTCCGCTTCCTGACTGGTAGACCCTGGTAGGATCCCCACAGAAGCTGTGAGTGCCGCCTCTCCGACAGGCCCCTCAACCTCCATGGACGAACCTTCTTCGAGTGAGCCCCCCGCGGCCACCTCATCCCCCTGCGGCATCGGCGCCGCCAGGTTCACTTTAACCTGAGTCGCCAGGCAGAAGAGAAGTGATGGCGCTTGCCGATTTCTCGTGCACGCCCACCACCAACCTTGTGCCCCTTGCGTCCTCCGTTCTCTGCCAGACCCTCCAGGCACGGCAATCTAGGCCATTCTGAGCTGCCAGGCAGCGGACTAGTGCCTCGTTCGAGACACCCGCCCCCAGACCCGGAATCCAGAACGCCGCCCTTCTTAGTCCCAATCCTTCCGGATCGACCTCCACCAGGTTTGCGAGCCCCCAGGCCCTGACGTTGATCAGCTCCCTGCGAACCCACTCCCTGGTTTCTTCATCCATCATCTCGATCAGGATGTGGCTCCTCCACAGCCTAACCGAGCGTATCCGGGGAGGGGTGGTTTGCCCCCCCGCATAATATACATGCTTACGCGGAGATTAAGAGACCCTATGAACCGCAGTAGGTCCTCGGAAGACAGGTCAGTTTCCTGACCTCTGAGACCCACCACCGGTTCAGGCCCCCCGCCGCCGTTTGCGCATAGGACCGAGAGCCTTTCCCGGGCCCAGCTCCGATGACGGCGTGGCGGGATTCCTTGGCGCCGGAAGAAAGCCCGTCAGCGGTTCCGGAACCGTCACCGCGAGTCTCTTCTTCTTCGCCATCCTTTTTTCCGCCCCACTCCTATGTCTATGGCGGTGTGTCGTCAAGGTGACGTTCCCGGTTTGTACCGAGCCCTCCACCCCGCTATATATATATATATATATATATATATATATATATATATATATATATATATATATTGACCTCGAGTTGATGCATTATACACTAACTTCTTCTAATCTAGTGTTGTTTTTGAACGCGTACATGAGAGATAGAGTCGTCGATAGATACGTCAAGATGCGAGGAAGTGGTGCTCCGTAAGGGACTACCCTTGCATCTCTCAAATTTTCTATATTTATTAATGTTTTAATTAGAGGGGTCATCAAATTGTTAACTCCTGGTGTAATCTCATCAAATCTCGACAAATATTTTTGTGTTTGGTTTTGCTTATGCAGCCGATTTTCAATAAATATATTATTAAGTAAGAAAAAGTACAAAGGATATTTGTAGCCTTAAGTGTGATGGTGTGGCGGCTCGAACCACACATTACAGCTTTAATTAGTAGTAGGCACTTATGTATCACTAGAATTTTTATTTAAATTATCCAAATTGGCTTTAACATTCCTTCATGGGCAGTTAGAATATGTCCAGTATTCCACCAACCATAAAAATTTTGATCAGAAATCCACTCTTTTAAACAATGGTATTATATTTGTAGTGATATCGATGTCAATGATCTATCACCTCAGTAAGATTTTAGGTAATATAATTTGTTTCGGTTTTGAGTTTTGTATTTTATTTCTATATTTCTTTATATGGTGCTTTTGATTGAGTTTGTTTATACTATATTGTTTATTGGTATATATTTGGTATTTTTGTTATTTGTTTATGTTGACCTGGTTACTATTATAATAATAATTATTATTATTATTATAACCGATATTCATTGTTTAATAATATGATATGAAAAAAAATACCATCGCTATAATAAATGAACGATGCCTAAAATTATATCAATACTAAGAATAACTAAGTTGAGTGTATGTTGTATTAGTGTAATTAAGGAATTGAAAGTTAAAAACTGAACAGGCGATTTTTGAAATGTTTCAATTTTTAAGATTGTTTTTTCATATTGGCGTTTGGTGTGTATTAATTATTTGACATGTTTTATACTATTAATGATTTAAACTGTTTTTGAACTTACCAAGAAAATTTTCTGGTTGAAATTTGCAAAATAAATATAGTGTAAGTACCTACAGGGCAGTGCGGTTTTTTCATATTCACCTCTCACTGTTGGGATCTCTGAAACAAAAGTAAATACAGGGTACTTCAACTTTGGGCAGAGTTGCTTAACGCCGATGCCAATAATATTCCATTATAAAATTGTTATCCTTGACGCTTTCCGAAATATGGGGGAAAAACTGAACCGTTTTCGATTTTATTTTTTTAGTAATACCCTTTCCAATTTTGAAAAAATCTACAAACGCGTCCTCAATGGAACTTTTGCAGTTTATTTTTTTTATCCAAGTCAAAAAATGAGTACCTGATTTGGTTTTTCCCAAACCCTTGACTTTAGCTTTTCTTGTAGATGTACCATCGTAGATTTTGTTTTTTCAAAACTTATCTACTTGAATAATAATTTGTATGCTGTTTTAAGTCAGCAGGGATTCAGTAGGTATTATTTATTATATTTGATTGTAAATTAATTCAATTTATTGTTTTCCACAACCACCTTACTTTGTCGTTGTAATTGTGCCGAAAGCCTATTTTGAGCAACATTGCTAATAGCAATAAAAAAAATTCTATACATTTACACATATCAGACAGAAAATAGTCCTCTGCAGCAATGGGCAGTTGATTTGCACAAACTGTTAGTAATCAGAAATATAAAAAGAAGATGAAATTTCTGTGATTCTAACCTTGACTTTCATGTTTTGTTTGCAGTCATTATAGGACTAAAAAATATGTCTTTAATAATATTTAATAATTCTCAATTCTTGATAAGCTCCAAATTGCAGAAAGTCAAAAAATTCTATTCTATAAATGTTCGTAGTCATTTTGATATAATTATTGCAGGAGGTGGAATGGTTGGAACAACACTTGCTTGTGCCTTAGGTAATAATGTGTCAACAATAAATAAGATTTGCATAAAACTATTTTCAGGAAAAAATAGTCGACTGGCAAATAAAAAAGTGTTATTATTGGAAGGGAGCTCAAAAAAGCATTGGAAATTGCCCGAGAACTATAGCAATCGTGTTGTCTCAATCAATCCAGGTACTCATAAGCTTCTGAATGATATAGGCGCATGGAAATTTATTGAAAAATTAAGATTTACTGCTGTTAAAAGATTGGAGGTTTGTATTTTCTCTTGGATAAAAATATGGTAAAAATAAATTTCTCATTATTCATCATTAAGGGTATTCTGTACTCTTGTCTATTGTTTTGGACTGATCATTAGTAAATAATTAATTTAACATCTTAAACCACACCATCTAGTATAGTCAGAATCTGTTGTAATAATTTAGGGTTTGTCTATTTTGATATTTTGTAGTTCCATTTATTCTGCTAGTAGCTTTTTTTATATAAGGGAAAGCTATCATTTATGTTTACCACAAATCATATGAAATAATAAAAAATAAACTAATAAGAAGTAACATGAATTCCAAAAATTTGTTACTTTTAGGTTTGGGATGCAATATCTGATGCCCACATTACATTTGGTGATTCAGAAGAAGACAATGTTTCATATGTAGTAGAAAATGATGTAATTCTGCAGTCAGTGAGTGAAGAAATCAAGAATGTACCAAATGTTAATGTCATGTATGACTCCAAAGTGAAAAAATATGACTTGCCAATACTTACAGAAAATGTGGTGACTGTAACTATGGACAATGATGATGTGTTCACTTGTGAATTATTGGTAATTATAAATATTTATAATTAAATTTAATCGTCTGGATGAGCACTAAAATTGTGACCACAGATGAATTTTTCCAACACATTTGATGCTCAATAGGGATGTTGTCGAAATGTTTATTGCTATTTTTGTCAAGGAGTCAAATAATTACAATTTTTGCTTTTTAGTTAATTAAACAAATTTAAACTTTTTTCAATAGCAAAATTCAAATTAACAAAAGAATCTTATTTTAGTTGGCATGTGATGGGGTGCAATCCTTAGTACGAAAGTCTATGAAGACCGATTACCTGTCATGGAGTTATAACCAAATGGGTGTTGTAGCTACACTGAAATTAAGTGATGTATGTAAGTTCAGCAGCTTTGGTAAGAAGTTCCTGATTTTTGTGAAAATCATTTTATTTTATTTTGTTTTTTGTTTTTGAGTTTGTTTTTATTTGTATATTTTAAAATTTGATTACTAGTTTTTTAACTATTATAAATTCTCGATCCTATATAAAATTTAAAACAAAATTATTGCTAAATTTTGAAAAGAAGGTGATGAAAATAAAAGTAAATGTAATTCTCTGTGTTTAGGAAATCAAAAATGAAATAGCTTGGCAAAGGTTCTTACCTACGGGACCAATTGCCTTGTTGCCTGTAAGTACAAATTTTACCTTTTTTCATAAAACTTACAAAATTTGTTTGTTTTAGTTGACAGCTGATCAGAGTTCTTTGGTATGGTCTACCACTCCAGAGCAGGCAAAGTTACTCTTGAACCTCAGAGAAGAGGAATTTGTTGATGAGCTTAACAAAGCCATTGTAAGAAAATTAAAATAATTATATTATTTTGCTTTTTAAAACATTTTTTAAAAATTCAGCAATAGACTTCTTGTTCAGCAATTATAGAGATTTTCGTGGCTACCCAAATGTTTTGATGATAGTTTTTTCTTTTTTCTTTGATATTGATTTCCTCTTTCAATATTTCTTAATGATAATATTATTATTAAATCTTGCAATTTAGAGTATGCTTTCAATATTGAGTTGTATTATGGCTTTTTGGCCGTATGGTGTTGTCGATTTTTAACAACAGATTCAACAGGATAAAAATCATCCTCCGTAAAATTGAATAAACAAAATTTTATCCCACCAATGATTCTTGGCTTCACTTGTATATGCTGTACAGATATTTTTAAACACATCCAATTAAGACAAATATTTTAGTGGCAGAAGTATGATCACCATAGTGTCATTCAACAGGCTTCAAGTCTCTTTGACACATTATTGCGCTTTTTAAACTGCCCATCCGGCGGAATTCGCCAAATTCCTCCAAAGATTTGTGGAATAATAAAGGAATCCAGAGCTGCATTTCCATTGGGATTTGGTCATTCTGCGCAATATATTGGACAAGGTGTGGCTTTGATTGGGTAAGTTATAAAATTATTAAATATGTTTAATTTTAAAATTCTGAACCAACTGAAGGGCCTGCTAATAGTTTTTTTTTATAATGTTATGTAGTGTTTATTCAAAAAAATTTTAGTGATGCTGCTCACAGAGTTCATCCGTTAGCTGGGCAAGGCGTCAATCTCGGATTTGGTGATGTTGTATGTTTAAATGAAATATTAGGTGAAGCTAACATTTCTGGCGCAAATTTGAGTAAGTCCCTATGTTGTTTTTTTAATTGCTTGACAAGGTTTCATTAGCTTTTCCCTCAAAACGCTTTTTTTTTCACAGATGACATGAGTTACTTGAAAGATTATGAAACAAAAAGACAACAGCATAATGTCCCAACCATGCTCGCCGTTGAAAGTTTGCATAGACTATATAATACTGAGTTTACACCTGTGGTTCTCTTGCGGAGTTTAGGATTACAAGCCACTCACGTCATAGAACCTCTTAAGGTAAGCAATTGGTTTTAGACCTATAAACAACTTTACCCAGATTTTCATAATTTTAGAAAGCAATTATTTCACAAGCCGCTGTCTAGCATCTTCTTATACCAAACGTTGAAAAGAGGTATTGCATGGCTGTGTTCATAAAAGGATGCTGCATCATTGAACCGAAAATAGAGTCCCAAATCACTGATTTTCATAAGCAATAGTATATCTTACAAATTACAGTTAACATGAACTAAATGCTTGAATTATTAAATAATTTTTTGACTTCTAACTTGAATGTAAATATGTACTATGGAATAAACTAGCCAACTTAATTACAATTGACCACTATGAATACTCTGTTTTTAGAATATTTTCTCTACTCCCTCCTCTAAAATACACAATTATGGGCTCATCAACAAACGGAATGTGAAGTTAAGAGGTCAGCTTTGTTACTCACTGTCGCCAGAAAATTCGAAGATATCCTGTATTTTAGTTACCGGTTTTGGAGGCCCAGATATTTTCGGTACAAAAAGTAAAGTTTGCAACACATTAATACATCAACACATTAATACATTTTTTCAGTCACGAGTTTATTAACCACTCAGTCCGCTAATGCCAAATACAACTCGGGACTAAATTTATGTTTAACAAACTTGTTCCATGATATTAATTGTTGAAAAATACTAAATAAATAAATTCTGAGTAAATAAATTATATTTTTCAATCATAATTTCATATTGTTAGAAAATCTCAGGAGATGGAATATACTCGTGATAAATAGGTACTGAGTCCTAATTGATTTTAAGAAGAGAGATTCAACATATGTTGAAACCCCTTAAATTTTTGAACTACAGAGAACTTTAGTTTTAGGTATAAAAGCCTAGTTTTAAGTTTGTAATATAAAAAAAATCAAAAAATTAATTAATAATGCAAGATTAGTGCAAGTTCTAAACAAATCTAAATAAGCCTCGTAAGGGTAATGTTTTTACCATATTGCCTTATTTATAGACCTGTACCCTTCCAATGTCATTTACAAATTTCCTAAAATTCTTAGTTTTTCATTTGACTGTTAAATGTGGGGTAGTTAATGTTGCTTATGTAAAATTATACGTTGATCAGCCTGGCGCAGTGTCACTTTAAAAAGTCACCTTCATTAAACACTGTTGCTAGCCTCTTTGAGCATTTCATGTATTTTAGTCATAGGTTGCGACTGATCAGATATTTTCGATAGATTTAACGCAATGTTTTCTGATTGTCACGTCACTTACACTCAGTGGTGCTCTTTTGCAAAAACTATATATATATATATATATATATATATATATATATATATATATATATATATATATATATATATATAGTTAGTGTTGCTTATGTAAAATTATACATTGATCAGCCTGGCGCAGTGTCACTTCATTAAACACTGTTGCTAGCCACTTAGATTTAACACAATGTTTGTCAGTTCTGATGGTCACGTCATTACATTCTTTTGCCAAAAAACTTTTTGCATAATATGCTATTAAACGCTAGCAACAACCCTTTTGAAAGTATGAGTGCATAGACGGAATTGCACAATCCCCATTTTGTCTGCCTGGAATAGAGAAAGTTTTTTTTTTACAATTAAGAGTAGATAGTATTTTAGATACTACTACGTAAAGGGAGTTTTATGAGAAGATTTTTAAGCGATCTGCTGACGAAAAAGCACACTTTCTATTGAAGGTCTTAAGTTTACACTTTAAGATATTCGAATTCGATGGCTTTTGCGAGAGTTTATTTTATGTTCTTCTTAAATTTTTGCTAATAACTAAATTAACCAAACTAATTTTGTTGAAAAAAATCATTACCAGAAGAAGATAAAGTACACCATATTATAAAAAAAATACTTTACTAATTCGAACACCCCAGTGAAGCCGTGCTATGGACTAAAAAAAAAGATCAAATCTGCTCATAAATGAATGCAAATCTCATTAATTTTTTCAAGGAAATCAGTGACGTATCATTCGCTGTCTATGAACAAATAATATTTGGATTAATTATATCGTCACTGAACTGGTTAAATCGAGATTTTTTTTTTGTGAAAATTAAAATATTTATCTAGAAACACAACGTCTAATTTTTATTTATTCACTTACGTATTTCAGAAAAAAATTAGAAGACTGTTCTTTCTACTTTTACAGTTTTAATGAAATAACATAACATCCTAACAACAAGATAAATAATAAACGTTTCCTATTTAAAGAAAAAACACTACCTACACCAATTTTCAACAAAATTGTCTGTTAATAAATTACTGATAATCTTTTTTAAAAAAGGTAGAACATAGGAACCAGATAAGAAGTTGTCCTCCGCCTTGAAAGATACACGCTCCAGCCTCAAATTTCCGCGCACGCTTTGAAGTACACCTCCAGTGTTTGTTTTTAAATTGCAGGAATCTCTTCCTTCATTCAGTTCTTCTGAACTGGGGTGCGACTAAGATGCTCCCATAAGAAAAAGTGAAAACTATTTAAATCTGAAGACCTAAAGGGCCATGGTTGAGGTCTACCGGGATCTACTCATTAATTCTGACAGGAAAAAGGGTCCAACAAAGTAATTTCTAGCAATTGCAGCGCCCAAACATTTACTGAAAACGTTGTTATATATATATATATATATATATATATATATATATATATATATATATATATATATATATATATATATATATATATATATATATATACAGGGTTTTTCACTTAAAACTCCGCACGCCAATAACTCCAAAACGAAAAGAAATATTTAATTTATGTAAAAAGTAGTCAAAGTGTGGGGTCAAGTAGATATTTCCTAAAGTTTAAAAAATTCGACGCCTGCAAAGAGCTGGGCGTCGCGACGCGTCGAAAAATTATTCGATTGCAGAGACTTTGGAAATACGCGCATACAAAAATACATATTATTTAAAAACTTTTTTGCTATTTACTCAAACTTATTTACTTTACCCGTTTCTAAGTTATACCGATTTAAAGTAAACATTTCTTGATTAATAAAAAATGTGATTAACGCTTATTTTTACAAGTATGCCATGAATGTTGGACTATGGCAACCACTGTTATCGCAGTTGTTTTAAGTGCAATTACAAACGTAAGTTGTTATTGCTGTATCAAAAAATTGTCACATTTTGTCACAAGAAATATCCAAATTTGTTCGGTTAAAAAAAAACTAAGAATTATTATGTGAAAATGGTGCAATTTAGCAATGAGGAAAAAGTAGACATGTTACTGGTGTTTGGAGAATGCAGATGCAATTGTAGAGAAGCAAAAAAAGTTTACGCACGGCGTTATCCGCATAGAAGAGTCTCCGATGCAAAAACCTTTTCAAGTTTATGTAAAAACTTAAGAGAATATGGCAGCTTCATAAAACCTAAAAGAGATAGGAACAGGACGGCTACAAATGTTGAAAATACTGCTGCTGTAATTCAGCAGGTTGATAATAACCCCAAGATATCCCTATCAGAGATAAAAGAAAATACCGGTGTTACCATAAGTTCTTCGTGGAGAATTCTACATAGAAACTCTTTTCACCCGTACAAAAGTAAACTAGTTCATAAACTAGAACCAGGCGATTATGCTAGAAGAATGTATTTCTTAGCGACATTGTCCGATTTGTATAGCCAAGATGCAAATTTTCTCTCGAAAATTTTATGGAGCGACGAAAGTCGATTTCAAAATAATGGAATCGTTAATAGACACAACTGTCGTTTTTGGTCCGAAAACCATCCTCGTTGGATTACAGAAAGAGGTAACCAACGAATTTTTAGTATCAATGTTTGGTGCGGCATATTAAATGGATTCCTTATTGGACCTTACTTTTACGAAGGAACTTTAAATGCAGATCGCTATTTAAGATTTCTTCAAACTACACTTCCGGAACTATTAGAAGAAGTGCCTCTTGACACTAGAATGAATATGTGGCTACAGCAGGATGGAGCGCCTGCACATAATGCCCAAATAGTAACGAGGTATTTGAACCGAGAATATCCCAATAGATGGTTTGGTACTAATGGACCGGTAAGGTGGCCGGCGAGGTCCCCGGACATTACACCACCAGATTATTTTGTTTGGGGCTACCTAAAAAACGTTATCTATGAAGAACCTATCGAAGATATGGCTGATCTCATTAACAAAATTAGTGCAGCGTGTGCCGCTATCACAAGAAGGACTCTCCTACAAGTGACCCAAGCTCATCTGTTAAAAGTTTTTGATAGTTGTGTTCGAGCAGATGGACATAATTTTGAACACAATTTTTGAAATGTCTTATGTGGTTAATTGCAATAATAATTTTGGTTATTAACTTGTAGGTATTTTACTGTTTTTTCATTTATTTATCATGTTATCAGAACTAAATCGATAAAAAATAATAAATAAAATCATACTAAAATAGTTGAAATCTATTGTTTGTAATTGCACTTAAAACAACTGCCATAACAATGGTTGCCATAGTAACTAACATTCATGGCTTACTTGTAAAAATAAGCTTTAATCACATTTTTTATTAATCAAGAAATGTTTATTTTAAATCGGTATAACTTAGAAATGGGTAAAGTAAATAAGTTTGAGTAAATAACAAAAAAGTTTTTAAATAATATGTACTTTTGTATGCGCGTATTTCCAGAGTTTCTTCAATCGAATAATTTTTCGACGCGTCGCGACGCCCAGCTCTTTGCAGGCGTCGAATTTTTTAAACTTTAGGAAATGTCTACTTGACCCCACACTTTGACTACTTTTTACATAAATTAAATATTTCTTTTCGTTTTGGACTTATTGGCGTGCGGAGTTTTAAGTGAAAAACCCTGTATATATATATATATATATATATATATATATATATATATATATATATATATATATATATATATATATATATATATATATATATATATATATATATATATATATATATATATATATATATATATATATATATATTATACCACACAAGCCCTCATTCATTCATACATAAACACACATCAAAAATCTATAATCTAATAGAAAGGTTTAATGTATTAACAGCCACAAAGAACAAATGATATTCGCATGCGCAGTCATATATCGATTTTCAACAAAAAAGACCTAGCAACGGTCAACACCATTTTATTTGTAACCAACGTTTTCCACACCGTTAACTCGTTTTCCCAGATCATTTAACAAGGCCTGGCCATTTTTTACGAAAGTACTGCCCTAAAAATGATACATTCAAACTAAAATCTTGTTTTAATTATCTCAACGATAAAAACTGTCAGGGGTGAAATCAAATCCAGTTACTTCAATACACAGAGAGCAAATTTAATGTATAAATAATAAGTTATTTTGTATAAACTAAAACTTCCCTAGCGTGCCAGTTAATAATTTTCAAATAAAAGCGAAAACGTTAATAATCAGTATTTTAGAAAAATGTATAATATAAGCCATATAGTGATTACTGATATGACAGTCTGAACAGTTATTTAGATTTATGCTCATAATAAAATGTATTTTATTTAGTTGTTAATTGGGGGGGGGGGGGTAAGTGTCCACGCATCTAGTGGTAATTTCAAAAATCTTAATTACAACTATTACATTACACTTCTTGTTCATTTTGTCAACTATGAAAACTAAAAAACTTGAGGAGATAGAACGAAAAATTTTCTTTTTAAACTGTTTATTGCGGAATTTTATTAACATTATTTATTTTGCTAATTGATTTATTTTAATTAACAGATTTCTTGTATCTCTTTTAGACAGAGCAGCTTTTTAGACATATAACCAGCAGAAGTTAGATTTTAAGCTAATTTTTAAACAAATTTTTTAATATAATTGCGACTTGTTATTGTGTAAGTTAACTATTAAATCAATAAATATTAATTAAACTTTATTGTTTAGATTTACATGGGTATTGGTATGAAATATAAAGCGTTTAGATATTTGATCTTGAATTCATTTTAGTTGCTTTTTTCAGTTTCAAGCAAATAATGTTTTTTTTAATAAAAATCCCAATCTCGTCCCTTAAATAATGCATTTTTTTTAAATTGTCAATTTTCGTGGTATAAAAAGACCGAAATGTTTTAAAAAACTAAACATTTTGTTTTTAAAAGTTGTTTTTAAAATTAAAATTTAAAAATGTTTTTGTCTCGCATATAATTACAGACGGGTGTATAATGAAAGTTCATAATCCCAATGCAAGAAACGAGAGAAACGAAGATGTTTGTTTGAAGTGTTGAGTAGAATTCGGGAAAAAACGTCTGGTAATTTTTTCTGTCAAATTCCTTGCAATTTGGTAGTGGAAACGTGGCAGTATTTACTTGAAAAAAATACACACAGAAATACATGCGGAAATTGCATCGTGTCTACTGGGCTTAATGAAGTTAGATATAACTTTTTTCAATCAGTTTAACTAATGGTCGGATAAAAAACTGTTTCGGTAGAAATCGCCTTTGAATATTAATTTTCAAAAGAGGGTTGCTTGATGCAAGGGGAACGCGAAACCATTGGAAGGGACAGGGACAGCTGACAGTAGAATATAAAAAGGATGAACAAGCCAAAGGGTCATCTTTCCTTACGTACCGAAATAAGAAGGGATTTAAAACACGTTTTTGTGTTTTATAACAGTACCTTAAAGCAGAAGTTTCAATAGAAGACATTTTTTTACGTTTGGTATTTGTTTTTTTAAAATCTTACTTATACAGGGTTTCTCACCGTAACTGTTCGTTAGATGTTTCTGGGATTAGTCAAAAGTTTGAAATTCTGGGACCGTTCATATAAAAATATTTTCAAAGTCACATGACTTCCGGTTACATCGGAGAAAAAAAGTGCACGAAAGTCATGGCCATTATATAATCTAATAGCTTTACAAAATGTGGAGTGGAATATAAATTGCTCGACTCGATACGTTAAAATTACATTTTTTACGTTTTTTAGTGTTTTTGTCTTAATGAACTATCAGTTTAAATATTATTGAAACGTTAAAACTCACGATTTTTTAACGTTTAGGAGTAAGAATTTTAAATTTTTAAATAATGACTAAATTTCAAGCAAACCCAATAAAAGTGCCGTACATCTGCTTTTTGAAAGCTTTTACATTGCTATGTGGCTTTCACATTTCAGTCCACTTTTTGTGAAGGAAAATAGACAATTTCATTATTCCTAACTTCGAAAGGAAATGTAACTTTACTCATAGCAAGACATAATTTGACAAAATAAATAATGTAAATAAAATACATTTGATAAAGACACGGTGTCGAAACAATTCTCATGTCAAAATATATAATTTCCTGAAAGTCTTCTTACTTATTTTGATAAATGGATTTTCTTCAAGTAAAGTTTGGTTAAAATTGTGTTATAATATCTCTATTTAATTTATCTGATCTGATATATCATAGATGACATGTGTTCATCGAATTGAAATTACAAAACTGTCGTGATTGTGAGTAATACACATTGTTGCATTTAAGAAATTAGATTAATAGACAATCACAAAAATTCTTAAATAAATAGTTTACGTAACTGCAAAATCTGTATTTTTAGTTATTACTATATTTTTCAAAATAATCAAAAACAAAAATGTTTGGTGACTTATGGCACTTGGCAAATATGTCGGCAAACAAAGAATCGTACATTTTCTCCAACGGTACTAACTACCTATTCCATTGTTATATTTGTTTTATTTTTAAGTACCAATAATTCTAAAAAAATCATGAATTTATTATATTTATTTATTTAAAAAAGGCGCCGGTTCAAACATCATTATTTAACCACGTAGACAGTTTTTTGAAATTTGACTACATAGTTAACACATGACCATTGGCGAACGAAACTTTGAGAGAATACTTTCGAGCAGAAGCATGACGCCACCAACACAACTAAAATATGTGAACCGAAATTTCCGTAATGATTCATTCAAAATATGTATAAGATATATGTAAAAATATTTTCCCAGACAAAAAACTGCAGTAACACAGTGAAATGTTAATTTAGGGATGGGATAATTTACTCCTTGATCAGGACTATTTTGCACTAGTCGCGTAGGAATATATTTCCATCACGGAACCGTCATTGACCTACGTATAAATAGCAACCCCTCTTTCCCACCGCGTCATTAGTCCCGAAGCAGTTGTTATTGGAGTGTGTTGCAGTGTTCAAATTGTGGTTGTGAGTAGCTGTTTCCAAGTAGGTTTCTGAAATTCGTCCATGTGGTGATTTGCTTCCGGAAAAGAGCAAGCAAGGTGTGTTTTTAACTGTAAAAACTTTTTTAAATTACCTATCGACATATTATTGACTATTGTTTCGCTCTTACACACTAATGGGCGTTTCGGTGAACCGCTCCACCAAAACGTCAGAGTTAGCAAATTGGATTTCACAAATAAAAGTCAAAAAGACAAATTTCAAGTGTCAAAAGCGAAAAAATTTCTTTATTGAGGCTATTTTGTCAAATGCATTGTCGCGCGCCGAAACCGAACTTCGTCAAAGACAAATGGAAAGGAAGCTAAGATGGCAGCGTTTAATGTCCAAGTATGCCGTAGATGATAGTTCGAACATTAATTGGGATATGAAGACGTATGAAGACATCACCGCCGATATTGATAGCTTTATGAATCAATTGAAAAATATGAGAGTTCCTGTTAAAAGTTGATAATAGTATTATGTAGAAATTTGTTCTATTGTAAAAGGCTGTTACACTGCGTTTTGTTCTGTGATATACTATGTGTAATTTTTTTATTGCAGTGGGGAATCCGACTGGGTCAGAAGGTGCCAGAGATAGAAGCCCTTTTTGGTTTGTAAATGTTTAGATTAAATTAAGTTCTTGTATATATAAAATTAATTAATAAAATAATTGATTTTTTTTGTGAATATTGACTTCTTGTCCCAAATGTACCCGGTACTAATTTGTTTTAACTTTACATGTGAGCAAGAGGGTCCTGAACAAGGTGGTCACCCTACCATGTTGATTGAGAACTGTATTTTGTTTCCCTTATGTTTGTCGAATGCACCAAGGTTGTAGCTGCTCTAAATTCTGCACTGCTTGCATATGAGGAGTTCGTGGGTTCTCGTCTTTGCTGGAAAAATGGCAATTAGGATGAGCTGCCTCGACAAAATGGTAAATTGGAGTATATATATGCATTTGATATTCTGGTAGTTTAGTAGTATAAACTGACTGGTCTGACAATTTTCATCTATTGCCGATTGTACAAAATAAAGTGGTTGTTGCGTTGTTGCGGTAAAAGCTGTATACGTGAAATTCACGGTAACAGTGACTTTTGCATATACTGCACTCAAGATTATAATTTTCATTGTGTATTGTGAGCTATCTACCAAATATATTTTGAATTGATCATAAAAATAACATATATATCTCACATGTAACTTTAAAAAAAACTATAAAAAATTCATAGTCTCTGCGAACAATAAGTGAAGAAAATGCTTTCTTAATGGTTGAGCTCCCATTGAGTTACGGCATTTTCCATCCTTGTTGTGCAGCGCGTTTATTTTCTTGCTACTGAACGTTGTTCCTTCATGTTTGATATTTTCTATAGGTTCCAAATGGTATTGACAAGTTCAGTCGACAGCTTGGCCAATACCATCAAAACTATTTGCAGCTCGAAAAACACAGCTAACCCGACCTTTTCAAGGAAGGAGACGCGGTGTTCAGAATACTCCCCATTTCAATAACCATTTAATCTTATCATACTGGCTGGCGAAGTATAAGAAACTGATGCCAACAGCGGTATCCACTTTTGTTGTCCTGTGTACATCATTTTGGCGGAGAGTGGATGAGCTATTTGCCTTCCATCGAGATCGTTATTTATTCCAAACCATTAGCAAATTCAAGATTCCACTATCTCTAGCGACTACAATGTGGAAAAACTTTCCCTTGGTAAAATATGCAGCAAACACTTCAACCGTAAGAACGATATCTTTTGAAGATAGGGTTGAATGTTGGCCAAACGGAGTCCTGCTGGCTCAGCTGCATATCAGGTACCTATTTATTTTATAAAGTCTTACTTTAAACCTTTGAGATTGCAGTATGTATGTTCAGTGTTGTTTATGTATGTAAACTCACATGTTTAGTACTTTGGACTACCTAAATAAAATTTTAATCGGCGCAAAGTACTTAACTTTCGACTGCTAGAATTTTAATTCTCTAAATCATAAATAGCCCCCGACGTTTGTTCGAATTTTGCATCTTTTACAGAAATTACCGAGTGTTTTCTGTTAATTTTCTTTTTATAAGTTGAAAATAGTTTTATCTGAATTTATAATTGCCGTTATCACAGAGCAGATTATTGTTTTATTCATTTCAGAGGTCACTAAGTAGATAACCTATATCGATCCACTATAATCATGGTGAACGAAGGACAATTCATTTTGGTGTTTGGTCGCGGAGAAAAAAGTCCTGCCGAGGATTCTTTATTTTAGTGCAAAACAATGCAATTTAATAAGATCAAAAATGCGAAATTCACGTATATTTAATAAAACTAGTAGATTTCCAGCAAGCAGTAACTCGGTGCTCTCGTGGCTGCGAGAGCGAGAACAATTCATTTTAAAAATTATTTTGCAATGTCGTATGTTCTGTTAATTTCAGAGGTACAAGAAACTCTCAAATTAATTTCATGAATTTTGCGGATATGAAACGTAGGAAATACTTCTGAAATACTATACATAGAGAAAATTATAAACAATTTAAAAATTTTAAAATCAATCGTTAAAAATTGAAAACGTAATTCACTCGTTTTTGTTAAACCTCTGAAACGAAATCAAATTTGACAAAACGGCAATATTAATTTACAAAAATGCAACTTCTGAGAGAAGTGTGTGATGAAAAGTAATAGTTCTGCAAGAAATAAATATTTTTATTAAATAATCGTATAATTTTATATCCTGAGCTATTAAGTTTGCATTAAAACAAAAACCGTAGTAGCGCACAAAAAATTTTGATGCACTTTTAAACCCCGACCAAATATCAATTTATTTTTTCCGCTGCTGTGATTATGGTGTTAATAGTTTTGAATTCGCGAAGCAATATGTTGTGATATTTTCGGTAGGAAAAAATCTTTTGTATTGGATCAATTTCTTTTTCAAAAATTATAAAATGGTTTAAAGTTTCAGTTTACCTTTTCAAACAAAAAGACAGTGGCCTATTATGAGAAACCCGGTACTTAAAAATAGGAGAGAATGCAAAATATGTATCCAAATTCAATTTTAAATACTGTTGGAAGTTTTCGATAATTGTAATATTTTCCGATAATTAATTGTACAAATCAAGTTACTATTCCTACAAGCTCATATGGATAATTTTTTGTATATTATATGTCTATTTGTTGTGTGCAAAATATTTAATGACAACCATAATTCCACAGACGACTCATTATATTATATTGTGGGTTTTTGATTTATTTTTAGACAAGAAGAAATATAGCTGAACTTGTCTTTAGAGCCTTATATCATGCGGTGCCAGCCATTCTCATTATGATTATTGGAATGTTTACCTACCCCCTTGCGTTTTTTATCGAAGCTACAGGAATAATTCGTCTTAGCGCCTTAAAACAACCATTTCTTGACAACTAAAACGTGGTCGGCATTTGTTGGGGCAAACTCGTCGTTGAACGTCGTTATGTGGTGTTTCTTCAGTCTTCGATCCTTGGTCAACAAAGCAGATTCTTGGTGGCGACGCCGAGTGGAGTGCGGAACACAAGGTTACGTTCACTTTTGGTTTTGGATGCGCTGTAAAATGTTTTAGGTTGGCGTTTCTTTAATTATTTGAATTACATAGGCATAAAATCAATAATAAATGCCCATATGGAAGATTTTGCAGATCAACATGCAAGAAAGAAAAAAGAAATGAGTCCCATATTCGCGCTCCATATTCCAAAAATTTCGTTGTTTGCCTAAATTTCAGAAAATGTAATTCTAACCAAAATCACTACAACTACAAGACAAAGTCCACTTATCAAATCTTGTCAAATTGTATTTATTATTGGTGAGTATGCCGAACTTGCGCTACTAGTCGTTTTAAGCAGAAACGCTGTATCGACAATACTAAAGAAGAAAAACACAAACAGAAAGGTGGGGGCTACCAATGACCGAACGTAGCATTAAATAATAAATTCAATTCAATTTGGTTTACGCTAGGTACATTCATATTGGTACAATTTGCTTAAAAATAAATTATATCTGCTGAAACAAGATATGAGGAGCCAAGGAAACACAAGAATGATGAAGATTAAAGTAATTTTCGAAACATTTATTCAATTCAGCAAATATTCGCAGTAAGTAAAGTATTGAGATTGTATTTGTAAGTTTTAAAGTATAGAGAACTGTGATTGGAGCCCAGGAAATTTTGTTCACTAAATTCAAACGAGTAAATGTTGTGGGGTTTGTTTAACAGACAGAGAGTTTTTGATTTGGCTCTTTGGATATTACTTGTCTATTGTCGAAACTATCACGGCGTTTGAAAGGGAGATCTCGTGTCGCAAAGAAGAATTTAGTGGTATTCCTCCTAAATTTTCCATCGAGATACTAAGTTTTTGTTCCAGATTTGAAGATAGCAACAAGATAAGAAAAATGTCCTTTAAAAATATGTATAAAAAAATTAAGCTCAGAAGATTGAGATTTTCTGCATCACTAAGTAACATTCCAGGGAATCTAGTTATTGCGAAAAGCAGAAGTTTTTCTCTATTGGGATAAAAAAACCGAGTGGCCCTTTCGTTAATAACGTATTAAATTGTTCTTGGACATCGTTTTTAAGATTATTTTCGTAGGATGATTCAACCACTGCCGAGCGAAAGAATATTGCATACTCCCCCAGTCAGGGTTACTAACCATATAAATAAAATTATCCAGCCTTTGGAATGTTATTTGTGATATTTTTTATGGACTGAAGATACTAAATGCAAGTAGATACAAACAACAGCGGGTCTCTGTTTATTATGGGCACACGAGGTTCTTGTCCAGGACTGAATAAAATGGTTATTATTTTCGTACCAAGTAAAAATGTAAGTGTGGGGATGTTAAATTTATAAACATCCCATTTGCTCCTGGTATAATGAAGTTAATATTGCAAGTAATCTTTTTATAGGCTAATGCATACTTCGTATTTGAATTTAATATTTGACACACTCAACAAAAAGTTCTACTTCATTATTGCCACACACATATTCAACAAGACTGTTTTGTGTACGAATGATTTTTAAAGCTGCCGATTAACCTGTTCTGTCTGTGGGTGGGATATTGTCTGTTCTAGATTTAGCTTTTTAATTGTAACACTGAGACTAATCACCCGGTACATGGGACTGTAAATTTATCAAATAGACGTTTCGTGCAAACAGTTCTGACAATTTAGCAAATGAATCAAAATCAGAGCAGCAAACATTTCGTTTTTTAGAGTTTAATTTGCTGCTAAAACATGCAGATAATCAGGAAAAGAATGCCAGCATCTCAAGAACACGTTTTGATACAATAAAATCAAGAGTCCGGACGGATCGACTTCAATGACATTTCTTGCAGTATTTATAAAATTATAGACTATACAGCATTTTTTGTTTGTTCATGTACACCGAAGTAATAACAATTGTGGAAAGAAAAAGTACGTTCGAGGCACTTGCATAGATTTTATTGCTGATAATTTATCTTAACTTGGAGTTTCTTTTGGATCTGAATTTACTAAAGCGCAAAAAAGTACAAAAGGAAGAGTTTTTGCCATGTTGAGCAGCAAGTAATGGAAAATTCGCTTTGGCGCAGACACTAAGATCTTGTGTTTTAGAATGTTTAAAGCAACAGCTAGGAAACACTGAACAAACCCGCATCGTTGTTGTATTCTTGTTTCACGCCAGTTCCCGATGAGAGTTTTTTTATTTGGACACGAACGTGTGCTCTACTTCCTATGGATTTAGAACTGCATGCGGGTTGGATTTCCCAAAACCGCTTCATAAAACTAATTTACAAATTTGTTTTGAATATGCGGTTAAAAAATTTATTTAAGGTATAGGTACAAAATGTGTGGACCATTTGTGTGCGTCGTAGAATAATTGGTCTGCAGTGTGACGGAGACGCCAATTTGACCTATTTATTGAGCAAGGCGGGCACATCATCTGGGTGGGTACTTATTGTGTGTCTCACTGCACACAGCAGAACTTTTATTAAACCTCGCTTGCCAGCGCGACGATTGGAAAGGTTTTGAGTAAGATATTTAGGATAGTTCTCAATCTTTTGGCTAGACCAACCCACCAAAGCAAAAAGTTAAAGATATCGTATCATGAAAGTCAAGTACATCAGGAGGTATGTTTTTTTCCAAATTGCATGATTGTACATATAGCACAAATTTCAGCATGGAACCATATTGCAACAACATTTGAATTATACAAATAGCGGCTGCTGAAAAAAATTATTCCATATGGAACCCTCTATTAAAATTGCTTGATACCTATAATATTAAATAAATAAATCGGCATTATAAAATATTTAAATAGCATCTGTAACGGCTACAGCATTGATATTGAATAAATTTTGAAAATACACTCGTACAATTCGGAAGAAGCTCACCAACCCAACAAGGAGGACAGCGGCAGTTTCAGGAAAGAGAAGCAAGTATGAACAAACGACAGTGTGAGAAGAAGCGGGGCAAATTTGACGAAAAGAAAAGCAAAAATCACCGACGAGGCAACTTGGGGACAAGAGATAGCCAATGTTGCAGCTTCCAACTGACTGCACAACACAGAGGCGACTGATGAATCAAATCAGTTTATGATCGGGACTTTGGAACGCAGAGGTTTACTAAAAGAAAATTACGGTGGCTGCAGCAAGAGAGGCAAAAAGGACCACAAACGAGCCAACTCAGTAGAAAACAATATCACCGGTGTTGCAGCTTGAATAAGACGGCACTACTTTGAACAACTTCTACAGAAAGAAAATTCAATAAAAGTTTCCGATGAAGAGGACAAGCGAGGCCATCCTACAGATTAAGAAGGCTACATAACAGAAGATAAAAAGTAGGTACGAAAAGAAAACTATTCAGCGACAGGAAACCACTGAACAGCAGTTGAAGATGAAGAGGAGCAACGGGGAAAATCAAAAGAAGAAGAGGTCATCAAAACGAATTAAGTAATTACAAATTGCGGAGCTCCGGCGTGCAGCGTGCACTTTTGACAGCAGTTTGCAGAAAGAAGTGTGGCAACTCAGGAGAAGAGGAAGCGATCATCAAAATTGTTCCCCCCAACAGCACGGCACCTCCTTTGTCGGCATTTACGGAAAGAAGAAGACATTTTCAGGTGAAAAGGACCAGCGAGGCAATCCTGGAGATCACCAATGATAGGAAAGATGGCTACCGAACAGAAGACCGACGAAAAGAAATTATTGAGTGACAGAAAAGCTACTGAGCCGCAGCAGAAGATCAAGAGGAGCATCGGGACAAATGGGGAGAGAAAAAGATCATCAAGACGAATTAAGAGATCAGAAATTGTGTAGCTCCGGCGTGCAGGGCAACCACCTTTGACAGCAGTTTGCGCACACAAGACTCAAGAACGGTTTCAGATGGGGGCGACCGATTAGGCAAATCAGGAGAAACTCAAAAAGGGAACGAATTGATCGGAGACCATCGACATGGTGATTTTGGTCGGGACCAACGAAAAGAAGACTATTGACTAAGATCAAAACGAATTAAGAAATTACAAATTGTGGATCTCCGGCGCGCAGCGTGCACTTTTGACAGCAGTTTGCAAAAAGAAATGTGGCAACTCGGGAGAAGAGGTAGAGATCATCAAAGTTGGTCCCCCAACAGCACGGCACCTCCTTTGTCGGCATTTACGGAAAGAAGACGACATTTTCAGGTGAAGAGGACTAGTGAGGCAATCCTGGAGCTCACTGAGATGAAAGAAGGCTACTGAATAGAACAACTGAGCAACAGCTGAAGATAAAGAGGAGTAGCGGGACAATTGAAAAGACTGCGCAAAGAAGACTTAAGAACGGTTTCAGATGGGGGCGATCGACTAGGCAAATCAGGAGAAACTCACCAAGAGAATGAATTGAACGGAGACCATCGACACGGTGATTGGATCGCGACGTAAGCAACTTCAGAAAAGGAGATTCAACAACAGTTCAGATGGAGACGACCTATGAGTCTAATCAGAAGGTCACCCGGACGAATAAAGAGAAGATTGGCAATTTTGGAACGTGATGGTATGGAATTACCTTTGACAGAAGTATATTCAAAGTTGTTATTTAATTTTTCTTTTACATGATAATTACAATTAATGTTTATTTTATTAAAAATCGCTCAACCACGATTTCAGATGATGACGGCCAGGGCTTGAAACCAATACAACAAGGAGGCAACTCTGGAAAAGAGATAATCACGAACGTGGCAGAAGACCAACGTCTTTTGGCAGCATTTACGGAAAAGAAACTATTCAATACTAGATACAGAAAATAACGGCCAGAAGAAGAAAAGATCTTCAGTTTTGTAGCTCCGACAGGATGGCACCTCCTTTCGCAGCATTTACGGAAAGAAGACTATTTAAGACATTTTCAGGTGAAGAAGACTACCGAGGCATTCCTGGAGATCACCAATGATTGGAAACAGGGCTACCGCACAGAAGACCGACGAAAAGAAACCATTGAGCCACAGAAAAGCTACTGAGCAGCAGCAAAAAATAAAGAGGAGCATCGGGACAAATCGGCCGAAAAAAGATCATCAAGGCGAATTAAGAGATCAGAAATTGTGTAGCTCCGGAGTGCAGGGCAACCACCTTTGACAGCAGTTTGCGCAAACAAGACTCGAGAACGGTTTGAGATGGGGGCGACCGACTAGGCAATCAGGAGAAACTCACCAAGGGAACGAATTGATCGGAGACCATCGACATGGTGATTTGGTCGGGACGTATGCAACTTCAGAAAAGGAGATTCAACAACAGTTCAGATGGAGACGGCCAACGAGTCTAATCAGAACATCACCAGGACGAATAAAGAGAAGATGGGCAATTTCGGAACGTGATGGTATGGAATTATCTTTGACAGAAATATATTCAAAGTTTTTTATTTCATTTTTCTTTTACATAATAATTATAATTAATATTTATTTTATTAAAAATCGCCCAACCACGATTTCAGATGATGACGGCCAGGGTTTGAAACCAATACAACAAGGAGGCAACTCTGGAAAAGAGATAATCGCGAACGTGGCAGAACAGCAACGTCTTTTGGCAGCATTTACGGAAAAGAAACTATTCAATACTAGGTTCAGAAAATATCAACCAGAAGAAGAAAAGATCTTCAGTTTTGTAGCTCCGACAGGATGCCACCTCCTTTGGCAGCATTTACGGAAAGAAGACTAGTTAGCGACATTTTCAGGTGAAGAGGACTACCGAGGCATTTCTGGAGATCACCCACGATTGGAAACAGGGCTACCGAACAGAAGACCGACGAAAAGAAACTATTGAGCGACAGAAAAGCTACTGAGCGGCAGCAAAAAATAAAGAGGAGCATCGGGACAAATCGGCCGAAAAAAGATCATCAAGGCGAATTAAGAGATCAGAAATTATGTAGCTCCGGCGTGCAGCGCAACCACCTTTGACAGCAGTTTGCACAAACAAGACTCGAGAACGGTTTCAGATGGGGACAACCGACTAGGCAAATCATGAGAAACTCACCAAGGGAACGAATGGATCGGAGACATAATGACTTAATCGCAACAGGAGCAGCTTACAAAAAAAAAGACCAACAACAGTTCAAATGGAGACCACCGACGAGGCTAATCAGGAGATCGCCGGGACGAATAAAGAGAAGATCGGCCATTTTGGAACGTAACGGTATGGAATTACCTTTGAAAGAAGTATATTCAAAATTTTTGTTTAATTTCTCTTTTACTTAATAATTATAATTAATAATTATTTTATTAAAAATCGCTCAACCACGATTTCAGATGATGACGCCCAGAGTTTGAAACCAGTCCACCAAGGAGGCATCTCTGGGAAGGAGATAATCGCGAACGCGACAGAACAGCAACATCTTTTGGCAGCATTTACGGAAAAGAAACTATTCAATTACTAGTTTCAGAAAATAACGACCAGAAGAAGAAAAGATGGCAACAACATCGCGAACGTGACAGAACAACAACCTCCTTTGGTAGCATTTACGAAAAGGAAAACTTGGCAATAATAGCGTCAGAAAACAATGACCAGGAGAAGAGAAAATCATCAATTTTGTAGCGCCGACAGGATGCCACCTCCTTTCGCAGCATTTACGGAAAGAAGACTAACGACTTTTTCAGTTGAAGAGGACCAGCGCGGCAATCCTGGGAATTACCAACGAGAAGAAAGGCTACCGAACAGAAGATAAAAACGAACGACGAAAAGAAGACTAGCAGCAGCTGAAGATCCAGAGGAGCATCGGGACATATCGGGAGAAAAAAAATCGTCAAGGCGAATTAAGAGAGCAGAAATTCTATGCCTCCGGCGCGCAGGCAACCACCTTTGACGGCATTTTGCGCAAACAAGACTCGAGAACGGGTTCATTTTCAGGTGAAAGAGGAGGAGCAGCGAGGCAATCGTAGAGGTCAGCAACAAGAGGAAAGAAGGCTACTAAACAAGATGAAAAGGACCAACGAAAAGAAAACTATTGAGTGACAGAAAGCCACCGCACAGCAGTTGAAAATGAGGGGCAGCGGGGAAAATCGAGAGAAAAGATCAAAACGAATTAAGAAATTACAAATTGTGGATCTCCGGCGCCCAGCGTGCACTTTTGACAGCAGTTTGCAAAAAGAAATGTGGCAACTCGGGAGAAGAGGTAGAGATCATCAAAATTGTTCCCCCCAACAGCACGGCACCTCCTTTGTCGGCATTTACGGAAAGAAGACGACATTTTCAGGTGAAGAGGACCAGTGAGGCAATCCTGGAGCTCACTGAGATGAAAGAAGGCTACTGAATAGAACAACTGAGCAACAGCTGAAGATAAAGAGGAGTAGCGGGACAATTGAAAAGACTGCGCAAAGAAGATTTAAGAACGGTTTCAGATGGGGGCGATCGACTAGGCAAATTAGTTGAAACTCACCAAGAAAATGATTTGAACGGAGACCATCGACACGGTGATTGGATCGCGACGTAAGCAACTTCAGAAAAGGAGATTCAACGACAGTTCAGATGGAAACGACCGACGAGTCTAATCAGAAGATCACTGGGACGAATAAAGAGAAGGTCGCCAATTTTGGAACGTGATGGTATGGAATTACCTTTGACAGAAGTATATTAAAAAAATTTATTTACTTTTTCTTTTACTTAATAATTATAATTAATGATTTTTTTTTAAATTGCTCAACCACAGCCAGAGTTTGAAACCAATTCAACAAGAAGGCAACTCTGGGAAAGAGATAATCGCGAACGTGACAGAACAGCAACGTATTTTGGCAGCATTTACGGAAAAAAGACTATTTAACGACATTTTCAGGCGAAGAGGACTACCGAGGCATTCCTGGAGATCACCAATGATAGGAAAGATGGCTACCGAACAGAAGACCGACGAAAAGAAACTAGTGAGCGACAGAAAAACTGCTGAGCAACAGTAGAAGTTCAAGAGGAGCATCGGGACAAATGGGCCGAAAAAAGATCATCAAGGCGAATTAAAAGATCAGAAAGAAATTGTGTAGCTCCGGCGTGCAGGGCAACCACCTTTGACAGCAGTTTGCACAAACAAGACTCGAGAATGGTTTCAGATGGGGGCGACCGACTAGGCAAATCAGGAGAAACTGAGCAAGGGAACGAATGGATCTGATCGCAACAGAAGCAGCTTACAAAAAGGAGACTCAGCAGTTAAGATGGAGACCACCGACGAGGCTCATCAGGAGATCACCGGGACGAATAAAGAGAAGAACGGCAATTTTGGAATGTGATGGTATGACAAGTATATTAAAAAATTTTATTTAATTTTTCTTTTACTTAATAATTATAATTAATATATTTTTTTTTAATCTCTCAACCATGATTTCAGATGATGACGACCAGAGTTCGAAACCAGTACACTAAGGAGACAACTCTGGGAAAGACATAATCGCGCACGTGACAAAACAGGAACCTCTTTTGGCAGCATTTACGGAAAGGAAACTGTTCAATAATAGTTTCAGAAAACAACGACAGAAGAGAAGATCGTCAATGTGATAATTTCAACAGGATGGCACACCTCCTTCGCGAGGATTTACGGAAAGAAGACTATTTAACAACATTTTCAGATGAAGAGGACCAGTGAGGCAATCCTGAAGATCACAAACGAGAGGAAAGAAAGCTACCGAATTGAAGATAAGTTCCGACGGAAAGAAGACTATTAAGCTATAGAAAAGCTACTGAGCCGCAGCTGAAGATCAAGAGAAGGGTCGGAACAAATAGGGAAAAGAGAAGATCATTAAGACGAATTAAGAGATCATAAATTGTATAGCTGCAACGCAACCACCTTTGACAGCAGCAAAGAAGACTCACGGACGGTTTCAGATCGGGGCGACCGACAAATCAGGAGAAACTCACCAAGGGAATGAATTGATCGGAGACCAACGACATGGTAGCTAAGTCGGGACAGGAGCAACTTGCAAAAAGGAGATTCAGCAACAGTTCAGATGGAGACGACTGAAGAGTTAAATCCGAATATCACCCGGACGAGTAAATAATGGAATATGATGGTATGAAATTACTTTTGACAGAAGTTTGTTACAAATTTTTATTTAATTCGTCTTTTATTTGGTAATTATAATTATTAATTATTTTATTAAAAATCTTTCAATAACGTTTTTAGAAGATGACTACGATATTTTAAAACCAGATCACCAGCGAGGCACCTCTGGCAACAACATAATCGCGAACGTGACGGAACAACAACCTCCTTTGGTAGCATTTACGAAAAGGAAAACTATTCAATAATAGCTTCAGAAAACAATGACCAGGAGAAGAGAGAATCATCAATGTTGTAGCTCCGACAGGACCGCACCTCCTTTGACTGCATTTAAGGAAAGAAGACTATTTAACGACATTTTCAGGTGAAAGAGGACCAGCGAGGCAAGAGGAAAGAAGGCTACTAAAGATGAAAAGGACCAACAAAAAGAAGACTATTGAGCGACAGAAAATTACTGAGCAGCAGCTGAAGATCCAGAGGGGAGCAGCGGGACAAATCGGGAAAGGAAAAGATCATCAAGACGAATTAAGAGATCATAAATTGTAGTAGTTTATGCAAAGAAGGAGCAAGACCGGTTTCAGATGGAGACAACCGACTCGGAAACTCGCCAACGGAACGAATTGATTGGAGACTATCGACTTGGTGGCTTGATCAGGCTTACAAAACGGACGCTCAACAGTTCAGATGGAGATGACCGACGAATTACGAGAATATCGGCAATTTTGGAATGTGATGGTATGGAATTAACTCTGACAAAAGTTTTAAAAAAAAAATTTATTTGATAATTATTAACTATGTTATTAAAAATTGCTCAACTACATTTTCAGATGAGAACGGCCAGAATTTAAAATCAGATCGTCAGCGAGACAATTTTGGGAAAGAGATGATCACAATCAGGAACCTCCTTTGACAGCATTTACGGAGAGAAGATTATTCAACGAAATTTTCACGTGAGAGGAGTAGCGATGCAATCCAAATCCGGGCAGTACAAATCTGAAGATTTAGATCACCAAGAAGAGAAATTAAGATATCTCCAATTTTGAATCTTGGATAGGACTAAAAAAAATCATCACCTTTGCTGGCAATTCGCGAAAAAAAAAGGCTCTGGTCAAGATAACCGGACAGGCGTCTTAGGAGAAGAGATCACCAATGTTGCAGCTTCGACCTGAAGACACGGCATGGAGACCACCGCCGAATGAAATCAGTAGATCACCGGTACAAATTAAAAGAAATCAGATTACCAACGAGGCAACTTTTGAGAAAGAAATATCACCAGTATTGCAACTCTGATAGAATGGCACGAAAGCTATTTAATGACAGTTCCAGGCAAAGAGAACTAGCGAGACAATAGACTTCACCAAAGGGGAAAGAAGGGAGGCTACTGTGCAGAAGATGAATAGGATCAACGAAAAGAAGACCGACTATTCAACGACATTTTCAGATGAAGACTACCAATATTGCAATCTAGTTCACCAACGAGAAAAAAGAAGGTTACTAAACGGAAAAAAATCACCACCTTTGGCGGGAAATTAATTGAAAAAGGACTATCCAAAATGACTCGTTAGATGAGATCACAAACGTTGCAGCTTCGACCTGACGGACGAATTAAGTCAGTTAATCATTGAAACGAACTAAGCTGAGATCACCAATTTTGGAAAGCGGATGATACAACATATATGACGGGAGTTGTGTACTGAATAAAATGGAAGAAAATTGTTCAACAACAGTTTCAGAGTATGACAGCTGGAAAGGCAAAAGAAATCACAAATGAGAGTTTTATAGTTGGCAGTTGGGATAGGACGGCACCAACATTGACAGAATTTTACAGCAACAAGACTATTCCATGACAGTTTCAGGCGAAGAGAACCCGCGTGACAATCGAGGAGACCACCTACGAAAGGAAAGAAGACTACCACTGAACAGGAGATGAACAAGACCAACGAGCTGCAGTTTCAGATAAAGTTACCCTAAGCTAAGCAATCCATGAGAACATGCACTTAACAACGGAACAGATTGGCCGGAGATCATCGACAAGGCAGCTTGGTTGGGAGAGAAGCAGTTCATAGAAAGGTTATTCAACAACAGTTAAGATGGAGACGACCGACAAGTCAAATCAAAAGATCATCGGGATGAATTAAGAAAATATCATCAAATTTGGAAGAAGATTATATGAAATTACCTTTGATAGCAGTTTATTCAAAGACAATTGCGCAACAACGTTTATCAGATGATGACGACCCTAGTTTAAAATCAGGTCGCCAATGCGAGGAAACGTTACTTTTCAACAATAGAAGAAGACGCGCGATGCATATCTGAAGATTTAGAACATGAAGGATACAAATTAAAATGTCTCCAATTTTGAATCATGGACCGAACTTGGCCCCCCCTCTGCTCTGGTGGTTCACAACAAAAAGTACTGTCAATCACATTCTCCGGTGAATACAACTGATAAATCGAAAGACGAATATTGTAGTTTTGACATGACGCCACGACACAAGGCACCAACGAATAAAATCGGTCGATCAACAGAATCAATTAAGAATTTACCAATTTGGGAACCTTTCACAGCAGTCTAATATATCATGGGAGCCAAATCAGATTATCAAGAAGGCAACATCAGTATCAGGTGGAGAGAGTCAGCGAGATAATCCAGGACATCACAGACAAAAGGAAATAAGGCGGCTACTGTATAGAATATGAGGAGGATCAACAAAAAGATGATTGTTCAATCACAGTTTAAGATGAAGACTACCAGCAATGCAATCCAGAAGATCACCAATGAGTGGAAAGAAGCCTACTGTACCAAAGATAGAGTATCGAGGGAAAGAAGACTATTCAACGACCGCTTCAGATGAAGACTACCAGCAAGGCAATCCAGTAGATCACCAACAAGAGGAAAGAAGACTACAGAACAGCAGTTTAAGGTCAAGAGCATCAGCGATGCAAATCAGGAAAAGAGATCACAAATTGTAGAGCTCCGGTGTGCAGGGTAATAATTTTTTACAGTTTAATTTTTTGCAGTTTACTGAAAAAAAGTTCAAAAACGGTTTTAGATGAAAGTGACTGGTCAAACCAGGAAAAACTCAGCAAGAGAACGAAATGGCCCGAGACAATTGACATGCCAGCTTGGTCGGGACAGATGCAGCTCACAGAAAGGAGACTCCTCAACAGTTCAAATGAAGAAGACCGACGAGTGAAATGCGACGATCACTGGGACGAATGAAAAAAACTAAACAAATTTGGAACGGGATGGTACGGAATTACCTTTGATAGCAGTATATTAAAAGAAAATTTATCAATGACGTTTTCAGAGGATGACGACCAGAGCCCAACATGACGGGATATTTAGCATCAATTTTTCAAAACAAGCTAGCAGTTTTAGAAGAGCCAAAGAGGCACCAATGTGGCAACTCGGTAGAAGAGATCATCAATGTCCTAGCTGTAATAGGACTCCACGTTCTTTGGCAGCATTTACGGAAATTTGACTATGCAACGACATTTTCGGACGAAGAGATTACCAACGAGAAGTTAGTGAACACTAGTGGAAGATGATACAGATGGGATATGCAAATCTGAAGAAGAGCAGTAGTAGATGAGCAAGAAGACAAATTAAGACATGTCCAATTTTGAATCTGCTTGCAGTTCACGAAAACAGGATTATCAAGAACGTTCTCAGGTGAAGACGAACAGAGAGACTACTCAGGGGAAGAGATTACCAATTCTGAGAAGAAAAAAGAATACTCAATGGCAGTGGAAAATAACAGGTGATAAAAATCTGTCAAAGAGTAGATCATCAAGAACACAAATTAGGAGATTGTCAATTTTGGATTTTAAGCGGTATAGAGGGGCAGCTTACAAGCTCTAAGATTAATTGAATATTGTTGCTTCAGATAGAGACGGCTATCGACTCAAATCAGATCACTGGGACGAATTAAGAGAACACCGATTTTGGTACCTTTGACAGCAGTCTAGTGCGAGAAAACTCCTTCCTCAACAACAGATAAAGACCACCAAAAGGACAAATCGTTCACAGCAAAAAAACTATTAAACAACAGTTGAAGGTGAGCGACAACGAGACGATCCAGCAGATCAACGAGAGGAAAGAAGAGAGCAGTTAGATACCCAGTGAGAGACGAATATCGATAAGAAAAGATCATCAACAAATTGAACAGAGGGCTCACAAGAACGATTTCAGATGAATGCGACTGCGCGTCGAGAAAATCAGGATAAACTTACTCACGAGACCAACATTAACAAGTTTGGAAGAGGCGGGATCACCTTTAGCAGCAGTTTCCAGAAAAGAGACTGGACCAATCAGGTAGCTAGAGCTAAGCAGGAGTTTATAAGAAGAAAAGTATTAGTCTACTACTAGCTTTAGAAAACAACCCCAAAGCATCCAGAAGAGATCAAATTGCATCACCAGCAGGGCGTCAACCATCTTTAACAACGGATTACAGAAACAAAACTATTCGGTATTAGTTTCAAATAGATCACTAACGAGAGGGCAGAATCAAACTGAAGATGAAAAGACGAAACAAATCCCGAGAAACTATATCATCAAAAAGGCCAACTAAGAGATCACTTAAAGATAAACTTTGGCGAAGACATCGCTGCAACAGAAATGGCAGTAATTAATTTTTCAAAATTATTTAGCCTTATAACTGTTAGTCTCAACTACCAATTGTACAAGGTTAACGCAAAAATTTCGGCCTTACATAGATGCAGCTCCAGTATCACGATAAAACTTCGTCTTCTTTTAAATATATATCTTCGTAGGCTGCGAAAAGAAAATTGAAGTCTTGGATCAAATAGTTTTTTATTGACAGCATTTTAAACAAGACGTGTCCGAAAAAATGTCGCAAATAACGCAAATTGAGTATAGAGCAGTCATAAAGTTTTTGACAAAAGAAGAGTTAGCACCTAAAATTATTAAAGAAAGTTCTCCTTCGTATTCTGTAGTGAAAGAATGGACAAAACGTTTTCCAATGGGGCAGGAGAGTCTCTTGAAGATGATTCAAGAACTGGTCGACCAGTAGACGTCATAACGGAAGATATTGTTGCCATTGTGGAAGAGGTGGTATTGACTGATCGACGTTTAAAGGTCAAGAAAATCTCGGAAATTACTAAGCTTTCTGATAACAAGTGTTCTTCGAATCCTGCATGATCATTTAGGTATGCATGAGTGCAAGATGGGTTCCTAAAAACCTTTCGGCTACTCAAAAACAACGCCGTGTCGAGTGTGCGCGGCCTTTTTTGCAACTCTGTGGGTCGGAACCGAAGCGTGTGATAGAAACTATTGTTATGGGAGATGAAACTATGGTTCTCTATTATGACCCTCTATCGAAAAAAGAATCAATGGAGTAGCGTCGTAAGGGTAAAGCACATCCAAGAAAATTCAGAGTCTGCCAGTCAACAAAAAAGGTGGTGGCCGCGATCTTTTGGGATTGTGAAGGAATTCTTTTGATAGATTTTAAAGAAACTAATACCACTATCAATGGTAAATATTACGCAACATTATTACATAAATTGCGAGACTGCGTACGAGGAAAACTGTCCATACTGCTGGTGTTGGACAAGCTGCCATTTTAGAGTATGGGTTCCAACATCTTTCCTATACTCCAGATATGGCCCCCAGCGACTATTGTTTGGATATTTTTAAAAGGACTTGCGTGGACGGCGGTTTAACGACGAAGTTGAGTTAAAAGAGGCTGTTTTAGCTCACTTTGCAGACAGGAAAAAAATGTTTTTTGAAGGGATTGAGTTGTTAATAAAGAGATGTAATAAGTGTATTGAAAATTAATAAAAAATTGTTACTCTACTTTGTTTCTTTCTGTAGTCTTTATGAAATAAATACTACTTGTTTTTAATACATTTAATAGTTCGATCTAAACATTACATGCACGGCGAAGAGAAGAGTTGTACCGTTACATTCAAAGCTTTTTAGTAACTGAATGACCCAAGCCTAACTTTGTCCTTTCGTGGGACTCTAAAAGTAATATAAGACTAATAGTGTTTACAATATGGGAACACGGGGTTGAGTCCCCGATAAAGGACGCCTCGACCTATTTGTGGGAATCTTCTTTTTCCAATATGAAGTTTATTAAGAATAAATATCGCAATCGACTTACAGATGAACATTTGGATAATTGTATTGGAACGGCTGTACCAAATTTTACTGCAACCATTAAAAAAATTATCGATGAGTCTGACTGTCGGCCTTCTCATTGAACGTGCTTTTTTATTTCTCAATGTTTATGTTCATGATAGTACGTTACTTTTTGTTGTTATTATTAACTATTTTTAAATCTTACGTGACATGCCGTTGTGACTGGATAAAAATTTGTGTTTATTTTTAAAACACCTGTTCGGTTATCTTTTGAACGGATTATCATTGAACATACAATGCAACAAGATTATTGTTATTAATTAAGGTAATAATCTTGTTGCATTGTATGTTAATGACCCCCCTTGGATAATCCTTTCAAAATCAATTTGTCACTTTCATATATCTATGAACAGACCATAGGAATGTAGCTATGAACAAGTACGTACTAGTAATATTAGTTATTTTGTTATTAGTTTATTATTAGTACCTATGTATTATGTGTTACCAATTCAAGTTAAATAGTAAAATAAATACTATAATGATAAATTAACTGTGGATTATTTCATTTACGTTGCGTTACGTGGCTTCCGTGTGGGTAGCTCACTGTTTATTGCAAAATTAACAAAGTAGCTCAACACATTGAAGAGGTTGGCGACCACTGGTCTAACGAAACAAATCCCGAGAAAACTATATCATCAACAACGCCAATAAACAGATCACTTGAAGATGAAAAGGTCGAACGAAACAAATCCCAAGAAGACTATACCAACAAACAGGCCAATTAAAAGATACCCGATTTAAAATCTTGTGCGGGACGTGACAGGAACCCCTATCGCCTTTGACATCAGTTCACGAAACGAAGACTTTTATGAAGACTATCATAGAGGTAACTTAGAAGAGATCGCCAATGTTGCAGCTTCGACTTGACAGCCACCAATTTTGTCAACAGGACAGAAAGAAAAAAAGTGCTGAACAGCAGTTGAAGTTGAAGAGGATCAACGGTAATCTGGAGAAGAAAAATCATCAAGAAGACGGATTAAGAGATCACAACATATGACGCTCGGAACACTGGAAAACGATTTTACAAGTAGATAACCCAGAAATCAAATCATCAAATCATAAGTGGCACCTCACTCACATCAACGGATTGGGCAGTATCACCTTTGGCATCTCTTAACAGAAGAGAGACTTATAAATAGTTCAGATGGAGAGACGACCGACAAGTGAAATTATCTCAGTGAGACTAATGAAAATCACCACAGTTGGAGCCAGGTAAAGTTTACATTTGGCAGCCGTTTGGAGAAGGAAGCCCACTCGGCAATAATTTTAAATGACGATAACCGAACAGTAGAAAAGAAGTTTATTGTAAGAAAACTATTGAACCACAGTTTCAAAGGAAGAGGGCCAATGGGACAAATTTGGAGAACAAAAGATAGACTAACCACCAACAATTTACAAGAAAACTCAACAATTTCTCATGAGAATACCGACAAGGAAACGAAAGAAGACTACTAAACAACAGTTTAGACTCGAGATTGAGAAGCTTATCCACGTAATCAGTTAAAAGACACATGTTTTGAAACTTGCACCTTTGGTGCCAGTTTACGGAATGAAGACAACTATTCTGCAATAATTAGAAGTGAAAATTATCAACGAAGTAAATAAGATCACCAAGGAGAGGAAAACCGAACACTGAATGTCAATCAAACAAAACGGAACATCACCAATGAGATGAGTCTTTTGGTAGTCGAATACAGAATGGCATCGATTTTGGTATGAGTTCATGAAATAGGTTACAAGCAAACGATGACAATTACAAAATTGCGCTTGGAGGTGTTCTCCTTTGGCAATTATTTGAATGATGACATCAACCAATACTTGCGGATGTGGCTTACCCAACTAAGTGATTTGCAACTTGGAAAGGATTGTCCTTAGTAGTTTTGCTCCAAGACACAAGAACTTCCAACATTTTACGAGGACTAGCGATGCAAATGTAATATTGGCTGTTCTGAGATAATACAACCACAGTAAAATACCAAGAGAGAAAATATGAAAGGAACTAATTACTGGTCCAGCGGTGTGGCGCGAAGTAAAAGATACTAGTAAAATATGGAAATTCTTTAAAAAAAAACAGGTTTTGGATTTCAAAAAAAATGCCACGTCCATCGGATTTTTTCCTTGAATAATTTTGCAGCAAATAAAAAAAAACAGACATGGTCAAAAAGTTAAAGTCGATATCAAGTTCCTTTTTCTAAGTGGAACACCATTTTTTCTCATTTTGCTATTTCGAATTTTGGGTCAAATTTCACGCATAATTCATATAGCATGCCCTCTTATTTTTTATAACAAAAAAAAAACAAATTTAATTTTGAAATGAAGTTCTGAAATTGTCACAATTAGATTTCTGACAGAGAATTCAAATTTTAATTTTTATTAAATATGGAGACAAAACGAGAACTCAGGAAAAAGTTTATAATTTGTTTCAAGCAAAATATCTAAAAGATCCACAGTGAAAAAAATTGAGTGCAAATTTATAAAAACAGGCATATCAAAGAAATTATTTTATTAGGTGTTCAAAATGAGCGAAAATAATGTCTGGAAGGAGATAGCAAAAAAAATGGAGCCAAGTTTGTTCGTTAATGTTAAAATATTAAGGGTATTATTTTGCACTGTAATGATACGAAATTTAATAAGTTGTTGGCAATAGCAAATTTTACAAATAGCATGTTGATGTAAAAGATCGTTTAGGTATAGCTACATCGTCCTTAAAATAAAGACTAAAGAAAGAATAGTTTTAAAAAACGCTATAAAATATCATTTATTTTTCCGCATGAGAACAATAGTATCATGTTTAGCTTCTTAAAACCATTCTGTCTTGCCAATCCAACTGGCCTTTAGTCATACAGTCTTTAAATGTCTCTCTAACCAAACTAACCAACTTTTAGTATCAAAATCATGTTGCTCTTTTCAGAATTTGTAGCAACAGTATTTTCATTTCCATCCCCATCCCATCAAAGTCATTTCGAGTCAAATTATGTAGCCATTTAACTGCTATATTGGGATAAAAAATACCACAAAAATTTGACACAATAACCCAAAAACATTTCGTGCCCTACATAATCTATAACTAAACGCTGCCTTGCAAAATCTTCTTTGGCTTGATTTCTGGTATATGGTTTCAATATACTATTGTTTTCCATTTTATAGTATTACTAAATATTCCGCTCTCCTCCTTTGCCGTGAGATCCAACAACTACGGACACAAACTTGTATTTGGCATCAACAATACTGTTGAAAAATAGTCTTTATAGTTAAAGAGTCAGACTTTTTAGGGCATAATATACGGATGTGTTTGCCATCTATTTCCCCCACAGAGTTTGGGAAATTCCATATGCCCCAAAACTCTCTTGATATTTGCCTAATGGTTTATTTGACGGGTGCAGGCAATAAAACAGAACCCAGTCTTTTGCAAATTGCTACCATAACATCTTTGTTTTTTAGAACCATAACTAATATATCTGAGAATTCAGAGGAAATGACTATGCTACTAGTCAGAATGATAAAAGTCAGAATATCGGGGATGTTCAAGGAGTTGAAAATGATAATTCAGTTCTATCGGCTGCCAGTTTTGCAAGTACTCCTATGACGATGACGTTAACATTTTACAAAAGAATAGCGATGACAGTAAAAAAATCGATCTATCCCATCTTATCCCTAAAGCCAAACTCAGCCGTCTAGAAGTTGTTAATGAATTGGAAACAAGAAGCCGCACAAGAAAAAAATATAAAAATAAAAATCAGGGACGTCAGTCTCAGTGCTGCTGTCATAATCAGAGATATAATTTTTCAGTAGAACAGAACTCTGTTATTGAAAATTTAAACTTTACCAACAGAAGAGGTCGAAGAAAGTCAAGAATAAGATAATATATAAAAACAGTTGCTATACATTTTTTGTGTATCTTTTTACTTTCACTTATGTGCAGCAAAGTTACTTTTCTATTGAATTTCTATTCTTAGTTATTTACTTTTCTCTGAGAAACGTTTATCTTTAGGCCCTCAAATAAACTTACTACTTACATAAATAAAAAAAGCTCTTCCTTTAGTTACATTCTCAATTTTCCTTTGGGAGATATTGGCCTCTTAACCCAGGGAGTAGATGATTTTTTAACAGCTGCTGTTCTTGCATTTAACACAAAATCAAATTGATTTCTATTTAAGCGAAAATAGGCGTGGAATTTGATTTCATTATCTACGAGATATCGTGAAATTAAATTGCTGAAACTGGGGTTTTCTCTGAATTAGCACCAGAATGATTGCTTCATCATCTTATAATGGAATGGCCAACACAAACTTCATGATGCTTTGCATCTAGAGGCACAAGCAAAACGACTCAAACGCACCTTCTCTCCATAAGACTTATAGGATATTATATATGAAATAGATGCAACATTTTTCGAAGAATTCAAAAATGTCTTAATATACACGGTGTTCTATTTAATATAAAATTATTACTTTACACTAAAATACAAAACTATTGTGTTACCATCAATGAACACGTCGCTGGTAAGCAAGCGCGCGTACCTAATCTATTTGTTAGTTAAGCTTTACCGAAAAAAAAATTGGGATTTTAATTTTTTTAAATCTTATTTAACAGCGCTGAAAAATACTTTAAAAAATCAAACTAAACAGTGGGTTTTCAATTCTGCCTATATTAATGAAATTAATAACTTGGTTTTTTTTACAGTAATAATTTCATGGTCTAACCACTTTTTTTCTTAGTAACCAAAACTAAGCCAAAATATTGGTAGTGTTTTTATATAAAATCAAATTCAAATTATCCTCTAAGTTTAATAATTTGAGACACACACACATTATTTTATCAAAAACAAAAATTGATAAAAATTGACTTTAAACAAATTTGGTATTACCTTTTCTGTATTTACACAAAGCAAACTGATAATAACTAACTTATAACAAGAAGGTACAAACAATAATCAACTAAATATTATTTGTCCATGTATTTGATAAAAACTATGAGACTTAAAAAACGTGTAGTTAATGTCTTGTGCGTTGATATATACAACAGGCGTCGTGATTGTCATACCCTAATCTCCTGGCATGTTTTAGAATCTCATTAGCTGTTGATGCTAATGGCATAGGCTGACGAAGCCTATTTGACATTTCTAGACCAAAAGTCACCTCCCTCTGGAGATTTTGAAGGGGTTCTTCGACTTTTGAGAACTCTTTGTTGACAATCATTTTTGCTTTACCTGTAAAAGTATCAAATTTTATAATTATATGTTTTTTTTCATAAAGTTACTTACTATCTAAATATGGACTGGCTAGATTGGTCATGCTAAATATAGGTAGAAAAGCTGCAGGTTTTATTCCACACCGATCGGCCATTGCAAAGCCTTCGCTCAGTGCAGCGAGACATATCCCACGCATAACTTGAATTATAAAGTTAAATTTTGCTGCGTAACCAACATCTCCCACGAAAAATGATGCCTAAAATATTAAAACCTGTTACCCAGTTGAATGATAATATGATAAAAACTTACCTTTCCCATTGCTTTGAAGCACGACTGGCAATCCATATAAAGTTTTCTGTTTCCAGCAGTAATAACAATAAGTGCAGCTTTTTCAGCTTCATATTTACCACCCTGAACCTTCAAATTTTATTATTTGTTAAATATTATTAATTTAAAATCATTTGGATAAAAACTTGAGTCGCATTAAGTCAAACTACTAAAAATTACTCAATCTTTTATAAAATTATTTTGGTTGAGTTGTAAAATGAGGTTAATATTGAACCGGCACATCCTGCATCATCCGCAAACATTAAAAATAATGTTTGCGTCAAACATTTCATGTCAATTACGATAAATATGATACAAAATCTTAGATTGTTAATAGGTCGAAGGACCGACATGATTTACGGGTCCCAAATTAACTTCTATAGCTGCTACAACGCAACCAAAACAATTTTATAGAACATTCATTCCAAATATCACTTTAAAATTCAAGATTCGCGAGCTGGGAAACATCACAAAAGAATAAAAAATTGTAAAAAATGCACTGTGCAATGTGACATTGACACTAGCCTATAATTGAAGGTACAGAGATGATTTTTATACATCAATAAAAAATAGGATCATGAACTTGAAGATTTAGCGAGTTTGTGAATAACAAAAACCTTTTGTGGTGGTGAAGGACACTGGTTAGTCACTTTCTTTGATAATTCATAATTCCAATATCTAACTAATTGCGTTTGAATTTGTTGCTCAGTAATGTTTGTACCCAAAATTATTCCAGTCATGTTGGCAGCCAAAGTAATAAGACCCTCAATCAGTTTTTTTCATATTTGAACATATTTACTGGTACTAAAATCTTCTAATACTACTCGGGGTATCTGTTACTTACAACTTGATACGAAAAGAAAATGGCGTCTGTGCTAGAGAAAAGTACATTTGGTTTCTGTGACTGTTCAAATTAAATGGTTACGTGATAGTTTGTAATTGAATATTTGCCAATTGTCTTGCCAGTTGAAAAATGATAAATAAATAAACTTTTTACTTATTACCAGTGCCTCCAAATATCTGCCATTTTTATTTCTTATTAACTCGGATATGTCCTCTGAAGTTTCCGGATCAATTGCAGTCATTTCAACATAGTCTTTTCCATTAAGTAGTTCATCATTTTTATCAGCTATACCAAATTCCTGTATTATATGTTTGGATGAATCTGGGTCTGATAAACAACTGAAAATGATATCGGAATTGCGTACCTAAAAACCAAAGATTAGTTTAAGAAACCCAAATAAGCAGTTTACCTAAATTATGTAAAATTAACCTATCGACAATTGTAAATTTGTCAACTATTTAAACAAAGTTTTTTTTTTGTAAACTAGTTATTTCAGAAAATATATTCTTCAATTTAATAAAGGCAATAATATTGCTTTAAATGGAAAATTTACTTACCACTTGCCTTGGTGTGTTACATATACTAACTGAACCAATATCTATGTAGACTTTTAAGTCATCAGTGTTCCAGGAACTGTTATTCCAAACATTAACTTTGTGGCCTGAGGTGATCAAATTTTTAACAACACCTCTGCCTATTAACCCCACCCCAAGAAAGCCGAAAATTTTCTCTGATGTTAAAATACTTTGAGTCTCTGGTGAATTTGGGGTAGGTGAAGATGACACAGAGTGGGGTCTAGAATGCCCGACTGTTGAATTATCATCGTTATTGTCAGTGTCCACTGATAAAGAATTTCTGAAAATGGTACATTATATTATTATTAAATTACACATCCAATATCCAATAATTATTTACACTATGTAATGACAAGTGCACATAAATATATTAGTTACTTACCTGACCTTCTTCTTTGGAGAGATGCTATTCTTCTCAGATAAAGGCCTCTTAACCCCAGTCCCAGACTTTCTAGGCTTCTTCTTTTCCTTTACATATTTAAAGTAATTTATAACATAATCCGGATCTTTTTCTAATTCTGCAATATTATGCTCTAATTCTTCAATGCCTCTTTTAAATTCATGAGACTTATAACCCTTTTTAAATTGGTCTTTAAAAGGCTTAAAGTGACGCAAATTTTTCTCCTCAATCCAAGAATAATTGTGGGTCCCAAAAAAGTACACCCAGTGACTAATTTTTTTCGGTTTCTGTGGTGCCTCTGGATCTGGCTCCACAATAATGGCAGGCCAAAAGGGCCAGGCTGCAATTTTTTTTTTATTTATTTTTTAGTTTTAACCTTATAAATTAATAGAATATATAATTTCAAAAACTTTTTCAAGATTACTAAAACTAATACTCACGGTTAAGTTTAGCCCAAACAAAATCCTTAACTCTAAATTGTTCTTCTGATTCCATTTTATTTTATTTTTTACAATAATCAACTCTAGAAAAGTAACACAAAGGGGCCGGGAAATATTCACTTGGACCCTAAATATTTCTGTTTTATTTGATCACGTTCTTCAACTGGAGGTAAATATGGTTTTAATCCCTTCCTTCTTCTATCTGCAGATACTTTACTCTATAAAAATAAAAAATATAAATATAAATAATTAAAAATATAGTTAAAATTTTAAAATAATAACTCTGTGAAAATAATGTTTTCCAACTAGTGGAACATATTACAGTAAAATGATTATGTTTTGAAACATTCTATTCCAACTAATTTTGCTCCCAACAAAGACTTAAATGAAAAGATTATATTTAACTCCAGAAATATTTGGTCATTTGGCTTGCAAAGCTAACCTTTCATAAAGCCCTGCAACTGTATGTTTATTATAAATACTTAGTTCAATTATTTTTATCCTGTAATCTGCAAATTCATTTCAGATTGTTTTTATAAAACTTAACAAAATTACCAACCCAGACCCAAGCGTTCTTAGATTTGTTTACCGTTTATCGTTTATCTAATGACTTACCCAGAATGCCTTGCATATTTTGTAATTATCAATTTCTAATTGACACAGAGATTTGTCGAAATTATTATCATTAAAACATTTATACGATAACATTTGTTCGTTCAAACACGGATTATTCTTCTCTGCATCTTTATTTTTCATTTCCCAAAAAAAAACTGAATTATAAAACTCTGGAATAAGAAACTAATAACTTATGAAAGTAAAACATTTAATTGCAGTTTCCTTCTTTATTAACTAACGCACAGAATATAACTGGTAAGTTTAAATTTGGGTTATCTTTTAATTCAATGATCTCGTTGTCCGATCTCTATCTCCTGCTCATAAATGAGTTTGCCATTAAACATAGTTCCAAGTAAAAAGAGAAAAAATATCCCAGCGCCGTTTGTTGCGGCAATTAGCTCTAGAATTATTAGAGTGAGCAAAACTTGAACACAATTGAAATTAAAGAGCAGTTCTTTCTGTGGGGCTGCAGAAAAACTAACAAAATGCTAGTGCCAGTGGTTACGACTCAAGCACCAGCTCCAACTTGAATTCTTGTGGAAGTGGAAAACAGTTGTGTGAAAGTTGATTTGCACCTCGACGTCAACAATTTGGCAGAGGCAGATGCTTAAATATATTTCATTAGTGGAATTCGCCTCCTTAAAAAATAAACGGAGCGAGAACTCCAATCCACCTTAAGAATTCTGTGGAATAATGACCACCAAAATCTGCTCATAAATATTTATTTTATGTGGACCTTGTAGAGAAACAACTGCTCTTTAATTCTCGAGAACAGATGTTATATAAAAATTTTATGTAGCATTTAATAAAGAATTTTTTTTAAAACCTCTCGGTTCACACGGTTTTCAACAAATCTACTTAATAATACACTCGTCACAGCAGGTGTACAGTTACGTCACGTATAGTGACATATCAAAAATGATCCGTATGTCTTAGCTATATTCTTACCATTTTTAGATATAGATTTCAAACAAAAATGCTGCGTCAATTCACATCCAGTAATGAACTAGATAAAGATGTCATGCAATAAGCTATGACGTAACTGCACAATTGCTTTGGATGGACTTTACAATATATAGATATACCATATACCTACTTTTTGTATTAACTATATTTTTTTGTTTAGTTTAAGCTTTTAAAGATAAAATTTTGTTTTATTTTAATACTTATTCGTTTTGTTTTATAAAATATGATTAGATTTATTAAAAAGCTACAAAAAATTCTAATTTCATGATCATAAAATTTTCATCATTTTATGATGACAATTTAAAAACCAAACACTTTTGGCAATTACAGACTTTTTTCATATTGTATATCAGAACAAAAAGGAAGAGACGTTCGTGTATATATTTATTAAGAAATTTTAACAATTAAATATCGCATCGATTTATATCAATAGATGCACAAAAGGTAGTGATATAAAAATTCTTTGACATAGAAAACTGGAAATACAGTAACGTCATTTGACAAATCACCATAATTATGAATGAAAAAAATAATCCCAATTCAGGTTAAACATTTTGAATGGTTGGTAAAACCGAAAATATTCCCAATTTTCCAGTGTTGATTTTTGTTAACAATTATCTTTTCAATTTAATAACTACAAAGGCTTTCAGATGCGTACAATGTTTTCAAGCTATTTTGCTACAGATGCAAAAATTCAACGGAAAGGAAAAGTAAACATTTTGAGAACTATTTCAAATGTCTCTGCTATACAAAATAGCAAAAATATTAATTTTAATGCATTTCTCAAATGTTTTTTCAACAGCAAATAAATAGATTTGTTTGCAGCAAATTATTCTGGATATAACGTAATAAATATTTTTTTGCGAAATATACTTCACACCAATCAAAAAGTGAAGAGAAAAATTTTGGCCGATATATATTACCTTGTCCGACAAATTTCTTCAGCAAATGTTCCCAAATTTAATATTTTAGCTGATGTTACCAAACAAACAAACATTTTACAACCAAGTGTCTTTAAATCGAAGTCTGAACAAGATAAAATATATCAACCACATATATAATAGGTTGGTTCATTACCTTCCCCTTTCTAATACAAATCACAACATTTTGTGGGAATATATTTTAAATAGAAATATTTAGACATTACTTTGTAGATAAGGGATTGCTAAAGTCTCTATAAATTTTAGATAAACCTGGTTATTTTTACTTTTTTATAATGATAATTGTATCACTGATTATAAGAAATACATTACCAATTCCGCTAATAACTGCAAATTAATAAGATGTAGCAAATCCTGTATTTCTTACGATCAATTCAACAGCTGTGAAGTGAGCCTAAATGCTTAATATCCATTAATACAGTAATCTTACGTGTTATGTTTATTCTATTTACCAACCCATTCTGGATGAGCTAAAAATAAATAAAGTAGATTTTTTACTCCAGTACATGATCAACTGTGTTCACAGACAACACATGTACAAAACTTCCCACAAAATTATTCTGAAGGAGTCTCAATAATATTTGGAGGGCCATCACCCTGTCCATGGTGACCAGATACTTCTTGGCAGTCTTCTTTTTTCCCTCCAGGTGTTAGTCCACCATTTCCAATCATATTATTAACAGGAACATCTCCATTGTCAGTTTTCACAGTCAGAGAGAGGCCCTTAGTCTTTTTGTCTTTTGAAGATTTGTTGGGATTTCGTTTTTTGTTTGTTTGAACTCGTCTGTTCACCACTGGATAAGATGGCGGACCCTGTTTTTGTTGCCCTCTACCTCTGCTATAGTTCCCAAAGGCTTTTCCTCTTCCTCTATGCGCTAATGACATACCAGCGGGCAATAGCTGATTTGGTCTCATACTTGAAAATCCATAATTGGCACCCCAAGATCCCACAACTACACCAGCAACTTGTAATTGCCCGCCTCGAGAAGGAATTGGTCTACCTCTCAAGCCAGGAGATGTTCGACTAGATGCCAAGGATAGAGTTGGCAAACAATGTGGAGGGGGAATACCTTGTCTAAGCATTGGGCCTCCCGGAAAATGCGGCAGTGGAATTTTAGCAAATTTAACATCGAGCCCTTCGAGAATAGCTTTTCGCATCCGTTCCACTTTAACAACTCTCTCAATATAATTATCACAAATTTCAAGAATATTTTTTGCATGAGAAGATCGTGCAAAAGTGTAGTGAAACAATTTTCCATCAAAATACAACCACGGACAACACATCAACCAAGGCAAAGGTGCTCCACATGCATCATTTGCTAGAATAGCCATTTCTACTCCCTCCATGAAAAGAGCCGCTAACTGTACCCCACGACTTGATACAACATTAAGTGTTAATTCTTGAAGATGGTGCACATTCATTAAATTTGGATTAAAGGCGTGGCATAAAAAAGCATCCAATTCATTTCTCCTCATGATGGGCCTATCTTGCGACATTATATACCTTAAGACACAGGCCATTATGAGCATATGCTGTGGTACATAGGCGGTGTTCAAAATAAGAGGTGTGTCCGAATTCAGGCAAGACAGAAAAGCGCGCATACGTCTACGTTTATCATCAACTGATGGTCCAAACCATAACCTTTGTAGTGTTGGTACTGCCCATGGCAAAGGCTCAGCTCTAATTTCTTCAGGAAACTGATAAGGGTTTGACCGACTATATATCCATTCTTTAACTACAATATCTGGTTGTGGCATATGTTCCGGTAATTCTCCATTCTCTTTCTTTTTGGTATGTACATATCTTAAGTGATGCAAGTTAAACAAAACTGCATACACTCTTCGTCTAAGTGGTTGATATATATCATGAATTGGAGGAAATTCCCTATTACCCTCATCTTCCATAAGGCACGGTAATCTAACTTCTTGTGCACTTAAGACATGCAAAATCATTGGAGCCATTAAACCTTTCTGATGACGAAGAGATGCAGTTCTAAGTACATCGGGGGATACAGACGGATTTACTATATTTGAGCTTATTAATGACTGAGACTTCTTATGTGATTGCTTGGGACAAGTTGATGCACTACTGCCATCCATGCTATTACTAACCAACATGTTCAATTTGGCACTAGATGAACTTGTACAAACAGGATCATTGGAACTTAGTGAAGATCCATTTGATAAACCATTAAAACGAGTTATGTCAGATGATAAAGATGCTTTATCTAGTATGTCTGTGGCCCTATCTAGAATACTGTCTAGGTCATCAAACTCACTTGATATTATAGTGTTAGCAGTAATTAAATTATATGTTTCCAAACTCTCTAGTTGTTGCTCCTGTGTTTCTGAAGCAAAGCCTGAAGTATCCAATCCTTTTAAATCATTATCATCTTTTGAAATATTATTCTTTTGAGCTGGTGGCTTTGACCTTGGTTTTTGTGGAGCGCAATATTTTAGGAACCCACTAGCAGTACCATTTAAATAGTACTGAACAGACTGCCTCAATTTTGAAGCACGTTTATCTTCAAGGGAACCAAACACTGCAACAACTAAAGAGTCCAAATTAGTAGGAGGTGGTAGCTCGCGAACAAAATCTGCCAGAGTTTTAACTGTAGCTTCTGATGAATTTTCTGAAGATTTTGATAAGCCAATCTTCTTATATATATCTTGTAGATTGCTCTCAGGTAGCAAAAAGTTGCCGAGCAGTGCCGCCATGACACAAATCTGCTCCTGAGTTACATTTAAAGCTTTTGACAAAACACTTAACATATATTCTTTGGTTTCAATAGAACCTTTATATGTCAATTTTAATTGTTCTGATGAAAAGTAACGGGGTGGATCAAAAGCAGCATATTCAGCATCATCAGCTAAGAGACCATGAAAGCCATATTCCCGGCAATAAGCTATTACTTCCTGATGATGGTCATCCATTGTACACATCACAATGATGCCTAAATGTCTAAGTGCCATTCGTAAAGCTGATCTTAGACATATAGGAGCTGTCCACCATATTTTGGGAGGTGGGGTAGCCTTTGTGTTAATATGCTTTAAAACCATACCCACCCGCTGCCGTATATTTGCTTGTTCAGCAATCCACTCATCCATACGACATTGTTCTATTGTTCCGTTAAATACCACAGCCAATTCTATATTTCCACGATCCGTGGCACCAGTTAGTAAAGATAGAAATTGCACCATACGGTTCCATTGTCCTCCACATGCCCAGTCGGAAAAATAACCTCCATATAGCCTATCTAAACAATTTTCAGCATCTACAATGAGTTTGAGTTTATTTCCGATAGGCCTAATTCTTCGATTAGTGTTATGAGGTTGCTGCCTTTGACTGACATTTCTGGCAACTTTTAATAAATCAACAGAAACCGATCCCCCTTCCAAAGCGATGTTTTCTAAATACTTTTGTAAATCTTGGACTCCCATAATGTATATGAGTTTGCTATTCCGACTAAATTAAAAAACAGATATCTTCATTTTTGTTCCTGAAGCCCGATGAAGAGCCAAAGTCAAACTTTTAATAACGTTTTTCCTTATTAACATATAGTTTCAAAGAAGATGTAACTGATCGGAAAACACTGCATATGAACTATAATTGATTCTTAAGTAAGTAGATTGTATGAACAAATCCCGATAAAAAAATAATAGAAAACAAAAAATTCTGGTCGGCCAGTAGGTAATACAATCACAGTAGCCAACTACACGACAAAAAGACATATTCCAAAGATACAAATTTAGAATGTGATTTTTGTCGATATCAGATGTTTTTATTACAATACTTGAAAAAATCAAGTTTTGTAGTATTTGTGTTTAATTACAGGTTTTGTGGAAAAAATTCAATGCTTCCAAATAAATTCATTGTTGCAGTATTTTAAAATATTAATTTGAAGAACCACAGAACGTAAATGACTATTTAAAACCGTTTAGATGGCAGCACTGCTAATGTAAAAAGCGCAGGACCAGTTTCAGATATATTTTATACACAAAAAAAATGTATTGACTATATCCAAACACCTTTATTAATAGAACTCAAGTGTTATCAATGTATGTAATGCCGTGGGCAATACTTGGCACAATTATCATAAATCATATTCAAATCAGACAATTCTTATATTCGAATAAGGCTGATGGACCAATGCCCAACAGACAATTTGTTTTAAAAATATATGTTTTAAAATGATTATTATAAAGCAAATCAATAAACAAAAATGTTTAAAACAAACTGTATTTGAATGTAACCTAAATTAGTCCTAAATGTTCGAGAACTGTACAGAAATTAATTTTAGAGAATACAAAAAATAATACAATTAATATTATATATTGGAACTTATACAGCACTTCAAACGTTCAAACAGAAATCAATTTTAGAGAATACAAATATTAATTTAATTAATTAATTAATACTTGAACGTCACCATTTCCGTCACTATTTTTTTTGGGATTATCGATTTATCTTATACACCCGTAAGCAAATTCCATGAAATGGTTTATTAAACAAAATAAATATTAAGTAGGTGGTATTGTTCTGCAAGCGAATAAAGCCAGGTGATTTGCAATACAGCACTTGCTTGCAGACCTTGGTAGTTTCATTGTGCCTTCGCCTATACATAATGCTTCATTCCTTCATCGCTAGGCCAGTGCTTTCGTGTATAAGTTTGGCCGCCCAAATTTTATTATAATAAAATGCCAGTGGAAATTAGTATATTATGCAACAAGTGCGGTAAACGGCATTTGACTCACGAGTTTATTTGGGTACATTTTTGCAAATCAATACGAATACATTCTCCGAAAACATCCGATTGCTCACAAACCCATGCGGTAAAATCCCGGAAACGTCCGAAGTGGCTCAGATCCGTGGGAAACGAAATTGACGTGGTAAAATGACGCTTCCCGCACTCTAGATCGATGTGTAATTAGGCATTTTACAGACGGGAATAGAAAAATATTTAATTTAAACGTCCCAACATTAAACAGTAGTGCTTATTTGTATTTTATTTTTTAAATTAAAAAAACAAAATTTCACCACAATAATCACATTAAAAAAAATTGATTTGTGTCTATCACCAAAAAATAACTATTTAAAATTACGTTAATTCTGAACAAAAATATATATGTAGAAATTACTTTGTGTCGACTGCGCTTTACTCGATACAAATTTACCACTTCTCTGGCTTCGAGGAAAAGTGGAGGATAAATTGCTTTGCTGCAAAGCAAACATTGAAGAAAAGACCAAACTATAATCCATAGACCACATAATATTATGACATATAATGTAGAAACTGGTTGACATTAGTGTCGTTTGATGTAAAATACTGTTTTGTATATTTGTTATCTGAAGTGATAGAGGTGTATTGCCTATAAATTTGGGAAATAGTGTACATCTTATGGGGATGTATATGGATTTGTGATATGTTTTTCCATTATGTGTATTTTAATACGGCTTCCGGATGTCTTATTATCCACGCTGGTAACCAAGCCAGATGGGATCGGATATCCCGTATGAGATAATTGCAGGAGCCGTTAGAAGCCGTTAGAAGAATCGGTCGTGATTTTATGACAGTTTATTTCGAATTTGTTCCACTGTTTTAATATGTTAATTCATTGCACATCCGTTTCCCTTGGACGATGATGGATTCATCCAGTCCCTTTTATTTAGGGCACCCTTCTTGGTTATTCATCGAAAAAATGACCGAATGATCCCAGCAGTTTTGGCTAATAGAAGTAAAAGAAGAAGAATTTTTATTATAGGCGTTAGATGAGAGCATTGCACGCGGTTTAACTTGGTTCGCTCCCGACAGAATCCCTTGTATTCGTCCCCAAAAGTTTGATATCGGTCTCCACTGAGTGGATTTAGTGTTTTTACTGTTTAGTCAAGGTTTTAAAGTGATAATTGTCGCCGACCCCATCATTTTTCCCCGTTCACGCCGGTATGGAGGCCGGATCCATCACCCTCCAAGGGAAACGGATGGTCCGCGGTGGATGTCGGTTTTTTTGGTATCGGTCAAAATTGTTTTTTGCTAGTTGAGCAAATATTGGTTATATTTCCTATTTGTACGTGTTGGTCTATGACCAAAGGCGAAGATTCTCGACGAAAGTCGGCAATGGGCAATTGATCCTGGCAGTCGAGCCCAACAGTATTGTGAAACGCATTATTGTACTTGTATAGGCGTTAGATCCATGCTTTAACTTGTTTGAACGTCGTTCCTTGGGTTTAATGAATATGGAATAATAATTAAATATTTTCCTATTTGTCTTAATAAATATTTTAATGTAGTTAGAACTTTTACGTTTCGTTTGCAACATGACTTCGGCAGACGTGTATAATGATATGATAATGTAATTATTCCTAGTATTTTTTACAAAAATTAGATTATTATACCTTGTCAGTTCTTTGTAGCTATATTACTCCAGAAAAGTTTTACATAGAACCGAAAGGTAGCGATGAACTGTTGTTAATAGACAGAGCCTCTGAAGTGCCAACCGTGCAACGAAATTCTGGTCAAATTCCCGCCGCTAACAGCCGGAAAGATTTTTGTGGCTTGCTAGGTTCCATAAGTTTACTTTCAGGGAGATACCTGATTATTGCAACCCAAAGGGATTTACTGGGTTATATTGCTGGTCATTCAATATGGAAACTAGTGAAAGTAGAGTTGTTGCCTTACTCTCGAAGCTTGTTGCATTTAAGTGCAGAGAAAATGTCCGATAATAATATTTATTTGAGTATGGTAGAAAATGTTTTTAGCACACCTAGTTTTTATTTTAGTTACAGTTACGATTTAACACATTCTATTCAAAGATTACATGATATTAGTCCAGAATTTTGGCAGCTTTCTTTGTTAGAGAGAGCAGATAATAGGTTTGTGTGGAATGGATATTTACTGGAACAGTTTCGTGCCTCATTGTTTAAAAAATTTTCTCTTCCGATAATACATGGTTTTGTTTCTATTAATAATTGTGTGATAAATGGGCAAAGTTTCACGTGGGCTATTGTTTCAAGACGAAGTATTCATAGAGCTGGAACTAGGTGGTTTAAAAGAGGGGTAGATCTGGATGGTAATGTTGCAAATTTTGTGGAAACTGAACAAATTGTAGAAACTATAGATGGAGACCGGGCTAGTTTTGTTCAGGTAATTTGTTAAAATTATCTAAATTCTGTGTGTGAATTCATTCAATTAAAATTGATTTTTTAGATTAGAGGTTCTATACCGTTGTTTTGGTACCAGAAGCCAGACTTGCGTTACAAACCCCCTATAACACTAGATCCCACTGTTGATCCCCAAGATCAACAAAGTGCATGTTTACGTCATATAGAGTCTTTAGCTGAAATTTATGGAAGGCAGGTTGTTATGGATCTCGTTGATCAAGTAGGCTCGGAAGGTATCTGACAAGATATATATTTCCTATCATGTAACTTTTTTTTCAAAAATCTGCCTTTAGAAACAGTTCTTTTAAAATATACATTTCTAAATTATAAGGGAGTTAGTTAATCAACTGCAGTAGTTACTCTATCTTAAATTATTGCAGGCAGACTTGAGAGGGCATTTAAAGATCTACTTGGTGCTTTGTCCCATCCTTCTGTAAGATATGAACCTTTTGACTTTCATGCGGAATGCCGAAAAATGCAGTGGCATAGACTCTCCATTCTTATAGACCGAGTAGCCTTAGATCAGGATGAGATGGGCTTTTTTTTAAGATTTAGGGATGGCACCTTATCCTCCTTGCAAGAAGGTAATTATTGAGAGGATTGACATGTATTTTTTCATTTTTTATTTTGGATAATTAATTATTTAATGGATTGCAGTGCTTTGTTATGTCAATTATATCAATTCTGGAATTTTCTATATTAACTTGACTTGTCTTAAGTATATGGAGATTAACATTTTGTGTTTCCACCATTAACTTCTATATTTTGAAGATAATTTCTCGGTGGTAGCAGACATTTTAATTTTCCGTTATAAAAGCTGTGAAGCTTTTTGGCAAAATATGTACTGATTTAACACAATTTCCAAGCACACTTGAGATCTGCAGTAAGTGCAGTGTCAGAAAAAAATATTCTAATATCTTGTATTAAAAATAGGATATATCAAAAATTGCAGTAGGCTTTGGACACGTATTTTATAAGTGCCTTAGCGATCACAAAAACAATTTTTAGAGCAAAAAAAAAAACGATTATTCTCAAAAACACAAATTTTATAGGGTCCCCTATATATTAAGTTCTAGGCAATTGTTTCAAATGTGTTTTAAGAAGCATGTATTTAAAAGGCAAGAATGACACCTGCCACATGGTCAATGTGCATGCGCATTAAAACAGCTCTTGCAATCCATTGCTGTTTCGTGGACAACTTTCAGTTTAACTCCACGCGGTGGAGCGGTTATACGAGAACACTGGGGTGTAATATTTTACAAATAAAAATGGGGATTTTATTCATAAAAACCTTTTTTTTTATATTTAAGTATTTTTTTATAAAGGGCAGTGGCAAATTTTAAAACTAAATTTTTGATATTAATAACTTTTGTAAAGATTTTTTTAAATTAACCCCGATTAAACATATGTCATGTGTTACAAATTCTATTTACACAAAATGTGCAATACATAATAAAAGTTGAAATTTTATGCAAACCTAAAATTAAAAATAAGTTGTCAGGTTTTGAAATTTCTATTGTTTTTCTGTGACGGGAATAACTGCAAACTGCATTCTTTTTTCTCGCTTTTAGCGTGTTGTAGATGTCTCCTTTTTTTCACACGTGTTTTTAATTTATGGCGTTAATTTAAAGAATAATTTCGTTCGCAGTATCATTTAACATTAAAATAAAATACTTCATCTCAGATAATTTATAGCAAACTCAATTTTTGTTCAAGAAAACATGATTCAGCTCTACTGTACTTGGTCCGCTCCAGGTGAAATTTTCCAGGGAAAGGACTAAATTCCCAGAAATGTGTGTCTCTTATCCGTGATTTTTGTTTTACCTATTCTAGGCGTGTTTAGAACAAATTGTATTGACTGTCTGGATCGAACAAATGTGGTTCAAAGTATGTTAGCTCATCGAAACTTGGAAATTGTACTTAAAAAGTTCGGTATACTTAGTTTTGAAGAAAAATTGGAACATCACCATTCCTTTGAAAGTCTTTTCAAATATATATGGGCTGACCATGCGGACCTTATTAGTACTCAGTACTCTGGAACAGGAGCTCTTAAGACAGATTTTACGAGAACTGGTATGCAGTAACTTTAATTATTTTTAGGTACTATACTAATATTAAAATTTGTCTTTAGGGAAGCGCACTAAACTTGGTGTTCTTCAGGACGGTATCAATTCCCTTATACGTTACTATAAGAATAATTTTAATGACGGTTACCGACAGGATTCCATAGATTTGTTCTTGGGCAATGCCAAAGTCATATCACCTTTGTCGCCACCACCTGGGTGGCGATATATTACATTCCCATCAGTTTTGCTATTTGCAATGGCCATGTTTGTTGCTTCGGTAGTATTCCCTTCGGAGTATTCAACAGAATGCCTATTATATTTGATGTTTTGGGGCGGAATGATGGTAGCAACCGCTTATTATATTTTCCAGTATGGTGTTGAGTTTGTTGACAAGCCAAAGCTTACATAACGTAAACTAAACATAATTTGGAAATAATAATTTGTCAAAATTTATTTTTGTAATTTTGTGGCTTGTAAATTTTAGTCAATTTTATTTTATCATCGATTTCTAATGGAACTTATAATTGTTGTGGATTTATCAAACTGTGCAGTTTTTACGTGTAAATAAAGTCTAATTGATTGAGAGGGAACTATGTTCTGGTTTATTAAATTGTTTTTATATTTTAATGGTTTATGTGAATTGCGAAATAAGCCTGAATATTTAAATCACTGGAGAAATATGTAAATCAGGAAATGCTCGTATGACCTGCTGTACTGGTGCAAGAGTGGTGTGCTAAATGTGGAACAAGGCAGGCAAAAGTTTTCGTTAAATAAAGATAGAACTATGACGGTTGTTGTTATTCCTTGCTTAATATATTTTTTTTTTATTCCATTTCACTGTATTCCTCCTATAAGTTCGGTGATTTACTACATCAAATGTTTTTTTTTCAGTCAATGAAAACTGCCAGTACATAATTTTTTTATTTGATTTGGGTGTAAAAAGTAGTACTGTTTTTTTTAAAGCCAACATACATTTCTCGTCTGCCTCTTCAATTTCAGAAGTCTTGATATACTTTTTTTTATACTTAAAAATATTTTTCATTGTTGGGATAAAATAAAAAATACTTCTAGATCTTATATTTAAAAAACATATTGTTTGCACAATGCTCTTAAAAATACGCTTTTCCTAAGATTACTTGCTTCTCTTTGTATTTCTTCATTATTATTAGAATTTAGCTCCAACATACCAATAACCTGTACTGCAGCCTTTCGCCTCTGAAACTCGCCCCTTCTATTGTGAATGTAAATCAAAAATTCCAAAATGTTAGTATCCCAAAAACAATGGTAGTAAGCATCAACAGCGTCATTACACGTCTTTTGTTCGCTTAAAATTCTAAAAGCAAGTGTATAATCAGGTTCTTCTAGGAACTGACAAAGAACTGCAGCTTGAGTAGAACAACCCATTGCTTGGCAACATTTGATCATTCGCCGAAATACATGATCGTCATTTCGCACTGGAATATTAAAATAATCGCTGCAGATAAGAAGAGACTTCAGGTAAAATGACAGAGAAATTTTATAGTTTCCATTAGCTAAAACCAAGTATAATATGGTTATCTAAATATTAACCAAATACTACAATTTTTTTAATTTACCAAAATTGATATCGCCTAGGAGTCTTAGCCAATGTATGTTTGTGGGATAATCTTTTAACCCATGTGAAAGTACTTCTGATAGCATCTCGGATACTGCTGCTACGTTATAAGAACTAGCACTAAAATGACAATTTTTAATATAATTATAATTACTTAATAAGGTGACGGATATAAATTTTAAATGAAAGTAAATTTAATAATGAGATTTTTTACTCACTTGCTAATTACACTAGGCCATAAGTTCGCGTAATCAACTTGTAACTCCAAATTGGTTTCATCTTTTACAATATTAAACATTTTGGTGAGCAACGATATGACAACAGTCAAACACCAAGAATCTTTCAGTTTGAAAAATATGGACATTAGGTTATTTTTTATATTAGAGGAGTCAAGATAACCCGAATTGCTTCGTTTTGATTGGGATGAGTTGGGTGCAAAAACTGGCAACACTAAAATAATAAATAATAACCAAACAGATTAATTTATTATTTATAAATCTTCTGGGTTCCTTCTGCATCTGTGGAAATTTCTTTGAAAGATTAATTTATTTTATATTAAGATTTCTAAAAAATATTCTCATTATGTTATCTGCAATGAAGATCCCAGAAATTATAAAATTTCAACACTGACTTACAATTACAGTAACTATAGAACGGGGTGGCTAAAATACCAACAGCAAAATCACCTTTTAAAGAAAAGTACAAGCATTCAACAAATATTTAGAACACTGCAATAAATGTAAATATACTAATCTTCATTAATATGTTTCACACTATCAATAAGAAAGTCATTGGCGAATGTGTTTTAGCTAGTTCCAAAATTACTCCCTACATGCAATAAATAATGAAAAAAATGAAAACAGGACATAAAAGTGAGGGGAGAACCAACTGAAAAATAAACATTTCTAACATTTTTTAGAACCCTATTTTTAATTTATAGATGCTGGATTGATATTAGCCTTTAAGTATTTCATTCATAATCCTCTTAATGTATAATTAAAGGCTTTTAAAAAAAATTAATGGCCATCCCAACCACCACTTACCGATTTCCCAGAGATTTTTTGAAAATTTTTTAATTCCTTTATTTTTAATAACTTCGTGACATGCCTGAGCGATGGCGGAAGTTATTTCGAATGTGCTCCATCTCTTCTCATAATTTATAAGAAACTCCCATCTTCCTAAATTCAGCAAGCAAATAGCACATGATTCAATAATTTCAGTTCGAGGTATCACAGATTCATTGGTATGTAGACAAGTTTCACAAGCATTGGCCAAGGCATTTTTATCTTCAAAATAAAAACTCAGGTTAGTGTAAGAATATTAATAAATAAATTAACGATATTTTTTAAGAACAATGACTTATTTCAAAGATGTTATGCTTTCACGGCCAGAAACTACATTACTAAATATTTCCGGGCTTTTGAGCCGTGGTCCCGAGATTAAACTCGACGTTTCGTCTACAACTGCGGTAGACATTTTCAAGAGCGGCGATGCGGTAACGGTCGAAGTGTTCTTCCGTACTGCTCTCCGATGACTGGTTGGTTGACTGGAAGATCTGCCGTATTTAAGCGCGCTGTAGTGGGCGTGACCTCGGTGGCGGGCTTGGGTTGAGCTTGTCTGGGTAAACACGTTGTTTTGTTGATGACCTGAGTCCATGTTTTACTGATATTGAGACCTTCTTCTTTTCTATTGAAATTATTCTGAGATTTTTGAATTTCAATAGCTTCTCTGATAAGACGTGGATAAAAATGTGGTGTTTTGTCCAGTACCTGCGTGTCTTTGAACATGATACGATGGTCACCTTTGTAAAAAGCATGTTCTGCCACTGCTGATTTTTCCGTGTGTCCAAGCCGGCAGTTCCTTTTATGTTCCTTTAGCCTAGTTTCAATGCTTCTCTTTGTGGTACCTATATATACCGAGCCACAGGAACACGACCTCAGGTCAGGTCTGCCAAGGATACAAGGGACGCCTTTTCTTCACCAGGGATATACCGCATTCCGTGTTCCTGTGGCTCGGTATATATAGGTACCACAAAGAGAAGCATTGAAACTAGGCTAAAGGAACATAAAAGGAACTGCCGGCTTGGACACACGGAAAAATCAGCAGTGGCAGAACATGCTTTTTACAAAGGTGACCATCGTATCATGTTCAAAGACACGCAGGTACTGGACAAAACACCACATTTTTATCCACGTCTTATCAGAGAAGCTATTGAAATTCAAAAACATCAGAATAATTTCAATAGAAAAGAAGAAGGTCTCAATATCAGTAAAACATGGACTCAGGTCATCAACAAAACAACGTGTTTACCCAGACAAGCCAACCCAAGCCCGCCACCGAGGTCACGCCCACTACAGCGCGCTTAAATACGGCAGATCTTCCAGTCAACCAACCAGTCATCGGAGAGCAGTACGGAAGAACACTTCGACCGTTACCGCATCGCCGCTCTTGAAAATGTCTACCGCAGTTGTAGACGAAACGTCGAGTTTAATCTCGGGACCACGGCTCAAAAGCCCGGAAATATTTAGTAACGACTTATTTATTAGAATTTCATGAAATAGGTTATGCCACTCTGCTAATTTACTTTTAACCAGCAGGAGATACAAGTTTTCAGTTAAGTAACAATTGACAAAAACTTACCCACAGAAGCTCTTGGCCAATCTTCCCAAAACTGAGTAATCTGGATTAACAGTACCTCCCAATTTACCATCCTAGACAACTTAGATACATTGCATGTTGCAGTTTGCAGTTCTTTATCCAATACAATTAACAATTCCAAAGCTAGATTCCAATTTTTGTTTAGGAGGTGTTCTTTGGACTTAGCCAGTAACACATAGGCATAATCTTGCAATAAACCTAGCAATTGCACTGCTATTTGTTTTTTTATTATTATATGCACATTCAAATTTAACTTGGAATTTTGTTATTACATGCAACTTGGTAAAATAATGTAGTAAGAGTGCTGCGACAAGAAGAATATTTTTTGGTGAAACTGTCTCATTACTTGACTATTTAAAACTTCTTTATTTATGAAGATGATAACATGATTCCCTATACAATTGCTCAAAAGTGCAACACATAGCAAAGCCTAGCATATGGCATCTAAACATAACTATTCAAATCAGAATTTTGTTTTCAGTGTTAATGCTCTATTCAAGCGGCATGGCCAATGGCGTCATTGGTGTGATATCACTAATATCACATAATATTAAATTTCAGGTTAAAATTGAATTTGCTTGATAATTACCTCTGGGAAGGGACTTAATTACACTCTGCAATGGAATTGGCAACTGCCATAATGGGTTGATTTCAGAAACTGATTTACCTAAATTCATAGCCCCCATTTTAAGTAAAATATCCTTAATTTCTTTGCAGTTATAAGTTGATATTAATTTTTGCTGCAATTGCCTTAAGTCCATTTTTGGTTTACCTAAAAATTTATAATTCAAGATCTTCAGAGTTTCTTAGTTTGTAAGATGATATTTCATCTTACACAAAAGATATGGTTTTGTCTTAAACTTACGCTTTTTGGTAGATTCAAAAAAATTGAATTCACTGTGAAACATAAGGTTGGTGACATCTCTGTCATTTTCCCTTTCTGTGATAAATTGCATTTCAGATTTTTGAAAAATATTTCCTAATACTTCATTGGATTGAATTTTTGACAACAATTCTGGTACTTCCTCTTTGATTATAAGTTCAAAAAGATAATTCTTCAGTAGGTTTCTGTCAATTTCTTGATGAAATCGCCAGCTTGTCTGTATGGCCTGAAAAATTATGATTGTACTATAATCTATAATATAATATTGCTTTCTGTACAGTACCGGTTTATTATATTTATTATTATTATATTATATTATAACAATTTGTTAGTATTTACACAAAAATGTATTTATTTTGAGGTTTTAAGTATAACTTACACTTTTTCATGATTTTTATAATAATGGCCTGGTAGGCAGTTTTATTTTAGACACATTATAACTACTACCACCCTAGACTAACACCAGTTATGGAAGACCTTTCTGTACTTTCTTACTGTGTCATCTAAAGATTGGAAAAACAAGCTTCCTTTGCTACTTTTTGTGACAGGACATTTATTTCTTACCACATTCAAATTGTTTTCTGTATAGGTTTGTTTTATATTTTTTTTAATGAACAATTTTTGATGTGATTATTTACCCAAATAAGTGTTTCCATATTCTTCACATTTGTTAAGGGGTATTCACTTAAAAACAGTTTCTTTTCAAGTGCACATCTTACATGATTCAAAGCTTTAACTTTGAAAAGAAGATCCCTAGCCACCGTGAAAGCTCCACTGGATAGAGCTCCTTGAATGTCCAACTCAAGATTGATTCTGTGAATCAAAGGTATTTCGCGTTCAATATTATCTTGTTGAAGTATACCAGTTATTCCCTAAAATCTATCATTAAAAGAATTTATGTTAAGTAATATAATATTTTCTCACCATGTACTGATTTACAATTGAGTTACTTAATTGTTCCAATAAGCTCCGTTTTTGAGTATCAACAGTTGGGTCGCAAGCTCTAACAAACACTTCTAATACTGCCTTGTCAAAATTTAGAAACCCATTGTTCTTGTCCAAAGTATTAAAATATTCTAAACATTTCAGAAAATATTCTTTGGCTTGATTATAATCTTCCTGATAAAAGTAAAATGTTCCTAAATCATAACTAATCTGAGCACCAAATTCTTCTCTACAAGAATAATAGAAACAATATTTCCGAAGGTATAAGAGGATAGAAATTATTTTAAAAACTATTTAAAGAAAGGAAATGTTTTTCATATGTGTCAATAAGTGAAGGAAACTAGTTATATTTTTTAAAGTATTCCATTTTTCAGAGCTATAAAGTTTAATTAATAAAATTGGTTGTACTTGAAAGATGATTTCTTCAGATGTCACAAAATTTGATTTTTTAATTTTTAGTAAATTTTGAACTGGCGCAATTTACATAACATACTTTGTTATTGACTGTCCCTTACTCCAATCAAATTCAATATTGTCATTTTGTTCAGTGGGGGTGTTAAAACAGTCGAACGTTAACATGCATGGTATATCTTCCCACTGCAATGCATCTATCAGGAAGGTTAGAGTTTTCTGAATATTTTCATGACAGCATATAATATTTTCATCAGCTGGAGACATATCATTCATGCTGAAAGAAATAAATATTAATAAAAGATAAGACTTCACCAAAAGAAAGCCAACTTTTTCTTAAAATTCTACAGCCTATCAGGAATTATTTATGCTTTAGTCCCCGCAAAAAAATCTTTAGGTCAACTAGAGAATTCTGGTTACTTGTAATAATTTCACATTAGAGCCGATATTTATCAAGCAAATTCATGTACACCCAAGCATTTTTTTACTGTTTTACCAAAATTGATCTCCAAATGCAATACTGATCAAAATTAAAGAACACTCACCCATATCTTTGTTGCCAGTTTGATGTCACCCTATGCATTGATGTATTCAGCAGCCATCTATGAAACAATAATAATGAAAACAAAAACTGGGGAGAGGCAGTTCTAGTATCAGTTTGCTCAATATTCGGAATCTCCATAACAGTCTGTTCTTCACTGGTAAAATACATTAGGTCCTGTAGCAAATTTATCTGGGTTTTAAAAGGTAAGGTTCTTATTTGAGCTAAAACATGTAAGAAATTCCTTAACATATTCTAAAATTAATTACTATACAAACAGAGATTCCAGTTCAAATATGCAGCAACTTTTAATGACAATATTTTCATGGCTATATTTTTAGCGGGATGCTTAACTTTTAAGTCACTTGCTTCTGAGTTGATGGTTTCTGGATTTTCAGATTCCAATTTATTGCAAAGAGTTAAAGCCATTACATCGTGGAATTTTGTTATCAAACCAGTTGGGGAGGGATCTTAAATTTGAATACATATTGAAAAAATAATTATAGAATAGCAAAATATTATGGTAATTGGGTACTGTTCGTTTCCCTAAAGTACCTGAATTTGGTTTTTGCAAGTGTTTCAACAATAAATTCTTATCCAGTAAAAATTCAAAACCTAATACAGTGTCTGGAGAAATTGGGACTGTCCCCGGCCTTAATAAATCCACGTCCATTTTTATTTCAAAACTAAAGGAAAACAACTTTCAGACAAGCATTCGGAAAAAAAATGAGGTTAGTTTGTTCTTCTTCTTTACCTTTCTTGATTCAAATTAAAAAAATCATTCAACAGAAAATATATTTTTTTCTGTAGTCGTCTTCACTTAAAACAAGTTTTAAGCGATTTTTGTTTAGAAGATTATATATAGTTGTGTATTTATACTGTTATCTTTTCATTTTTAATGCAACCTGTCCATAGGAAGCAAAAGGAAATGAATCCAAAAATGTGAGTATCTTAAGTATTAGGTATAACTACAAAGCCTTAAGCTATTGTATAAAAGAGAAAGTTAATATAAAACTAAATAGATTTTAACATTACAGATGGTTTAGAAGTCAATATATCTGCTATAAATAGATGACACAAGTTTGCCATCTTGGCACTTGTACAACTAAAAATATAATGTTCGTTATTATAATACCAAATGTAATTGAATGAACTGCATTACTTCACTCACCCACTTGTTGTAACAGTGACATAATAAATGAAGTGAAGTAATTCTTTCGTATTAATAACCACTAGAGTAAATTTGTGGAAGTTTGCTTGCAATGGGTGAATGATCCGTACAACTATTTATGGAAGAAAAGCTTGAAGAAGAATTCTGTGTTCTTGTAAACTGATCCTCGACGGAAGTCGGCAATGGGCGAATGATCCTGGCAAACGTGCCTAACAATTTTTTTGTGAAACGCATTAATGAATTTTATTTTAAAGTGCAAAGGAAGAAAGAAGAGGATTCTGTAGTGTAAACGGTTAAATTAAAATATTTGGTTACAATAAAAAGATTTTGAGTTTTAGGCAAATATTAAATATTTCACTGCAAAATGAATACTAGCAGAAGAAAAGACGCAGACAATGACCAAGTGAATGAATCTGATAATTTAGACTCAGATGATGAACTTAATTTTTCCGATGAGGACGGGCTGAATGTAGATGGGATTTATATACCTGCACCTTTAAAACCTACTCTTTCTTTCGACCCAACCGGTCCACGGTTGTTGATAACAAAAATTACCAATAATTTCTTTAAAAGTTATGCCAACGAACAAATTTTAGGACCATTTCATAAGGTTAAAAGATATTTTGGCTTTATGCAAGGGTTAATCTAGCTGAATGCCACTTTTCAGTGTTTTAATGCCATAGTGGGACCTAATGGTAGCGGCAAAAGCAACGTGATAGATTCATTATTATTTGTGTTTGGTTATCGTGCTACAAAAATTCGGTGCAAGAAAATTAGTGTCTTACTACATAATTCAGAGAATTATAGAAATGTTCAGTCATGTACAGTAGCAATCCATTTTGCTCTTGTTATTGATAAGGTATGGTGGATGGCATCTGGATATTGTTTAACATTTTAATAGTTTTTATGTAGGAAGGGGACAAATATGATGTAGTTCCAGGAAGTGAATTTGTGGTGTCCAGAACAGCTAATAAAGACAATACATCATTTTACTTATTAAATGGAAAACGAGTTCAATTTAAGGAGGTGGCAATCCTGTTAAAAAAACATGGGATAGATTTAGATCACAATAGATTCTTAATCTTACAGGTAATTACTTATATTAAGAAAACTATAATAGCTGGACCAGATTAGTTATTTTAACTGGAAATAAAAGTTACATTTTATTTGTTACGAAAGGGAGAAGTTGAGCAAATATCTATGATGAAATGTAAAGCAGATAAAGAGGGAGAGTCTGGAATGTTGGAATATTTAGAAGACATAATAGGGACTTCCAGATATAAGGTAATTTATTTCATTTTCACATGCATGTTTGTACCTGTACATCTTTTGTGCTTGTAGAAGGCACTTGCTCAGGTCAATGAAAGAGTTGAAATACTAGGGGACCGAAGAACAGAAAAATTAAATAGACTAAAGTTAGTTGAAAATGAAATGGAAAAACTTCGCAGTCCAATGGAAGAAGCTGTTGGATTTTTGAAAATTGAAAATACAGTTGCCAACTGTAAAAATTTTTTGTTTCAAAAAAATATGTATGTTATTTTATGAATTTAATGGGGTTTTTTAAATGTGATTGTCTTTTTAGTTTTGAGCTAAATGAAAAGGTTGAAGCACAGCAAATGTCTATGAATGATGTCTTGGAGGAACAAAAAAATTATACAGAAAAGTTAGAAAAGCTTTCCAATTTACAAAATGAGAAACAACAAATAATGGATAATATGGCAAGGTAATGTAAATCAGAAAGTTTTTTTTAATAATAAATGACTCAATGTTCCCGAATAATTAAAATATTAACAGCATAAAAGCAATCTATACCTACATGGTTTTATGGGTATTTTTAAAGAGTAAATGTCCGGCTTCACAAGAGTATAGAGTGGCTCTCTGACTTTAGGCATGCGGTGAAAATGCTTTTCCTATCAATTCAAATTGAAATTGAAAATTAAAATTTTCATAAATGTCATTAAAATGACTAGTAATGACTTCTATTTTAAGGTGTATGCTGATGATTTTAAAATCTATAGAATTCTTAATGATCCCTTAGACTGGCAATCAGAGAGCAGATATATAGGTTTTTGGTTGGTCCATTGAGAATAAATTTAAAGTTGAAAGTTTGGAGTTTGGTTGGCGAACAATTGGCAACTATATTAAGTTTGGAAAAAGTTCAAAGGAAAGACAAGTTTTTAATTTTCCTGAAACTTAAATTCTTTCTAGAACAAAACAGAATTAAGATGTAACTAATGCAGTGTCCAATGAAAATATAGGATATCTCATAGGTGTCCCATCACTAACTCCCTTGTTTTACCTGGTATTTGATTAGTTATTATTTCATGATAGGTTCCTTCAGGTATCCCTATAGTAAATCCCAAAAATGTTTAAGATGTAACATTATTTTGAATACTATAGATATTGTGTTGTACTTGAAAAAATGAAGATTTTGAGCGTTGAAAATGATTTAATTGGCTGGAAAATGTTGTTCACCTTATAATATCAGTTTCAAAAGAATGATTCTTGTATTTCCATTTACCATACAGGTGATTGTTACAAGTCGAAAGTGATAAAAGTAATCTTTCAAAATTTAAAAAATAATCAAGATATCAGCCGTTCAGAATCAGTTACTTCAGTTAGTTAGTTACTAATATTACGTGGATAATTGGGGCACCTACTTCCAACTTTAAAATTGAAAAACGAGACTTAATACTGTTTGCCTCTTTGGTCCAGAATTTACAGAATATAAGTAAAATTATCTTTTTTCTTAAAATGCACTTCATATATTAGGAATGATGCGAATTTTAGTGTCATCAAAATCATACAATTTCAAGCGATAAATTGTAGAAAATATTCACTCATAAACCTAAAATTCTAACCATTTCTTCTGGTTATATAAGCTTAACGTGTGGTAGACAGAAATTTTAAAAAAGCATAATCAAATAAATGCGACATATTAATTAAATAATTAATTAATTAGTTAAAGTGATTTCTATTGAATTTTTTCATTAAGGGTTTGTGATACTTTAAAGAAGAAAAAGGATGCGTTCTCTGTGGAATTTAATCAAGTAGAAAAAAGGGATGTTCAATTGCAGGAAGATGGGACTAATAAAAGCAAAAAACGCAAACAAACAAAGGAGCTTATAATTCAAGAGAAAAACAAGCTACTTCAATTGGAAGCTGTACCCGAACAAAATGGAAAAGTATTGTTTGTTTGTTTCTATTATTTGTCTTTCCAATGTAATTACGATTTTAGAAAATTAAAGAAGTGGAAAAAAATATGATGCAAGCCATTGAAAATATGAAAGAATTGGAAGAAGAAAAGGATGATCTGTTGAAACAATTCCAGATTGAAACAAAGTGTCTTCAAGAGCAGAAGGAAGAAATGCAAAAGGAATTTGCAGTTTTAAAAGAAGTGGTTGATAAAACGAAATCTGCTGTTAGTATTTATTTTGCTTGTTACTTATGTAAAAATCGTTTTCTTTTGTAGTTCAATTTAGCAGAAACGGAATTGAAGGTTTATATTAACAGTGAAGAAAATGAGAAATCTAAATTAGATAGTTTAAAAACCCTTTATGAAACATCTCAGTCCACCATTCGAGAAAGAAGCCAGGAAATAGCAACTCTTAAAACTAAAATTCCTAAAACCGAAAATTCCTTAAAAGAGGCAACTGAAGAACTGCATCTAATAAAGCAAGAGGAAGCCAAATTGGTGCAGGAAATAAGGTCAAATAGAATGTCTTTGGAGGAAGGAAGGAGTTCAATGCAGGCATCTCGATCTAGCGGAAGAGTTTTAGATTCCTTAATGCAAGCAAAAAGAGATGGAAAGTGTCCAGGACTCTTTGGAAGATTGGTGAGTTTTTTTACTTGAAATTATTTATTTGGATAATGTTAATATTAATCACTATAAATATTATTACTTATTAGCGGTCAAAAATTATACAATATATGTTTTTGGGTATTTTAGTTTTCGTTCGAAAATTTGTTATTTGAAAATCTTAACACTTAAAACACCTCTTATGAGGTTACAAAAGATTCGGCAGTTCAGTGTTTTTGAGCTGCTAACAGATTTATAACGCTGATAATAGGAAGTTCTAATCAATGAATAAATTTATTCATTGAGAGTTAAATTATTTTGTTTGAACATTTTTTAAAATTATTTTGAGTTTTAAAAGAAACTTCCACAGAATACAATTTATACAATACAAATACAAATTACGTCGAATCTTGATGCATCGAACTTGCTGACGCTTCGCCAATCATTCTAAAACAGTTCAGTTAAGTTCCATTCATTTGCAATCGACGTCGGAGGAAGAGTTTCTCAGTTTTGTGTTTTATGCGTTTTTCTTATAAAATTTGGCGTTTAATTTTGTCAAAATTTTATATATGTATTCGGTGCCCGGGTAAGTATAATTTTTTTAAATTTTTAGGGGGATTTAGGGGCTATTGATCAAAAGTATGATGTGGCAGTATCAACAGCTTGTGGAGCGCTAGACAACATCGTTGTAGATACTGCAGATTGCGCTCAGTGGTGCATTGAATTTTTAAAGAAACATGACATTGGTCGTGCAGTTTTCATTGCTTTAGATAAACAAGAACACTTAAGACAACAAGCTAATACCCCAATACAAACGTAAGTGTTTTTTTCCAATGTGGATATGTTGAATGTTAAAATCTGTGGAATTTTTTTCTATTGAATTTTTAAATCGTGGCCTTCATCCTCATTTTGAAAATTTGTTGGTTTCAAAATCTAAACCAATTTTTTGCAGTTTTTTTTTGGTTACCCATAGTGATCTCAGAACCCGGAAATTCATATTGCTGCTTCTATATATGTTTGGGATATGTTTCCCGTTTTCTAAAACGCGATCAGTAACTAGGCGTGTAACTTTTGGGAGACAAGTTAGGACACTCTAGTTTCATATACCATTTATCGAGAAAAAATAGTTTTTAAATAACAAACAATATGTCTAAAAAATATGGCTACTTTCATGCTGCCGAATGTGACATTTTCTAACATTTTCGCTTGTTTCGCCGTTTCTTAAATTAGATTTATTCCTGTGAACTTGTACAATTATTCCATCCGCAACTTCAAAAAAGGGAAGTCTGGGAAACATTGAGTTTCTCACAGGGTCATCGTTGCTATCAAGCTAAAAAACTGGATATTGTTTTGTACTTTCGTTTTAGTCCCGAAAATGTCCACCGCCTTTTTGATTTAATAAAAGTATCAGACGAACGAGTAAGGACAGCTTTTTATTATGGTCTGAGAGACACTTTAGTTGCAAACGATCTTGATCAAGCTTCCAGAATAGCGTACGGAGCTAGAAGGTACCGTGTTGTCACCCTCAAAGGTGATCTTATTGAAACTACAGGTTAGTTAATCAAGTACTATTCCAAACTGACGTTTTAGTAGTGTTTTTCAGTGTTTATACACCACATTAAAATTAGATGCATAAACTAACATTTTCTTAGGAACAATGAGTGGCGGAGGCAAGAGAATGATGAGAGGAAAAATGGGTCAATCTGTAGCAGTGTCGAACATTGACCCACGCGATTTGGACAGATTAGCTGCAAATGTGCAGCAAATGGAGAACCATGTTAGGGAACTACGGCAACAGCAAGTAGATCTGGAGACGCAAATAAATACGTGGCAAATTGAGTTGAAGCAAATGAAAATTAATCTTGGAAAATTTACTCAAGAATTGGAGGTGTGTACTGGTTGCGGATAAATTAATTTATAAACTGTGCATTATATTTGTTTCTTTCAAATAGAGTCTGAAACAGCAAGAACCAAATCTGGCAAGGCAACTAAAGAACCAAGAAGCCAATGCAAATGCTAATAAAGTGGACGCCGCTCAAGTAGAGAAGCTAACACAGCTTGTGAAGTTGAAGAAGCAAGAGTACGATACAGCTACAGAAACTGCAGGTTAGTGGTTGCAAAACCAAATGATGATAATCTACAGTTTTCTTTCAAGAGTATAATTGATTCCATTCTACCAGTCTTGTCAATGTTTTTCTACAGTCAACGAGCAATCTCGAGCTCATCTTTACAGATCTATAAGCCTGGCAGCCTGTCCCTGCAAACATAGATGTGATGTCAGAGTATCCTCTATTGACGTCCTTGTGAGCTCATACCAATATTGCATAGATCTTTGCCTGGAATATACTGGGATAGATCCTCAGAGGCACAGATATCTGTGCTCTGGGTGTTGCGATTTATTCGGTCGCTCTTTCGCGATGCCTCCGAAGTTTTACGGGCACGCGAAGACGCGAGTATATGTCTTGGGGGGGGGGGAGCTCCGCAAAACTGAAGAACCAGGTGCCGAGCTATGTCGCGCTAAGGAAACGACATCCTCTTATGCCTGAAGATCCGCAAGTTCATGTTGTTGGTTTTGAAATAAAAAAAATCTCCAAGAAAAGTTTGGCTAAAAAGTAGGCAGAACAGTTGGCCCACAAATAGGTTATGCACACGTCAAATAGCTTCAACGACTTCCAGAGGGTGGGGGTGGGGGTTGTAAGAAGTTATGCCAAAAGTAAAAAGGGATTGCTCCTTTAATGATTCAACTAAAAAAATTAAATAAAATTTGAAATTCTGGGAATTGGGAATGGGACCACTGCCGCACCCACAATCTGAGACGAGTTCTAAAACAGAAAAAGCACTCCCTGCTTCTGTATTTGTTTTTGTTCGTGTACATGACTATCCATGAGGCACAAGAATATTTTCTCCATCACAGTCATCCTTTATAGGGTTTCTCGTTCTGTACGGTGTTTGAGAGAGTAAGGTGGTCTCAATTCTATTTCCTTAAAGAGGACATGTTTAGAGCAATATTGATACTTCCAAATAAGTAGAAACTCTTAAACTCTTTTATTCTAAATAGTTACCAAAAGTTGAAAAATGTTATATTCAAAAAAATTAAACAAATTGTTTCTACATTTAATAAGATAGATACTGTAGCTTTTTGCATAAAATAAGATTTTTTTAAACAGTAGATGGAAATTTGCACAAAAAAATGCAATGCAGTTTTAAATTTCTCAACCAAATTATTTTAGAATTGCAGACATTTTAAATAGAAAAGCACACTGAACTCAGAGAGAAATGTTAACTGCCGTGCGTGCTGAAACAAGTGAGATTTAACCTTTAAAGTTTTGTTTTTTTGGGGAAAAATCGAGAAAAAATATCATATTCAAATAAATTACATTAAAATTTGGTTTTGTTTCATGGTAGGTGCTTTCCAAGTGAAAGTTGACAAAATATCCGGAGAAATTAAAGATAAAAGTAAAGGCAAAATTCAAGTTGAAAAGGATATTAAGGAATGCGCTAAAACCATTGAGGGTTGCAAATCGAACATTACTAAGCTGAAAGTTGCAGTAAAAACCGCAGAAAGGTAAATATACGACAAAAAAAACGGGCTACATAAAACTGACCTCAAGTTGGCTTTCTCGTGAATTTGATAATATTCATATTAATATTTACAAATCTTCTGGATTCTTCCTGCGTCGGTTGTTGATAAATCAAATTGCTAATCTTTCGTCATTCATGATGTTGAAGAAGCCAAGAGGATGATTGGCAGAAGATTTAAAAATAGTATTACAAGTAGCCTGTGGAAGTTTTTTGAAAAATTAACAGGCTCGTTTGATTTTAATTATTTCTTTAAATTGTCGACTGGTTTCCCAGTAACAGGATGCAACTAGGAGACGAAGTTTTTTGCCCAAAAATTCGAAAGTTCTGTAGATTGCAGCAACGGTGGAATCACATTGGAGCATGATCTTTTTTGAGCGTTTTGAAAGCTCCGCCCACACCATCACACAACCCCCATCATGATTGCGCTTTGGGGAGAATTTGATCTGCAAGAACTTGTTACAAACCTTTTTGATGAAGTAATTTGGGTACGACCAGGACACACTAGATATTAGCCTTAATTTTTAAACTTTATTAATTAAATCTTTATGTTATTTTTTAAGATCTCTATTAAACTTTGAAACAGTTTAACTCTGTTGTAACTGGCTTCGATGGCTCAGTAAAGCGAAAAAAAAAAAGAACTCAATTATACAAAAATTTAAGTAAAGAGAAAACGCTCCTCTCAGTCCCTTATCTTGATGGTCTTCGGGTGAAACGGGGCGAGCGTTCCCTTCTTGTTCAGTTACTTGTTTCTCAAGGTAAAAAATAACTGGATAACGGTACTAACACCTATATCGATCGGCGTACGACTTCACACCTTCTGTAGTTCGCGAATTTTTGTTCCCGCGTACTTTAGACTAATTTATAAGTTTACAGAGTGTGAAAAATTTTAAAGAAAAAATAGGCAAATAAAATATACACTTTGGACGACACACACATAGACAAGATCATGCTTCAATGTGATTTAAGTTTATGCTCAAATTCCAATCTGAATAAAAATTTGTGATGTAGCATCGTTACAAAAGAATCAATTCACAATTTAAAAAATGATGAAGAACTTTGAAATTGGAGTTAATTTTTAATGGCCGATTTTTTTTGCCGGCGAATGTGGTTAAAATTAATAATTGTTGCATTCGTTAGAAATTATGCAATGACAAAAGACAATATTGCTCGTATGGAACAAGAACTTGAAGATTTAGAAAAGAGTTTAATACAAATGAAAGAAGAAAGAGCTGAATTGGAAGAACAGGGGCAAAAATTATTGATGGCCGAGAAAGAAATTACAAAAGAATTAGAGGATAAAAAGAAAGACTACATAGGTAAGTGATTGTAAATTTTATACTAATGAATTGAAATTATATTTTATTTTATAGAAATTCACAAAGAAGTAGATGATATCAAGAAAAAAGAGAACACTCTAAAATCTGAAAAAATTGATATTGATGAAAAATTGAAAATACATCGGAAAAAACTTGATGATTATAATACTAGTATCAAGGCGTGGCAGGCGAAAGTAAAAAATATTTTTGATATTTAAATGTTTTACTATTCTTTATCTTTCAGTTGGGTACTTTACAACTTCACGACATTCCAAATGAGACGGTACCAGAATTAGAAGAATTTAATCCTGAAACAATTAAAGAGAAAAATGCAGAAGACATAGAAAAGGAATTGCAGGCTGCAGAAAATCACTTAAAGACAGTTAAGCCAAATCTTAATGCTATTGAGGTGGGAATGTTATATGCGGAATGTAATTTATCAACATTTGCTTTATGCATGTAGGAATATAAGAAAAAACGGGAAGCGTATCTGGATCGGACGAAAGAACTACAACAAGTCACAAACAAAAGAACAGAAATGAAAAATTTGTATGACAAATTGAGGTCTCAGAGGAAGGAGGAATTCATGAATGGATATAATATTATCAGGTTGAAGTTAAAGGAGATGTATCAAATGATTACTTTAGGAGGCGATGCTGAATTTGAAATGGTAGACACTTATGATCCTTTTACGGAAGGAATACAATTTAAGTAAGTAATTTTTTTAAATTTTAAATGAACTTTTTGGTGTTTTATGTAATGACTACACTGAACAAGAATATCTTGTTTTTACATTTTTTAGTAATTAAACATCTTGTTTTTCCATTTCTTAGTAACTGAAAATCCCAGTAACAACTAAGTTAACAAACTAGTAACTGACATCAACAGTATTAAATTATGCAAGGGTAGATCTTAAAAAGAATATTAATAAATATTTAGGATTTTTACCAACAGAGTTTGTTAAAGATTTACGGGGTTACTTTATTACGTATTATTAAAATCCTATTATAGCTTTTTGAAGATTATTGTTGACAACTTCGTAAAATCCTAAGTTTAATTATAAGTTGACCTTTGTAAACCTATTGAGTGGAAATTTGGATGACTTAGAATACACAGCGTTTTGGATTTTTTTCGATAACTAACTAACTTGATAACAAACTCTAAGTCCTATCCCACACATGGCGGAATTTCCGAGCGGAAAAGTACTCTTCCGCTTGAACTAACCCACATAGCCGGCGGAATAGATTCCGCTTCCGCCTTTGTCAGTTTCTCTTCTTCCTAGAAGCAAAAACTAGTCCATCACCTTACAGTTAAGGAATGCAAGTTTTAACGTAAATATGTGTTCTTCTCCGTCTTCTTCAAGTAACTATTAGTTCCAAACATTGACGATTATCCTGGCTATAACGAATTTGTTTATGGCTGCTCTGAACAATTTAGTGTTTGTTTTGGAAAACCATGTTCTTAATTCTTGAACCCAGGTCTTTCTTGTCATAGATTTTCCATGGAGAATATCCCTAAGAAGATGGTATTTGTTTTCGTTTCGCATTATATAGCCCTGGAGCTTTTTTTCTTTTTATAGTTTTTCTCACCCCCTTCCTTTGCTCATTCTTTCCAGTACCGATTCGTAAGACATTCTCGAGATCCTCAGAATTTTCCTATATAGCCACATTTTAAACCTTGAAGTCTCTGTAAGAGAGTGTCGAGAAATCGTAACATCGAAGGATTTTAATCTTTATGGCCAAATTGTTTTGACATTTTGATAAAGTTTGTATTGATTTTTTTTTATTCAGCATTTAATCTGTTGAGGGTGGTGATTTATTGTCGTTCCCAAATAAGTGACACTTCGACACTTTCTACGAGATTCTTTATTTATAATCATGAACTTGGTTTTGCTTATGTTCATTTTTAGACCACATCGTTCACTGGCATCGTAAACATAAAACGTCAACACTTGGAAGTTCCTGCATGCAGCGGAAAACTTTTTTCCGTCGGAATAATTTCGTCCTCTCCAATTTGGGCGTTTCTTTATTTTATCTACTGTACTGATGTGCACTAACGGATCCCATGCGGACTCCACCCACGGAAATTCCGCCGTATCTGGGATAGGACTAAGGTTTCAAAAACGCTAACAGCTGATATAAGAAGGAAATTATTTTTGTAACTATCTGTAACTGCGGGGCTGGTAAATCCCTCAAAAATCTTTTGATTTCGTTAAAAAAAATTAATGCAGTTTACTTCGAAATGAGAAAGTTTTATACAGGCAGGTTTTCGTGATGATTTCCATGATAAAGGTGTTAATTTAGTGATGTTTTGCCATAATACCATACCATGCATTTAATGAATAGTATTTTAGATGGCTTCACTGATATAAAGTGCGTGAAGTTGGATCACATAATGTGAATAAATGAGTTTCAATTTGTGTTTCAGTGTAAGACCACCTAGAAAAACTTGGAAGAAAATATCAAACTTATCTGGTGGCGAAAAGACTTTGTCATCTTTGGCACTGGTTTTTGCATTGCATTATTATAAGCCTTCGCCTCTTTATGTAATGGATGAAATAGATGCCGCTTTGGATTTTAAGAATGTCTCAATAGTTGGAAATTACATCAAGGTAAATACTTTTGCGTCCATTTTTATTTGATAATTACGTTTTTTCCTTTTTTTCAGGCGAGAACAAAAAATGCACAATTTATAATTATTTCACTTCGGTCAAATATGTTTGAATTATGTGACAATCTCATAGGTATTTATAAAACCTACAACACTACAAAAACTGTATGCATTAATCCTCGACTGTATGAAAATAAGAATTCGACTGAGGGTGTCCAACAAAATGCAGCAATTGATGATGACGCAGTTGACGTGAATATGCAAGGTAATCTAAACTCGGCCCGACCTACTGAGATGACAGAGTCAAATTTGTCGCCACGGGGTGATAAAACTAAGACTCCTACACCCGTGGAGAGAAATACAGCACTGGATGAAGATCTGATGTTCACCACACATCTACACGAGAACCAAAGTACAACACCACCTCAGCGTGACGAGAGTAATACAGCGACAACTCCTGATTCATTCATCGCACAAACACCAGAAGATTCTATTTCAAGTCCAAGTAATAGTACAATTAAAAATCTTTTTGTATCGCCAACGCAGGAGCGTACTCCTCAAACCCAGTCCTTCCAGTGAAATCCAATTTTTAATTGAAATTGAATAATTTTATATATACATTTTTTAATTGAAATTAAACTTTTTTATAATCATGTTTACGTTTTAAAAATTTCAAGATCCATTATTTTTTTTATCACCTGCAAGTCATCCTGTATGTTAAAATTTAAAAAAAGGTATTGATTGTAAACAAATTCAAATGGGTCCATCCAATACTCTAGTTTATTTATTTAAACTCAAAACCAAAGTATTCCCGAAAGTTTGTAAAATTTCCATTTAGGAAAAGTACAAAATGTTTAACGAAATAGGTGGAGGCAAATAGTTGATGTCACGTTGAACCGTAACTGCTAAATGACTGGAATTTTTCCAAGCTATGGAAATACAACAACGACTTTCGTACTAAGTCTGGTCTGATGTTATATAAAGGGTGCGTCTTAGCCTAAAATAAGAAACTCCAGTAAACGGAAATAATTGCTAGTTGCAGGAAGAAATGTAAACAGCAATATTCAATTAACATTATTTGTACTTCTGGAGTACTTTTGGAAATTACTAAAAGATTCACTACAATTACCAATTCGTTTTTATATGTTCCAAGAACATGCTTTTCTTCCAAAAAATGCTGGGCCACTGATAATCCACTTATTGTATAGCAAGTGTGATACACATCTCGAGGTTTACCTGGTTTATCTACCATTCCACCTTGCGCATGCTGGCAACATATTAATATGTATTCTTGGAGCGCTCTTTCATCAAAAAGATGATCATGCGGAGCTAAATCATCTACAATCATTAAAAAATTGTCCCATTTTCTAATTAAATTTCATATTAATTTACCTTTGGCTAACAAGGTATAGAGCAAAGGAAACCCTCCGCCTTGCCAAAAGGAATAACAACTGTCAACTAACTTATTTGTTCGTCCTTGAAAGCCACCTTCTACTCTCATTTGTTTTTGTACAATCCACCTCTGGAATAATATTCAGTTATTCATTTAGTTCACAAGGGAATTGACCGTTAAAACTTTAAATTTGTTAATAATTTTGACCTTTCTATTATTAAAAAACTAGCAGTATGGCGTCTTCTGCGTATTCTGACGTATCAAATAAAATAAACTTTCATTTTAGAACATAGAACTTTTTTACTTATTTTTATCTGCTGAATATGGTATGAAAGTTTCACTTTTATAATTCGGACCGGACCACCCTGTACGCTTTAATATTATTTACCCCATATTTTAAAAATTGAAAAAGAATTTCTCTAAAGAAAAAATACTGTAGGAGCTGATCGAGCATTCAATATAAGCATCACGTCCTATTCCTTAACTTAATTGCCTAATAAAGATTTCTTTGAGCCTCCACAAATTAGACGAAGTGGAATCGGGACTGCGGAATGGAGGCTCTGTGTCTGTGTACAGACAAGCAATGCCGCCATATTGCTTTTAGAGATATAGCCGATGTCTATACCGATAATACAAAAACTTATGAATAACTATAAAAAATAATCGAGATCGATTAGACATGCGCATGCGCGAGATTTAACCAACGATGGCCATAAATTCAGGTAAGTGAAATGTAGAGCGCATCAATCTTTACTGTAGTTGGGTCACTATATTATCTAATAGCTATATGCAATCCCGAATCTAACAAATTTAAAATTTTGATGGTAGTAAAGTAGAACTGAGCTAGTGTAAAATACACCTAATTAGTATATAAGTTTGTTAAATTGTCACCATTTTAATTACATCATTTACCATTAAAGCTTGGTTGTCGCACAAGTGACCCTTATTTAAAATAACTAAAGCTGCTAATCCACAAAATGCATACCCTCCATGAGCTTCTAACCCAGGACACCCAGAAAAACCACCCTCATAGGTTTGGCAACTACAACAAAAATATTTTAATGTACAAAAATTTATCATACAAAGGGGCCAAGATAGACATAAACTGCAGATAACACGCAAATTTGGAATATATACTTTATATATTGCTTGTTATAATGGGCCTCTTACATGCCTTATATTTGTAAATACCATTTACATAGTATAATAAAAAAACAGTACATATTTAAAAAATCAAATCCCTATAAATAATTTAAAAGGAGACCTCAAAGAAGGTCAGATATACATTTTCTAATTGAGCTATTGAAAAATACTGCTAGAGAGACCACATTCTATCTGAGTAATTTTATCTCATCATCATTGTTGATGCTGATTTTGCAGAATCATTTGCAACCACAACATTCTTATTTTGTCATTCTAAGGTACATAGACATATATGTAAGTAAGCTATAAATATGTATCGATTTGTTTATGCAAGGAGCCCATTCTTCACGTGTTATAGTTTAAATTATAAAATAATTATACTGAATGAATGATAAACCTTATTATCCATTCTGCTGTATCTCGTACAAGTTCAGTAGTTAAAATTCCAGTTAAACTTGCAACAGATAAGGCACAGTAAACACCTCTTATATCAACCTCCCCTCCATTGTGCATTGCAAAAGACCCATCTGATTGCTTTACACTCATTAAAAATGCATAAAGTTTTTGCCTAAAAAAAGACAATGTAATTTACTTTCTTCAGGGAAATTTTCTGGCAAAAAATGACAATTCTCAATTAAACTATAACAAACCAACCTGTCAATGATCCTGTATGCCTCATGTGTTCCTACTATCACTAGTGCACAAACTGCTGCATAAGTTGGTGCCAAATGTGCATATTGTCCTGGTCCACCTCCAAACCCACCATCTGGACTTTGACATCTACATAATGCAATACTTAAATTAAATTTTCTATTTTTATCATTATTAATTGTCAGTTAAGGAATAAAAATTCAGAGTTTAATTAAAGAAATGTATAAGAGTGAAAATTAATATTAAAATCATAGAAGACACCATTAATTAAAGCTGTTGTGTAATAAAGGAGTCCATTGAAAAATATTAAATTGTTCCTTTATCAATACCTACTTTCTCAAAAATTGGGCGATCATGGATTTTGTAACATCGTCAACACGAACACCCATTAGAGATAAGGGATGTAAAATCCAGTAACACAGCCATGGTCGACTAGCGTCTAGACTCTAAAATACCAAATACATTAGCAGTTGCGAATACATCAGATATTAGGTACCTCATATGCTGATGGAAGACGCGATAAACAATCCAATAAAAAAAATTTGTGGAGTTCTTTATGAAGTTCTGGGGCATTGGATTTAAGTAACAACCGTGAGTGAAGGTCTTCAAATTTCTTGTACACTGTCATTTCAACGTGAACCTAATAAAATTGTTTTATTATTCCCTTCACCAATACGTGCAGTCTAAGAGGGATTTTCTAACAAAAATTCACCAAAATAAATAACAACCTGATCTTCGGTGCTTTTAGTACGATCGCTATTTGCAAATCTTAAATTACGTCTAATATCATCAAGTCTTCTAAGATTCAGAATTTTTTCCATTATTAAAATTCCTAAATTTAAGTCTTTAAAATAACCAAAAAGTATACAAATCAAAACAAATAACGATCATTAACCATAAACATTGCTGTTCTGTGACGATCGCTCCATAGCATAAATAACGAAGTATAATCCATATGTAAATACAAATAAATATAAATTAAAATCAAAAAAATCTTTCTCTTAGGGGATGGGTAGAAACAAACTGTAATTTTTAGGTAATAATACACTTTTACTTAATATTTTTATATTTTAAAGATTAAAGTTGGTGAATACTTTTAAGTTTTATATCTTAGGTGCAGCTGGATAAAGAAATTAACTGGTATTCTTTTGCATTGCGCCTCGAGCAATATTTAGTAAGTTTTAAAAGTTTCTTTAAATGTTCCAATGATGTCGCTACGTGAGACCATTAGCTAGGCAATTACATATTCACCATGTACTGATACATACTCCCCACTATAAAATTCTTTTTATTTCTTATCCCCCTCCTGAGTGACGAATCTGGCACGGGGTCGCTCGGCTTATTTTTTTATATTGTGTTTACGGGTTTTGACGGGAGAGACGGTGGCACCTGATCAAATATATTTACGTAGTTATTTTTATAAAGTGTTAAAATGTGCCTCTTCGTGACTTTAATTCAGTGAAAGAAACACTTTGTGAGAAATTAAGTGCTTTAAAAAATCAACATGATTGCCAATGGGCACGTAGTAGGTGACGGGTCGTGGGATCTCAGAGTTTTTGTTACTGATCTGCAGACAGAAAGACAAATTCGTGTTAAGGGAGATGTCCATATTGGCGGAGTGATGTTAAGGCTGGTAGAAGATTTAGGTTAGTTAACGTTACAGTAGATTTTATTGACAATTCTCGGCATAATCAAAACACACTTTCCATTAACTATTATAAATAAACTTCGGATCTCGTTTCGCACTGCATACTATTTTTTTATTATTTTACCAAAATACCGTTAATACCTCATGAATGTCAAGTACAACCTCAAATGGAAATGTAAAGTGATCTAAGTGGGCGTTAATTATTGTTTTGGCATCTATTATTGGCGGAGTTCGTGACGTGAATGCAGAGACCAAATGTATATTTATTTTGCGAAGTTTAACAAAAATATCCAAAAATGTTAATTGATAGTTAAGCTTAGTTTCGTCGTTAAATAAAAACATCTGATACTTTATATAAGTAGGTGTGCGGCAACAACTCCCTAAAATGGAAAATGTTGTAGTCGATGGTCTGTTTATTATGGGGTGACGCCTAATCTCAGAACATTGTAAAAATATAAAAAAAACTTAAAGGCATGAGTTGTTTGGATCCACTTACACTTTTAAAATATTGTATAGCTACACCCACAGGATGTTTGTATTTTGATGGACAAATATATTTTGAATTTTATGTCAACAGTGACGTTGTTGGTTGGTCTAAATATCGAAGTCTTGATATGTTTACATTAAATAAATACGCTCTATTAACCCAACGCAAAAGATGTTTTATTACAAATTTTGCGTTTTACCTACGTATCGAAGCATGTCTGAAAAATATCATTTTAATAGTCTATGCACGTAACATTGGAAAAGCAAGCTTTCAAAAATAATTTAAAGGGCCCTGAGCAAGATCCATTTAAAGTTAAAACCTGGCATTCTTTTTTTTAAACATTCGCGCAAAGATGTGTGTGGGTAGCCTTTAATTAGATGTTGCACGGTACCGTAGAAGCATGCAGGTTTTAATTGGGTCGGTATTGTTAATTTTGCATCGAGCCCCTGCCTTTTGTGAATTATATTTGGTACATTACTTTATCCATATGCGAGAGACAAGCATAAACAGTAATAGCCCGCGCGTTAGCCCTAGTAGTTATTAACTAACTCTGATGTTGATCTGTAGCTCTTTTAGGAGGCATTTTTCCCCATGTAGTTTTTTAATATTTTTGGGGGCAGTATGCCATTCCGAAGTTTTCCAATAAACGCCTGGGGCAAACACAATTTTTCTATTTTTTAAATATATGTCGTGCATTCAATAAAATGCGCTATTTTACTTCATATTTTAATCCACTCGTTCTTGATGTAGTCGAAAAATTTCAAAATTTAATGTCGAAGGGATCGCACCTACGGCATTTACACATTATACGACCACTTTTTGCTCAAATTTTATAACTTCTTGTCAAGGAATAAATCGGAACTTGAACAACTTCCATATCATTTTCATGTAGCTTTTTTGGTTGGGTGTGGCATTTATACTGCATGCGTGGAATGTGATTCGTTCCTGGACTACTTTATATTAATAATAACTACTATAACGTTTTTGGGACACATGCAAATTGTCCTTGAATTTCTCTTAATACTTCTACTGCCGTAATTCACTTTTTGCCTTAAGGTTTTCAGATGGTTTTAAAATTTGTAATGGATGACAATTTACAGTTCGTTGTTGGGTGCAATAACTCGGAAAGGTTAAAAGGAAATGTGCTGGAAAAACCAAGATGCTTTTCGCAAAAAAGTTTTGTTTTTACTTTTGTAACATTTTAATTAATTGATAATTTTTATGAAGCTACTTACATCGAGAGCAATCTTATCGCAATCTTATCGAAATTAAAATTTGCTTAGGTTTACTGAAAAGTCGATTTTAAGTAACTCTAAGTACTTTTGACAAAATTCAGTTAATTTTTAAAAATTTGAAAATAAATAGGTTTTCGAACTTCCCGATAAACAAAAAATGGTGGATTTTTTTTTATTTCGAAAGTGACTGTGTACAAATAAAATCAACTTTGATATCTCAGAAGTAGAATCTCAAAATGAAATGGTATACTTCCATTAATTTAAAAGCAATAATATAATATAGATATGTGTGTATGTATACAGGGTAGATTGCTGTTGCGGGATTCTTTTATATATTTTATATAGAAAAATAGTTTGAATAAAATTGCTGTATGCAGTGAAAATTGTTACCATTATACAAAATATCCCGTAAGACTCTCGCAGCACTTAACTTCGTCATTTTAAATGGATCACTCTCGGTATTACGTCAATTCTGAATTTCTGACAAAAAATTATAACTGGATTCTTCAGGCTTCCCTATACGCAATCCCAATAGCGTTCTAGAAATCTTGATTATTTTAAGTTTGTAAAGACTGCCTTTTAACCCGTTTTCGGTAAAGTAAATTAAACGCATTGTCAACACGTCACTACAGTATTCTTTTAAAACTAGGAAAAACTTCGAGGTTTAATTGATTTTTATTAGAAAATATGAAATAATAAGAGAACCATTGAAAATAGGTATGAGGAAAGGCACAGCCTTATTGTTGAGTAAATAATTCATTGTTAAAAAGGTATATATTGCCAATGAAGGGTTAAAATTGAAAAAAAAATATTAATCCACTTACCATCAATTCTCCTCCTAATTATATATTGCCCACTCGTCTCAGATTGTAAGGACCCTGTAGAAAGACTAGACTGAAACCTATTTTTTTTTTCTCTGGAAAATCAAAATAAATATTTCTCACAATCTAGTAAATAAATTTATTATTATTATATTAGACTATAATAATTAACATGAATATGTATATATACAACTGTAATGTAAATGGTTTAGCCAAAACATATTAATTAAAACTAACTAACAAATTATGTAATCCCTGATGCTTTTAAAACGCAAAATCAGAAATATGTGACAAAACGGCTTTATTACAAAATTTAGGAAAACTATGACTTTTATCGCAGGGCATGCCGCCACAAGAACTGCAATGTAAGTTGCTAGTCCAGATTAAAGCAGTTATTTTCATTGAAATCGTATTAAAAGTAAACTCAAGAAACCTACATTGATGCTTTTCTAAAATTGATAATTGGATTCTCAGGTCGGGATTTTTACATACAGGATGGTTTACAATCCAAGCTTTACTCCAATCTAAGATTTGAGGATTCCTTGTAATGCATTGCCAATTAATGAAAAAAATATTTACCCTTACTGAATTCTGAAATCCGGGTTCTTTTGCTAGTTTTTACTCTGGCCCCTCTTGCTGGTCCCTTCCGTCTTCTTGCGATGATTGAATTTTGTGTACCAGACCGAAATATACCCGCTTGAATAATTCCGTGGGCTTTTTGGTGAAGAATTCTCAAATGGTGGTTTAGGACCCGCAATTGTGCACGCAACAGATTTGATTTAATGTCGTTGCTGACATTTTTTTATCTCTTTTAATATGAGTCAGTAACTCATCTCTAGATAGCTCTCAATTTCATTTGTTGATTGATGATTGTTGATTTGTTAAAATTTTGTGGCGTTAGCCAAGTCTTGCAATTGCGCATTGGTCTAATCCAACTGGTTTGAGAAATATAAATTCATGGGTTTGGCAATGGCACCTACTAAATACGCGATGTAAATTTTTTTTGCAAGCACCAATTTCTGAATTCACTTTTGGTGGTTAAAGTCCCTCTACACTGCTGGTCTAAACTTGGCGCATTTCCTTTCTGTAATGACATCATTTTTGGTTATTTTTGTTTATTCTCTGTCAGCTGACAGAGACAAAACATTTTTGAAAAAAAATCACTGTGGTTTATAACAGTCAACGCCGGTTTTGGTAATGTATCTTTGATTGTATCATTAATTTGTTGTGCTCTTTATAAATTTTTGCAAGATGTCGCTAAGATATAATCAGCAATCATAGCTAATAGTTTTGATCAACTAAAAAAGGATGAAATCTATAATGGAACCCTTCCGCAAATTGACAGTGTAATTGAACGAGCTTCAAATGCAACATAACTTAGCCATACAGCAATCATAAATATGGGTTTAGATTAGCGATCATTGTTAAAATATAAATAATATACGAAATACTTTATTTAAAACTAGCGGAACATCATTCCAGAAAGGTAATACCTCATCATAGTAATTAGTCAGTTATTTAATTTATTGGGCTATGTAAAATTGTCTGCGTAAACATGAAATAAATGAGCTAAAGATTGCTAAAAAATCTGATGTTGGAATTCAGGAATAAATTCATATTTAATTATAACTCACGTTTATAATCATTTGATTATGTAAAATTCAAAAACCAAAAACAGTAACTCGTCTATGAACTAACTCTCTTTCGTTTTGGTACGGTCAAAAATTGTTTCTTTTAAACGTAATTTCTGTTAGGATACAATGATTATTTACGCAAAAACGAGACTCGGTATGGCCGAAATGCTGACTCAGTAAAAAAAAGTTTCTTTTCTGTGAACGTCGTAGCTTAGCAGCGTCGCGTTGCAACTTCAGGATCGTTAAAATTTGGGACGAGGCTGTGAGTATAATTTCTGGCAGAAATCCATAAATGAAATAATGACCACTGTTTTAATTGCAAGCAGTAATTTCGTACAAACAACTTTTGCATTCAAAATTTTTGTTTATTTATGGAGATATCAAAAAGCGCCGCACTGACCTTTATATACCGGGCGTCCCAGTAAGGGCAACGAAGTACGGCACTACGGAAACAGGGCATGTCGCATACGAGAGATGGCTGCCATCTTGACCAATCAATACGCTGTTTCTGTGTCACACTGCCCCCCCCCCCCCCTAATTAAATACTACGTGCTATAAGCTACAATTAAAATGTAGTGGACTATTCTGTAAGTAAAGTGTTAAGTGTTAAGTTTCTCACAGAAATTTTACGTACCGTTCGTATGAACTTTACTGATTTTTACAGTTTTTATATTAATATCTTGCCAAGACCAATTGTAAACAAAACAAAATTGAAGATTAGGACCAGCTTTTTCTTGCTGATACAATCTTAAAAATTTAATCTTATTATACTTGGATGATTTTTCTTCCAATTACAGTCTTTTTCTTTAAATACACTACTT